TACAGTAGCTTATTCCTTATATGGGAAATTCGCTAAAATGAAGAAACGCTCTATTCTATAAGTTATCGGCTCTGGGTTTATCAACGCGCATGCGCACAGCACTGCGAGCTTTGTACGACGGTACTGAATCAGGTGTGTGGTACAACGGAAACTTAACAGAATCCTTTGAAACTAAAGTAGGTCTGTGGCAAGGATTCGTGTGTTCACCTTTGTTATTTTGTTTATTTATAAATGATATGTCTAGTAGCATAAATGGTGGCGGTATTTTTGGGCAAAAGAAAGTAAATATTTTAATGTATGCAGACGATGCAGTTCTGCTAGCACCGTCTGCCACAAGTTTACAGTTTATGATCAATAATCTAGAGAAATATTGTGATACATGGAACTTACAACTAAATCTAAATAAGTCAAAAATTATTGTTTTTAGAAATGGAGGTAAGTTAAAGGAAAACCAAAAATGGACGTTTAAAAGAAGAGATATTGAAGTAGTGAACAGTTATAAATATTTAGGGGTAGAGTTAACTTCCAAGTTAACGTGGGAACATCAGATGAGCACAAAATCAAGAAGTGCAAAGTTAGCAATCAATAATATCTGGTATAAATTCTTTGTCAGTAGTAGAATTTCGTTGGAAAGAAGTTTAGTAGCTTTAATGCGGTAGTTAAATGGCTGTCAGGTTTGGGGATATCAAAAGAATGATGAAATTGAAGGGGTTTTGAAAATTTGTATTAAGAAAATCTTTCAATTGCCTAATAATACACCTAATTATGCACGGTATTTAGAAATAGGAGCAGAATCAGTATATTTGTACACTTTACATAGTAATCTAAATTACTTAGTTCGAGTCTTATCCCTTGCTGAAGACCGGTTACCGCATATACCCCTTGGCGAAACAGGTAATTGAAAAGAACGTGTATTGGTGTGAAGAATGGCGGAAGCTGGGGCGCGCGCATGGCGTAGTGGTGGAAATGGATACAGATCCGGTAAGTGTACAATTGGCATTGTTAGGTGTCCTAGAATCAGTCAGAGAGGCAGAATACCGGGCGAATTTGGAAGCGGCCTTAGGATCGCGTTATCACCAAACATATGCGACCTTGAACTTGGAATTGGGTAACTCGTCCTATATCAATGCTAATTTATCTCTAAGGGCGATAAAATGGATTTACAGAGCACGAGTTGGAGTAATTTATTTAAACTACAAGCCTTGGATAGGTAATCAAAATTACGTGTGCAGTTTATGTAATTTAAGGGGAAACAAGGATGTATTTCATTATATCTGAATGTGTCCAATCCTTGCAGGTGTAAGAAAACGTTTTCTACATAAAAAAGAACTTACCAAGGAAGATTTACACTCATATTTAAATGGTAGGGACTGGCGAAGTCTAGGATGTTATTTAATTAATGCATGAAAATATAGATATGAAATTGTGTCAGAATTTAATTTTGCATAAAAAAAAACACACAAAAATACATTGTTTGCCATCCTAACGTGTTGCAGGGAATATGGGAAATAAGGAGAAAATAAAAATATTTTGTAATCTATATATTAATTTGAAACTGTTTTTCTTTGTGACAGCTAATTTGAGAGAACGGCTGGGCGTAGAAACTTGGTAGAGGTGTCTAAAGAAAGAACTTGGTCTGTAGATGAGCCATCAAAAGAGAAACGTGGTAAATTCCCTTGGGGCTCTGCACCAGTGGCCTTTAAATTCCCATCCCATGTTATTCTTATGGGGGGAAAACGGGTTTTTGTCACAGCTAATTTCAGAGAACGGCTGGGGGTAGAAACTTGGTAGGGGTCTCTAAAGAAATGTCTTGGTCTGCAGATGAGCCATCAAAAGAGAAACTAGGTAAATTCCCTTGGGGCTCCGCCCCAGAGGCCTTTAAGATCACCTAAGCAGATTTGTTTACATTAATGACCATATGTATAATTTTAAACTACTTTTTAATGAAACAGCTGTTAATATTTAAATTGTGATTTACTGAATTTGTCAAAATGAAGTTTTTCTGATTTTAAAATCGATTTTGTTCTGCATCGTGTCATGTATTGCAATATAATGTTGTTATGTTGTAATTTTATAATGTGAAATCCAATCAGTGGAAAATCCTAATATCACAGTAACTCTTAAAATTATTTATTATGGAGTTAACTTATGTCTATTGTATGGGTTAGTTTCTGTTTTTTTACCACTTCTTGGAGATTGTATGTAGGCGTGTTGCACGTATAGTAGATGATATTCTTTGGCGTGTTGCATCTGTAGACGATACTTGGGTTGGTATTATTACAATGGAAAAAAGCGAGAAATCCTGGACTATTTGATATAGGCTTACTAAAAATAAAACTGAATTAGAAGAAATAGAAATAATGTTTTTTTTATTAATTTATAATCGTTATTATAGATAACCTAATGCGGCTATGAGTGGGAAACATTTGTAGAAAACTCTTAAAAACAAGATCAGCTTTTGAAAAAAGATTAGACATTTACAAACAATTTTGATTATATCTAACTGTTGTGTACATCGTGAGTATTTCCATAATCTTTGAGTCGACTTTTATAAAGTCGTCGGAAATTATGACCGTTATTAGTTTTAAAATAACGCCTGTAATGTTTCGCAATTGCTCGAATTCGAGCAACAGGGTACACTAGTATTATAATTAACATGAAAGCTGCCAGCTCAGCTGACAGTCCTTTGGGCTAATGCTGATATAGTGCAGTAAACAAAACAAAATGATATTAAGGTAAAAAACGCCAAGTGGGATTCAAGGTTGTATGTAGATATTTTATTTGTAGATGGAAGAGTTATTTATGAAAAAATCTTATTCTTTTGTAATGTATTGTTTTAATGATAATAAAGCACTGGTTTCATTTCATTTCATTTCATAATAGAAAAAAATGTTGTCTACCACAGCGATGTGGACGTACATGAACTTGACACGGGATGAGTAGGTAGTCTACTTGTGTTGCTTAGTCTATGGTTAACAGTTCCATTGTTTCCACTCCACATGAATTTTATGATTGAGCATTGAATTAAGTACTTGTTCAGATCATGTAAAATTAAGTGGCGAGCAGAATAGGCATCCATCCACTCCACACAATAACCCTTCCCTCCCCACCGCCGCTTTTGTTATTTTGTACAGTCATTTCAACAGGAAATTTCCCTTTAATTAATTTAATACCACTAGCGTCTAGTGATGTTAAGAGCCTTTCTCAATGTCCCACCAAAGACCACTGATCTACTAATCTACCAATGCGCTGCAGCAGTGAACGTTACCTAAGACCATAATGCCAGCTTACCAGTGTGCTATTAGGTCGAAATCATTAGACAAACGTGTTGAATTTAATATCACATTTATATTAATTTAGTTAATAAAGGCTCCATATCTAGTAGCTGTGGAGCTAGCTGTGCCACAATATGTGAGAAAGTTGAAGTTAGGGTGTACTGTAGTGCATTTCAAATTGACACACACTAATTAAAATCACACAGTGGAATTGATGATATCAAAAATTAAAAATATATAATTGCCAACCTGTTGGCCACTGGTTCACCAGTAAAAACTGTTGTCCATTATTTGTTTCAGTGTTTGAATATAAACTAACTGCAGACTAACTTTTTGAGGGAGAAAAATAAAACAGATTTATCCTCTAAAACATTCTGACCTTTGTCCTTAAATCTTTTGCTATGTCTCATCCACAGGTATTGATGAGGTGTCAGTCAGTTTTTAGTTTTCAACAATTTAAAAGTCTAAAAATGAAACTTCACAACTTAGGCCTATATCTGGACAAGCATATCCACAGGATTTGTTGTTAATGTTGTTGTAATAATCAATTATAATAAACCCCTTGACTACAGCTTAATTAACCAGATTTGTTATAACATTAATCACAGTTTTTGGGACTAAAATTAACCAAAAGCATTTGACTATTGGATACAGAAGTTGTTGTATTAATAGTCAAAGCCGAAAGTCTTAGCTCAGCCCTTTGGACAGATTTTTTTTCAACAGTGTAATAAGTAATATTAGCTTCTTGTGGTGGATTGGGCAGTATTCTTTCCCAACAAGCACTTTAAGCGAGTAAAAGGACTTAAATAATACCCCCGCTGCAGCAAACCTGCCGACTAAGCGAATTTCCATTTGCCTGGATTGATTTTCAATTAATCTATTAAATTAACATTTATGTTTAACGAGTACCTAGGTTAGCTGCTACAGGGAAACTAAATAATAAAGTGTGTTTTTTATTAAAATATTAATATTTTAGTATGAAATAAATAAATTTGCTAAGTTTGATCAAAATATATCCATAAACAAGCCAAATACATTTTACAATATTCTCCATAAGAATAACATGGGAATTTTTAATTAACAATTTATTTAATTCTCTCGGTAACCAATCATCCGACAAAAACACTTTGGTATACTAAATTATTTGTTTTTTAAGCTCTTTAAAAAGGTCTGGAGATAAATTTATAAATTTTGTGTTTTAAGGGTAAACCCCGCACATTCCACATTCGCCAACATTCCGAACATGTATGTATTTTTTGTACATTCCGCACATTCGCTGCATGGTCCGATCATGCAGGTTTGCAAACTCATTCAAGTTTATCCCACCGTACACCTTCTAACCAAATTTGAACAAAATCGGACAAAAATTACTTAAGTTATAGTCTGGACGGACACATATATATATATACAATTTCTATATATGTATATATATATATATACTTATACATATATAACAATTTGAACGAATGGTGTTTTTGGCCTCTGGGGACATCAAAATGAAAATGAAATCGGTCCTGGGCCTAGGTCTTACCATAGATAAAAGGAGATGGTCTTACCATGAGACCTACGGTAATAGCTACTTCCCTGTAGGGAAATTCGCTAAAAGTAACCAAACAAAACTAGTTCTTTGGGACATGTCAGCGATGTAGAGCAGATAGGTTGCAATCAGGCAGTCAGTAGCATGTTCTTAAATAAATATGTATTACATTAAAAATAACTTTAAAACTATGAAGATTGAAGATGCTTTTTCCTTAGTCTACCACTTTCCTCTTTGTAATACATCTTGTACAGTCTGAAACACAAACAGAATTAATTCACATTCTTATGAATATAGATGAGTTTTTTAGTCTACATTGTACAGCCTTAAAACGTTAACAATTTATTCATGCTTAAAACGCAATGATTAAAAGGTATTATAACAGGTTGTTAGATTTTACCCTAAAAACGTCACTAAACAATTTGCTATAGCATGACGAGTTAATTTTGTGACCGTTCTTTGTAAATGAATTGTTCTTGTTCTTTGTTTTTTGTTCTGTCTTGCAGTTCAATTCAAACAAGGGACGAGCTGAGAGGGAATAGAATACCTACTTTTAAAATACCCCCGCAGTAAACCTGCAGACTAAGTGAATTTCAATTGATATACAAGGAGCTTTTTGTTACAATATTTCCATAAACAAGTCATATTTTTATTCCCCACTCAAATAACATTAGATTTAATGAGTACTTGGGTTTGCTGCTTCAGGGAATGTAAAAAGTGGGTTTTTTACCAAATGTTGTTAGTGTAGGATGAAGTAAATAAATTTGCCAAATTTGATTAACATATCAGTAAAGAAGCAAACTACAACAGTTAACTATTTCTTTTCCTCTATAAGAGTAACATGCAAATTTTTAATGTACAGTTTTTTTTTTTCTCTGGGACCATTAGACGCACAACAATGGTCTATATATACTTAATTATTTGTTTTTAAGATCTACAAAGTGGTTTGTAAAGAAATTGCAAAATATGTTTTGAGGTTAAAAATGGGAAAACCCAAGTTAAATCCCATAAAACCCTGTTTCCACACTCCGATCAGCTCATTCGGAAACTTATTGGAATACAGGTATGTTAGGTTTCCTCCGAAATTCATCTTATTGTGATAACTCAAGGATCGTGTTTCTGGCCTCTGGGGTCATCAAAGCGAAAATGTAAATTGGTCCCAGGTTTAGGTCTCACTGAGACCTACGGTAATAGCTTATTCTCTATATGGGAAATTCGCTAATATTCCCTGTATGGGAAATTTGCTAAAAGGTGCCCAATATTTCAGTAAAACCTGCGCCTCTATTGGAAGATAGTGTCTTTCAAATTAATAGCACATTTAAAAACCAATATAATTGTTTTAAAAAAAACTATTGTTTTTTTTAATAAAGAAAAATTAAATATCTTTGTTACTAGTTAAATAACTACAGACCTGTGGAAGGTGTAGGTAGTGTCTAGTTTACGCAGAGAGCGTAGTAGTATGCAGGTCGCTGAGTCCTCGGTCCTACACACCCTAGCCGTCACTGGCGCTCCTGATATAGCATCCAAGACAAACTGTGTCAACATCAGGTTGTCTCTGTCCGGACCTGGGATACACGATAAAAAGACTTCTTTACTAGTGAATCAATAATGTTGAAATGAAATAAAATGACTCATAAAGCATGTTTTGAAGATATCCGTAGAACGTTGAGTACAATTTTTACAAAAGGTAGAAAATAAAAAAAAACTAAGATCTCTTACAACTGCTACCTATTGAGTTATATAAAAAACTAATAGCCTGAATTGTGGGATAATTAATTACCGGTACATGGATTAGAACTTATATTGCTTGACAAAGAAGAATTTGGGCAGATAGCAAAATTTAAAGTTGTAAAGAAGGTGAGTATATTTGGTAAGTCTAGCTTGCCAATTATTTAACTGTAGTTGAGGACCTCAAAAACACAGGTAGAGTACTATACCTTACTTACAGCAACAGAAATTAGAGGTTTGTGCAAAATAGTTTGCACAAAAACTATTTTTTTCAACTTGACCGTTTAATAAATATGAGGAATTATTTATGATAACACATGATGCAACAATGCATAACTATATAAGACAACATTTTTAAAATTTAATTGGATTATCGTAGAACAATATACCGGTACTGTAAAACATTTGATAATTTTTCATGATCACAATGTAATGATCTTTTTCGTGACACAAAAAACATCACAACTCGATTCAATACAGCAATTGAGATAAAAAAAATGTCAACTGTTAAAATTATATTTGTTAGTCTTTTTGGACTATCAAGGCCTCGCACCTCCAACCTAAATGTTGAGCTACTCATTATACTTTCCCATTATTTAGTTTGTTAGTCTCCCATTATAACATATTTTAACCTCTAACCCCTGAATAAAACGCTTTAGCACCCCATTTTAGTTTATAATTCAACAAAAAGGGGAAATAATGTAGAATAATTAGAAGAGATCCCGAAATAAATTGATCCCAGAATGTTAAAATATAATTACTTTTAAGCCTACATGTATGCAATAAAACAATAGTGTAGAACCTTTCTCGTATATCCTCCTTGATTCCTCTTTGGCAATCCCAACTTCAGACAGTTTCGGGAGGAAGAAGAGAACACAGATGATGGCGATGAACTTAACTATCAATTTGAAGATGAGAATTTTGAGGAGGACCTTGAACAGCAGCACGGCCTTGGCATGTATGGGGTCTAGAGGGTTGGCAGGGGCGGCGTGGGGCTCAGCAGCGGGGGCCCCATAGTTGTAGCCCGTAGCGGGTGTCCCATAGTTTGTACTGGGGGCCCCATAGTCGGCACTGGGGGCCCCATAGACCTCGCCGGCACCGGGCCCGTGAGACTCCATGTAGGCTGACAGGTATGTGTCTCTGCGTGTTTTGGCATCACACAGACAGACCGAGAGCAGCATCAAGACAATCCACACTTTCATTTTTAACAACCGTGTTCTGTAAATAATTTACTTGTTAAGTTTACCAAAACTAAAAAGTGAAAATGTAAAATTAAAGTGAAATGTAAGCAGAAAAAATAGCATAGAATATAGCCTAAAACAACTGAGGATTAGTTGTTGACAACCTATTTTGAGTTTAGGGAACAAATTTAGCGGGATAATAAATCATAAAGTGGTCGACAAACAAAGTATTTTCGATCAACTTTATGATAGTGATAATAAGGATTTTAACTATCAAAACTTAATTGCAGTAATGTTTACTAACAGCTTGCGTCACTTTGTCACTTCCAAATCCGTGATAGGGCTATATTTGATGGTAGTTGATAGGGCGAAAAGGATTATTTCTCATCATATCCCTATTGTTTGCCTCGTAAGTCCTATTATTTTCATTGCGTGCACGATCTCTTCGAGGTATCTTAGTCTAAAAACAAAATCTAACGTACCGGTAAGTCATTTTCTTATTTACATTTTAAACAACATTGTTTTACTTGAATTCCCTAAAACATCAAACAAACATACTATGAAAACACAAAATTCGATCACAACACAGAAAGTAAGTTTTTTCTTCTTTACATTTTATACAAATAGCATTACAACAGTTTACTTGAATTCGAACATCAACCTGGAGGCGAGTTAGCGTAGCGAACGAGCTAACCTGAAAACAAGTGAGCGCAGCGAACGAACTTCAACCAGGACGTGATTGAGCCATGCGAATACTTATGAAGTTAAACGGGGCAAAGCCCGCGGGTACAGCTAGTATGCCTATAAAAATAAATATTTAGTGGTCGATTTGCTGCACAAGAATCCAACAAATTCTTTTAATAATATATAGGAGATTAAATTAATAACACACTTGATTTCTGAGCTTTTTAATCTCTGGCAATCATTATTACAACCGATAGAATATAGAGTGTAATTAGGATGATAACACCGGACTTTCTTTTGTGCGTGGTTCTAGTGCGCCCTCTGATGTTCTTTTGCATATTTATGTACTTTGCTCAATTTGCTGAGTTTTATGGTCGTAAAAACGCTGGTTAAATGTCAATACTATATTTTGTTGATGCCACATTTGTTGATGTAAGTTTGTAGTGATAAATTGAATGAGCTGGGATTAGAAGGTCAACGGAGTCATCAATCCATAACACTTCTTGAGGAAAGGTTAGTCCCTCTGGTCGCTGGCACTAAGCCACTATTGTCCGCGCTACGCCCAATAATTGTTGTGGTGAATATTAATTTGTTTTATTTACAATTGATTGAGTGATACCAATAATTGGGAAGACACTTTCCTTGTCCTATATCGCTAATACTAAGCTCTTTAACTCCCCCATTGCTCGTCTCAACAATCCGTCAGACAACCAACTGCTGATATTGTAATCGTAGTTCCATAATTAGATTTTGAAAAGTTACTACATAATGCTTGACTATATAGCTATTCCAGATTCAATATTCACAATAATGGCCAGTCGGCAAACATTGTACGGACCAATGACCAACATTTTGTCATTACCTTGGGGTCGATGTTTTACGATTTACATGGTGCCTTAATCTTCAGACAGCCTTAATCTAGAAGTAACTCTATCAAATGGCACAATACGCAACAAAGCCGGAAATAATGAGTTTCCGTGCATGCCGAGCGCAGGATCTCGTGTAACGTAGACAAATTCCAGGGTGAGTTTCGTACGATACTTTTTTCCATACTACCAACAACAAGTCTTAACAATAAATCTCTTGCTAATTTTGACACACACACCTAGTTTAACATAACCTAATAACGTTTCAATCATGTTTGCCACTTTGAAAACGTAGAATACTCTGGATTTATTATTTGATCAAAGGAGTACAGTAAACATAATTAAACTGTTAATGAAGCTCTAAGCTATAGGAACCGTTTTGAAAGGAAATGAGGTAAAATAATAGATAAGATGACGTTTAAATGTACCTATCTAAAAGAACAAATCGTTAAAAATATAGCCTATAGGCTATGAAGAAACAACCAACCATAAGGCTATTTGTTTTAGGACTTTACCTGTCGGCGAGTGTTGAGTGAGTGTCGTGGCGCTTATCACTGTGGCACTGACGCACCACTGACTGTGACTGACCACTGACCATTGACTACTACCTATTGTAGGATCAGTACCTTCTAACACGTGGTTGACATACAATACCGAGTCAACAATGAGTAATGCTGCTGTTACTGACTTAGCCACTGCTGATTGTTTAAATATTTATACCATTGAAATTCCTCATCTCTGTGCAAATTTCTACAACCATAGAAAATAATTGTTTGAAGTAGTCCCCTTTTCTCCGGGGAAATGTCAAAGTTGTATTGTTCTTCGCTTTGTTACTTTTTAGCTGAAGTATCGGGAGACCAAGCCTTGCTCGGTTGTATGGTTAAATGAGTTTAATCGTTAAAACAATGTCGTAAACAGACATATTATAATTTACAAACAAAATTGTTATTACAAACCATAGACATTTGATCGCTGGAATAATAACAACGCTGTAATATAAAAGTATGCAATTAAGCAAGAGTAAGATACACTTAAATGATTTTGCTTAAGTTTAAGTGCTACTCGCACAGAATCTTTCTCCGCTCTAGTCACTGAAACCCGTTATTCGAATTTTACTCATATAAACAAAATCATATTAGTTTCCAAACAAAATAGCTTGTGACAACGATTTTTCGCCTTTTCGCTTCTACTTCTACAGAAATTAATTAAGATTCTGTCTGGTTTTTTTTTATTAACTTCTACAGAAATTAAGATTCTGTCTGTTTTTTTATATTTATTTATTTTTTCATTGGGATTAGCATACGGAAATAGTTGCCACCAATTAAAACAACCAGATGAAATTAGTTTACTTGGAATGTCCCAGTAATTAGAGGATTAAGTTTTGGTAAGAGAGGACTGTAAAATGATCAGTATTTGATCTGAACTATTTCCCCCTATTTCGAGTAATCTTCAGTGTAATCCTTGCTCAATAGTTACAACTGATGTATTTTTCATTTGTACTGTATTTTGTAATTTGCTAGTATACTGTGGATGGCTTGTTAAACACTCGACTTGTTCCAACATAGTTATTTGGCAATCCATAAGGCCAAATGTTAAATGTTTGTATTCAAATGAGTAGAGAAATGAGAATTTTCCTGAGGTAGTGGCTGTAACGAATCACGTTTTTAGGGCTATAAGTCCCTAATTCCAAAATTTAGTCAAAATCCTTCCGCTGGATTTCAAGATATACAGAGTGATTGATATAAGTGTGCCAGCTGTTTTATTCGAAAACTATAAGAGAAATATGACGCTCTTCATACTGTATGAAGAAAGAAGAAGTACTTGTACTTCATGTTGATGATGACTCCACATAGGAGTCGAAACTAGTTGCAACTGCAATTAAATGGATTGCTTGATAGCAGGTATTTAAACCTTTTTAATACTATAAGAGATATCAAAAAAAGTTAAATGGTAAGTGCCTTGGATTTTTATTTTAAAAATTGTAGACAAGTCGAAAAAATATTTAACCCGCCATTTTTCCAATATGGCCGCCAACTTAGATTTTTCTCATGGAACAGAATTTGTTTCTCATGGTTGTTTGGTTTTTCTCCTGTATTTTATGATGTATTCCGGTAAAATGTAATTTTAAGGCAATTTTACTCTTGTGTTTTTTTTTCATAAACCTAACAGTTTCAAAGATAATCATGGTTAAAGTTTTGAAATTTCGGCAAGATAAAGAGTTTCGATAAAGGCCTAAGCAAGCATGCCAGCTGTTTTATTCGAAAACTATTTAAAATTTCACAACTTTAACCATTATTATCTTTGAAACGGTTAGGTTATGAAAAAAACACAAGTGTAAAATTGTCTTAAAATTACATTTTCTACCGGAATACATCATAAAATACAGAGAGAATTACAGATCGTGGTTATAAGTTACTGTACTAAATTCGTGGTTAATCAAACTATTTTTGAATGATGAAGATATTATTTCTTAAGGGATAGTGAGAAGGAGAGTGTTATATTTAGGCTATTAGGCTAATAGTTCTATATGTATGTACTGTTAGCTATGTTGTAAAATATGAAATAAAATCTCATATGCAGTACTATAGAATTCCAACTATACAGGATATAACTTAGTTAAAAATATTTTGTTATACAGGCAGGTACACGTAACCCTAATAAATTAAGGTTATACTTAAGCACTTCAGCACACAAACTTTACGATCATTTAAAGCACTCTCGCGTATCTTAGTCTATAAACTGTAATGAATTAATCGTTAAAAAGAGACTGCATTAGACTCATTCAATGTTAAAAAACGATAACAAACATTAAGTTGCATCGCTTAGTACTTAAGCAATCAATACATTTTCAGAACTAATCGAAGAAACTGTAACCTCGAAAGATAAAGGATTCATATCCCGTTATAAGGTTTCTTCGTTATTGAGTGACGGGGAGGACACTAGGTCAAAACCATCAAATTGATATATTACTTTGAGTAGGCGGTTTTGTGCATCGATGATTCAGACAAGTAAATTGTAGATTATTGTGCTTTGGGTGGACAAATGCTTCTGCGTGTCGAGACTGCTTCGGCATTAATCCTTTGCTTACTTTACTATAGCCAACCAAATATAGACTCGGGGATTAACTTCACTTAATTATACTGCCTCTATAGTAAATCTACTGTATAATGAAACTACGGTATGATTTTCCTTCTCTGTGAATGAACGTGGTCTGTGCCTCAAGATTTATACCTTTGGCTTAATACCTTCGTCTTCTGTTAATACAGGAATTTCACTTGTCATCGTCACCGTAATGTGGCCTAATACAAAAGTAACTTAAATAATATATAGTTACAGTATTTTCAAACGTGCATCAACGTCATCACTATCTTTGTACAATGTATGGCCTTGTAATCTCCACCACAATTTAAAAGAAAGAGAATTTTATAAAGCTATGCGGTGCTGAAAATTTTTAAATGTATATAAAATCAATAGTAGATGTGCAACTATTTACAGTCCTCACCACATTGCGAAGGACGGTAGATTGCATAGTGTGGAATTGTACTTATAGTAGGCTAATAGCAAAGCGGGAGTGCCGACGGAGACCAGGTCAAGTCCCTTCACACGCACGCACCCCCACAGGTCTCCATCGACACTCCCGTTTTGTTAACACTGTAGGGTTAGGGTTTCATGCGGCGAAGGGTTAGATAGAAGGGTTATTATCTATAATTTGAATTGTATATAATTTTATCGACGAAGCTAAATATCATTGCAATCAAATATGTACAAAGAAGTGATCAGAACAATTTTCCACAAACATTGAACATTAACTCGGTTTCAAAATCTTCCTGCGTTCTTCAAATCAGTGAAAACATAGCTTCTCGTTACATTAAATAAAAAATAATGATAGTAAACTGTTTTCCCCGCCGGTACAACTTATAGAGTATTTTATCTGAATCTGATAATTAATTTATTAATTGTTTATCACTGAATTCGTGATCACATAATATCACAGTATTAGTAGTGGTAAAGCTCTATAAAAGTCTTATAACTTAACCAAAATCAGCAATATTGTAAATTGTAGTATTTGTTTTGCAAATGTATAATGTTTGTTTGATAAGAGAGTTTAAGGATGTGAAAGTGTAAGGGCTCTAACAGCGCGTCCTAGTGGCCCACTGTCTATTGGCATTGACACCCAGTCGAGAGAATGTCCAGCCTGCTAATAAGGGTACCAAACAAACATATGTGGAGTGTTCACTAGGACAAGTCACTTATTCCTTCTTTAAACCTAGTGAACGCGGTAATCTATTGCTATAATCAGCTCATCGTTCATGGACAAATTATTATAAACAATGATGACATTTTAGTAAAAAATATGCAATTTAATCTGTCGGTAACTTTATTCATAAAATACAAAATACAACTATTTCATCAATTTAACTTATCAGTTTCGCTCAGGACTATCAACAATCTATAACAAGTCTCATAAGTAAAGATGTGTGGACATCACATACAGTACTTATAATCCTTTGTATCGGAATTTTCCTGTGTTTGCTTGCTTATGTCATCTGGTGAACCTACAGTTCTGGTTGGTTGAACCCGACCTTGAACCTAAACCAATCGACATTTAATAAATCTACCAGATTTTGCAATTCAGGCAGAAATGATTCTGTTTTGGATTCATACGATTAGCACTAGCAGATGTAACTTTTTAAAGACTTGCCTGCAAAACATTGCCTGCAAAAAGTAGTTGTTTGTGCGTTTCGGGCGTTAATTGCTCGTCTTGATTTTCTACAAATATCAGGCAGTTTTTGAGAATGCATTCAGAAATTTTCCTTAATAGCCTATACACTCATGCGAATTAGGTATTTTCTTGTAAAACGAAAACGCAAAAAATACTTTATCCTTCTCTCGGACAATAATATAGGTACCCTAAGTCGATGCTAATACAACAATCAATACAAGTGTGCTGCCAACACAATACCATCTAAAATATTAAAGTAAATAATAAGAAACATGTCAATAATAGCATATTTAGATAAAAATATTGATTTGAGAATGCCTAGTTATTTAAAACTGCAGAAGTTGTTTTAATTCCTAATAACATAAGATAAATGTTATTTGTCATAACCTTATTTAGGTAAATCAAATCTGTAAAATACTGCGTATACCCATTCGATCAGTGGCCGTTTCCAAATTGCGACTTAAATGTAAACTTAAGACTTTCTCTGCATTATTTGATCAGTGGTCTTCATCCATCAGAATGTTTTTTCCTCTGTACTGTGGCTAGGTCGTGGTTTGATTTTAACATATGATATGATTATTTGTTTGATTTACATTTACGTCGTTATTTTGTGCATGGCAACACATAAGGCCAATGTTAAAATTTAAAAACTCTGAGTTTACTTTTAAATTATATAGTCATGATCAAAAATTGAAATTGGTTTCGTCTAAACTTTTCAAACATTTGACAACACATCACGTTTGGCTAAAATATGATCAGTCGTTATTGAGTTATTTGAGTAAATGTGTTAAAATTTTGCATTGAAGTCGACCCAAAGAGCTCCGCTTCGCTTCCTAAATTATATGTGTTAATTAGCACGATAACTTGAATAAAAATCGTCTGATTTTTACGAATTTTGGTACAAATTTGTAAGAGAGACACATTTGTATCATAAGTCAACTGGTACATAACCGAATTAGTTTGGCTATTATTAGACCAACGCCAAAATAATTAGGTACCTATCTGGAAGTTGGTCGCGTGACCATATAGTACTGTTTCTATGCGTTTTTCAGTTGTTGTAAGCTATACCGATAACACCCTTTTGCCTACTGACATTACGCCTATACCTTTATTCGAAACCAAGACATATCCCGCAAATTCAAAACCGTTAATTTGTAATACACGATGGACCATGGTTTTTTTTGGGATGATTAAAACCTCTAAAATAAATAATAGCAGACTACACTGATTAAGAAAATGCATTCCCAAATTGTTATCAGTAGCACAAATACAAACAAAGTGACTACTTGGAATTCCTAAAGGTCAAGTTTATCATTGTAAACTTGTTATGCAACTTTATCACCACATCAACTAAACCAAGTTCTGCGCTGATGCTAACAGGAGCTGGCGCCGCTGCTAATGGTAGGGAATTACATCTGTTGATCAACCAGTTTGTGTAGGGTTTGGAAGGTCTCCACTTCCTGATCACGGCTAGAGGTCATAGTTCACAACAGTCAGTGTCAAGTGTCAGTGGTAATCATGCAGCCAGGAACACTCTTATGCTGCCTTGCCTTTGGTAAGTTCTAGCGATTCTCTTTCATTTTGGGTCTCTAAGTTTTATTCTAGAATGCTTTACCAAGCTGCACACACCACGAGGTGTCGATGTAGTTGTAAAATATTTACAAAAAATACAATTTTGTATTTTGTACTATTGGTTATGGTTTCTTATTGTGAATTGTGACAGTGATCAAGCCGGTTGTTTCGGAATCTACAGACTTACCAACTTCTGTGTAAACAAAACCACTATATGCTTAACGTTTTTGCAAATAAATTTTAAATAGTGAGGAAATTAACTAAAGTGGTACCGATGAAAGGTAGGTACCAGGTGCCAGGATGAAAGGTAGGTGAAAGGTGGTACAGATGGTAAAGTGGTAGGTGATGTTCTGAAAGTTAATAACAATTACAACAAATAATTAGCTACTAACTGCTATGCATTTCTAAAAAAAATACTCAATGCAGCCTAAGCTTGGCAACAAATAAGGAGTGCGAAAATCCCGTTTTCAATTTATTTCTTTTATTGAAAACTTATATTTTTTATCATAAATCTTGACTTTTATAATTATTTGAAAATATACTGGGAGTGAGCTTTTTAGGCAACCAATTATTAAAATAGGTCCAGTAGAACTGTAGATTTAGTTGCACAAAGATTTTAAAACCTGAATTATATTATATTAGTATTTATACATTGTCACTAACAAATTACTTACACAATTTGGTTTGAGTTAATTGTTTTATATATAGTATGCAGCTAATGTGCTTGTTTGTTCCTGGACAGTGGTTTTTGTGGCAACATGTGAGGGTATGGAGCTGCGTCCTCGCACTACCAGTACACCACTGCCTCCTCGTAGAGAGAGATTGCCATACACTCCGGTCCGCAACAGTACCAGGAAGGAGCGACTTCCTTACACTCCTGTCAAACCTACCACACAACGGCCAGGCATACTCAACAGGTACAATCACTTCATAGCGTTACCTTGAAATTATGGTTTAGTAGGGCCCACTCGACGAATCATTTGATCAATCTTTATAGGAGTGAAAATTACATCTTGAGATGTGTAGCCTAAGTTGTGTGTCTGGTTGCTGGGTTGGCGCTCTTTTTCAAATTTCTCCTGAAACTGCTTATTACTTACCCTACTAACTCCTGTGGCCACTTAAATCCAAGTTAATGTTTAACCTTGCCAAAATATTGACTCCAAACTTATCTGTTCTCGGGCATGTCCACTTCTATCAATGCTTTCTTATATCTCCAGCCACTTGGTCTGTCCATCATATTCTTAGTCTTTCTTCTGGTCAATCTCTCCACACCCTTCTTATGGCTGCATCCTCCTCTCTTCTTCTCAAATAACCAATCCACCTAATTCTCCTACTTCTTATCAGCCCCACCATATCTGGTCTTCTGTACAGGATCCTGAGTTTTCTATTTGTCAGTATTCTCCAAAAACTGCGTATTAAGGTTTAATATTATTTTTTTAGGACTACAGTATACCTTTTTAAAATGGATACAGGAATATTATCACTATAAATGTAATAAAATTCAAACTTCTTTTCCTTGAGCTGTAATATCCTAAGAGACATTTAAACGTAAACACGCACATAAAAGGTTTTCCCAACCCAGATAAATCTCAAAGGATACAATTTTAAACACTGTACATCTTAAACCCCCCCTGTTCAAGACCATACTCAAGAGCACACTTCCTAGAGAAATGAGGAGTCGGGGATTTTTTAAAATTTATTACACTTAAATTGTTTTTTAGGCTATTTCTACACTTACAAAGCTTATACAAATCGGTGCATTTTTGTAACTGTTCTAATACAACTTTTTGCTTGAAGTTAAATTTTAATTATAGGCCTACTTAATTGTCCTCATTTGTCTGTGTTAAGTAGTGCAGTATTATGTTTCTTAAGATTCGTTATTGCTATTTGCTAAGAGTTTAATCACAAAACAAGGGGAAGAGCTGAAAGGAGGAGAGAATTGTGGGTCACCCAGTGTTCCACTGTTTCAATCCCACCATAGTACCTCTTTCAGGGATGAAACGCCGCAGGTTGCGCACAAACAAATTCAGCGTTCAGCAAACTCGTAGCAGTGAAAGAACAATGAACTACAATCAAGATTGCCCTTCGTTACTCACTTTGCTCCATACAGTGCAATAAATAGGAACATGAAATTAGTATACTAATCAACGTCCACCGAACATTACCAAGTTTGACAGACTCGGCATCAAAGCTTGCTTGCATTACCCTACAAAGTAAAGCATGAATTGTGTTCATCAGTGGAAACGTTGCGTTATCAGCAAGAGTCTGTAGTGGCGCCTAGTCTGTAGTGCACTACTTGCTATTACACTATTACAGTGAAATAATAAATTTCATTAATGTGGGCCTACTGCAAGGGTTCCGTAGAGCAAAATTAGTTGCTGACACCATAAAAGTGTTAAAACCCATTTTGATTGATAGCGGACGTAACAAAGAAATATTGCACTTGGCGCCCTGACCCTTTCTTGGCCTTTCCCTCTGTTTTTTTTTTTGTCTCGTGGGCACCAGGTACCATTTTTCTTGAGGGTGCATCTGCCATGTTGCAGGTAGACCTGCGGCCCAGTCCGCCCCTGGTCTTGAATATATTTTCTCAAGACTGATAAATTTTGATTTGTTTTAGAGTAACAACTAAGAGGATCCCATTTCCCAAAGCAACATCACCCAAGCCCTGTCCTTGTCAGTGTAACACAACTAACTACCGGCCGGTGTGTGCTGTGGATGGATCGGAAAAAGACACCTTCCCCAACCAGTGTCAACTGGACTGTCACAACTGCACCATGAATAAGCGTAAGTTACAACACAAAAAGCTACTTAACTAGTTCTGAATGAGTCAATACTTAATATATAAATTAGGTATTTGGTTTTGGTATGTTACAATTCTATACTCAGAAGATTAACTTTTAGCCCATTTTAAAGCTGGAGGTCAGCATACCACAGTGTTTGTTTTGTATGACTCTTTTCACTAGCCCACTTGTACACTACTCCTGACCTGTCTTCCGCGCTATCCCACTTCTTCCGCACAGTGACCAAACGGAGGTTACATTTTGAACAACCTTCATAGTTACTACTTACATTACAACAAATTTTATTATATATTTTAAAATTGTGTGTTAATCTATGGCTTTGTTTTTGTAAGTTTTTTTTGTAAAGATACAGTCCATAGACACTAGTCTTGTTATCTAATTTCAAGCTTTTTGTTGGATAGCATTATTCATTTATATTTTTATAGTATGATCCTTTTTACAAGGCTTTGTAAAAAATGAGTATTGCAAGGGCTAAAATGTGTAAAAAGACAGGAGACATTTTAAAATGTTCTGTTTTTATTTTGCTTCAGGCTTCAAGGTAATTGCTCAGGGAGAGTGCAGCAGATGAACATAAGGAGTTACTTCAATAAAAAATCGTTACTGTTTATAAATTTTATTTTTACATATTTGTACATAGGTAGTTTTGTATTTGTTTTTTATGTGTCTAAACCTCAAAATACATTGAAATAAAAATGTTTAAATAAAGTGAAATTATCTTTTTCATTTAATCACAACTTCTTCCATAATCTATCTGGGTGTTCCTTAATGGTCCCCTCCCTGGTTTATTTTTAAACGGCTGCATATACATTAGAACTCTAACTATCCGAACTCCAATTAACCGAATCTCCGATTATCCGAATCACTTACTTCAATAACTTTAAAAACGTAAAACTACAGTAATAAGTTTCACAAAATATCAAAGAATTGTTATGAAACACATTTAGCCAGTGTGTAATTTTTGACTTTGGTGGAACACAATTAACTTAATAACTTGTATAGAACATTTGTACTATGAGCATTGTAAACTGTAAAAATGTTCTGATTTCATTCATTTATTAATTAAAAGTACACTTAGCACCGAAAATGAGGACTTTTCTTTAAAATTCCTAGATTTACGGTAAAACTCTGATTATCCGAATTTGTAACTATCGGAATGGGGTCTGGTCTCTATTGATTCGGGTAATCGGAGATCTACTGTATTCAAACAAGCTTCGATACACGTTACTATGGTATAGTATTGTAGTTATTGTAAAGTACTTTTTGGGGGTATTTTGAAATTCACCCCTCCCCCCCCAAATAGGGGATGCTGGGGGTAACTTAAACATTTTAAATAGCAACCCCTATCAAGTAGTACCTCAATTTAAAGGCCATTAGCTAAACAGAATATCGGCGAAACCAGAGGTCTCTATCTCAATCCATTACAGAATGGCGGCCATTTTAATTTTTCATCAGCCTGAGAGAGCCCATGTAAAAATATACACCAATATCCCCTATTAGCATTTTTTTGGGTAGTACCAAAAACTGAACTTATATTGTAACAAGAAAGTAAAAGCTACTTTTTGATCAGTATGACAATTTTGCCCGGTACCCCAAAATGTTTAAATATAAATCCCCATCAAGTGACACCTCATTTTGAAGGTCTTTAGTTAAAAAGAATATCGGTGAAAATCAGAGGTCTCTACCTCAACCCAGTACAAAATGGCGACCATTTTTAGTTTTCAGGCATTACATATAAATTTTTGAGCTGCCCTAATATGCTTCATTTTGGGTTCCCGGGGGAAATTGTGATACCAACTAAAAAGTACACTGTTTTTCTTATGAATGGATAAGCTTTCCTGGTACAACCTGATGACTACAAGATCGTGCCACTCATCCTACACTCATCTCCATTCAATCTTGGCTTAAAATACCTACTTTGTATGGTTGCCATTTCATTAAAAAGTATTAAAGTACCACAGTATTAAATTAGCCGTTGTCGTAAATTTAAACAATTAAATAGTCCTGCACACTGTTGGTAAACCTATTAACTTTTTAATGCTATTGAACATCACAGAATCAAATTGTTTAGTTGAAACAGCTGTTAAAATTCTTTAAATCCGTTTAAATATAAGTACTCATAAGGGATGGGGAAACTCCAGAGCCACTGGGGCGTTTGGACGGATCACAAAATTGATGGTGTATAAACCTACCAATTCCATGAAATTCTACACGTATGTACCAAGTTTCGTGGCCATCGGTCCAGAGGTGTCTGAGATTATCACTGCCAAATATACTAAAGTACAAACAAACCGACATCCTCTTTTATATATATATATATATATATATATAGATTATCAAGCCAATGACAAATGGTGTCTGGGTAGTCAATCAACTGAATACTTGGAAACCTGTCATTTGTGTTAGTGACTGAGATTTGCTATAGTTCCTTTAAATATCAAACAAACAAGGCAGACTCTAGAATGCATTCTCAGGATGGTCTCGTAATCTGAATTAAAATTACTTCAAATTGTTTTATGCTGTATCGTATAACCCAGTGTTGGTCATAATTGTTAAAATTTATAATTGAAAACTTTCTTATCAATAACAATACCCCCACCGCAGCAAACCTGCAGACTAAGCGAATTTCTATTTGCCTGATTGGATTTACACTAAAATGTCTCATTAAAAATATCACATTTATTCCCTATTTAAATAGAATTAGTTTAACGAGTACTTAGGCTTGCTGCAACAGGAAGGGTAAAAAAGTGTTTTTTGTTGTAAAATGTTAATACTGTAGTTTAGTAAGAATAGTTATTTTCCTACAGTTACCTAACAATGGTCGTACGGAACGAGGTGAAGCTTGGAGGGGTATAGTGTTGTGGCGGGGGAAGGGTCGCTATGAGAGGCGACGATCGGCTCGTCTCCTACCCCCACCATGGATTTCCCCGCTTTAGACCGTTCCCGCCAAAAATCTCAGGCTTCACCTCGTTCCGCACGACCTCTACATGTTCTCTCACTGATTTGAGAAAGCAAAGTGGCCAATTCGCTCATCAGTGAGACAATGTTAACATTGTCTTGAGAAAGCAAAGTGGCCAATTCGCTCATCAGTGAGACAATGTTAACATTGTCTCACTCTAATTACTTTGTCTCACTCCAGATTTGCAACGTGAAGGCACGGAATAGTGAGCGCGAAACATGCAGGCAACGTCGTATGCGCGCGAAATACGTTGGCAGCACTGGCTGTAAATCAGCTGGTCAGCTGTTGTACTGTTGTATTTGTAACTTCACATTAAATGTTATATTAAAAGTTCACTTCTGTGAAAAATAAGGTTATGTTTCTTCACAAATTTATTTGTTTTATGGTAACTGTAGGAAAAGTATAATGTGCAACTCGAGTGCAAAGTACAATTGCCTCACTCGAGAAACCATTCCTCACTCGCCTACGGCTCGTGAGTAAGGGTTTCTCTCGAGTGAGTCAATTGCTGACTTTTCTCACTAGTTGCACAAATAACTATTGTGCAACTAGTGAGCAATTGACTCACTCGAGAGAAATACTTACTCACAAGCCATAGGCGAGTGAGGAATGGTTTCTCGAGTGAGGCAATTGCACTTTGCACTCAAGTTGCACATTATATTTTTCCTACAGTTACAATAAAACAAATAAATTAGTAAAGAAACATGACATATTTTTACACAGAAGTGAACTTTTAATATGACATTTAATGATCAACAACAGTACAACAGCTGACCAGCTGATTTACAGCCAGTGCTGCCAACGTATTTTGCGCGCATACAACCTTGTCTGCATGTTACCCGCTCACTATTTTGTGCCTTCACGTTGCAAATATGGAGTGAGACAAAGTAATTAGAATGACATTGTCTCACTGATGAGCGAATTGGCCACTTTGCTTTCTCAAATCAGTGAGAGAACATGTACATTGTTGGTAACTGTAGGAAAATAAATGTATTTTCCAAATTTGATCAAAATATGTTTATAAACAAGCAAACTACAACAATTGACTTATCCTACTAATATTATAAATGAGAAAATTTGGATGTATGGATGTATGTATGTTTGTGACAAGTAAACGCAAAAAATACTGATCGGATTGGGCTAAAATTTGGTGTGATGATAGCTCACATTCCCGATTAAAATATAGGCGCATTCTTATCTCAAAAGTCCTTTCGGGCTCCGCCCCAGTGGCTCTGGAGTTTCCCATGTTAACTTTATGAGTATTCATATTTAAAAGGAATAAAAGCATTTTGTCAGCTGTTTAAGTTGGTTCTATGATATTAAATGGCATTAACAAGTTATAAGGTTTACCAACAGGGTGCGGTACTATTAAATTTAATATAAAACTTCATTATAGAATATATTTTTTTTTTTATTTATGTCAATGGACACTAAAGTGCAGCCGAATTTTGTTTCTAAAAGCGTTAGTTGATGTGTAACTTTTTTATACAACAAATGTAAAGATCAAAATGTTTCTATTTTGTGTCCTCTTCCCGTTGCAAAGCATGGGTACAGCAGCTAGTTCCCCATATGAATAACATGGGAATTTTAAATTTAAAGTTTTTTTTTGGAAGAGTCTCCGTAACCATTAGGTGCATAATAACACTTCAACATACAAAATTATTTGGTTTTTTTAGCTCTACAAAATGGATTGGAAAAGAAATTGTAAAATTTTGTGTTTTTTGTTCTGTTTGTTTGTTTTGATTTCATCAAAATCGGATAATTTTTGCTGGAGTTATCGTGCTAACGGACATATACAGGGTGTCCATAAAAAACGTTTCAGGACTTTGGGAAATGGATCCCCATACTAAAAGGAAGAAAAAAGTTTATGGGAAGGTATGTCCGAAAATGCATATTTACCCAGATATCCGCCATTTTGTTTTTTATACAAAAATATTTTTATCTGTGATGTTTTTTATTAGATGATTATGAAACTTGGTAAACATGTTACCATACACAAGACCTATTATAGAAAAAATAATAAAGTTGTTCCGATTGTAAATTTCAAAATGGCGGCCGGTTGAATTTTTCTAACTTAAATAACTCAAAAACGGCTAATTCTATGAAAAAATGTCAAGAATACTTTTCTTTTGCATTTTTAATTCCCTATCAAACAATACCAAGATCAAAAAGATCGGACAAAAGATAACTGAAATATTAAGTTTTTTCTGTAAAAATGAGGAAAAAATTGAGGGTTCCCCGACTAACATTGCCTTATTTTTACAGAAAAAACGTAATATTTCAGTTACCTTTTGTCCGATCTTTTTGATCTTGGTATTGTTCGATAGGCAATTAAAAATGCTAAAGGAAACTATCCTTAACTTTTTTCATAGAATTAGCCGTTTTTGAGTTATTTAAGTTAGAAAAATTCAAATGGCCGCCATTTTGAAATTTACAATCGGAACAAATTTATTATTTTTTCTATTATAGGTATTGTGTATGTTAACATGTTTACCAAATTTCATAATCATCGAATAAAAAACTTCACAGATAAAAATATTTTTGTATAAAAAACAAAATGGCGGATATCTGGGTAAATATGCATTTTCGGACATACCTTCCAATAAACTTTTTTCTTCCTTTTAGTATGGGGATCCATTTCCCAAAGTCCTGAAACGTTTTTTATGGACACCCTGTATATATACATGAATTTGAAGGCATGGTGTTTTTGGCCTCTAGGGATCTCAAAACAAAAAAGTTAATCGGTCCCGGGTCCAGGTCTTACCATGACTACTACGGTAAATAGCTTATTCCCTATATGGGAAATTTGCTAATACCGCCTGTTCATAATAAACTACAAATAACTAATATTATTAGTAAATCAGCTGATCGCCCAATACAAATCTTATGGAAATTGCAATTTACAAGTTGTAGCTTGTAACTTGTAGTTCATCATGAAAAAGTGTGTAAAATGTATTGGTCATGGTCTTTAAAAATAGAACAAACAAGGGGTTCAGTGAGTCATGGGGTGTGACACTCATACATATATTACTTGAATGCTGTCTCCAGGCAACCTGTTTGTTTTGTTAATATCAGCTGGAAAGCAAACTTCACTAATCATTGGTTTTGTTTACTATGCTAGTAGTTGCTGCTTAAAAATATTATTATCAGATAAAAACCTATTTTAGGCAATTCTAACAATTCAGTTGTATTAACACATTTTTAAAACTTGCTCATAACTTTGGATATGATTAGATCTATAGACCTCCCTCTTCTTCCAGGAAACTCTTTTCCAAACAATGTAAGTAAAACATAAACCCCATACCTACAAATTTGAAGAATTTAATTAGCATGACCTATTTAAAGAGGAGATCAGACCAAATAGTGATTGCTTGATTTTACATCTTTATTATGTGCGATTCATAAATAAAATATTTGCACATGTATAATTTATACATGCAATTTAACCACTAATTTTTACATTTACTTAGTAATATACCATAATTCACAATTCCATTAGAAATGAGATATTTTAGACAGTTACGGTGTGAATTACATTATAACACCCTATTGAAGTCCACCAGTAGCCAAGGTTCTGTGTCACACCTTTGTTTGTTAAACTCCAACCAGGATAAGAGGTAGAGAGAGACATTACAGCTTTTCACATCTTTTGTTGTCTTGATTTAATTTCATTACATCTAACAGAAATAAAAGGGCAGAAATCAAATCCAATCCATAAAATATGAGTCATTCTAGTCAAAGATATATTATTCTGTTGTCAGAGTGTAGTCAGAAGTTTGTTATCAATTTGATAAATAGGCCTGTGTGTATAGGGATTATGTGACACTGTCAAAACAATTTTGAAAACAGTTTTGAAAAGTATGACATATTCTGTTGATAAGATATTCAAACTAGGTCAACATATAAATATTCTTATATCCCTCTTGGAATAAACTAGTATTCTAAAGTCCCTTCCTAGGTGATAGTACTTACAACATGAGCTGCTATATGTAAAGTATGGTAACAAATAACAAACACATCTGGATTGTGCTCTAGCAGTGTTAGCAGGCTGTCTCCCATAGTTGCCCAAAGTGTCAACTGTCTTGTAGCTGGGGTACCTAGACATCCAGTGACCTTCTAAAAAAAATCATAAGCAAATAAAAAAAATGTATGTGCACAATTAACACAACCTCTACTCACTCTAATCACTTTTAAATCAACTATACTGCAGATTAACTAAAATATGAATGATTTGAACATGGAATATATACCATACTTAATAAAAAAAATTTATCAGTCATTCGTGAAAAAGGATACAATTGTACAAGATTGCTAGTTACCTTCAGTAAGTGAGTGAAAATTTAAAAACGTACGTTTTCATGTCCCTGGCCTTTTACTTCGTAGATACTGGATTTGTAGTTTATTATTATGTGTTTTAATATTTTTTGGGACGGGGGCAACATGTTACAAACATTTATTTGGTTTTAAATAGGTTCTAGGTATTTTTTTCGCATTTTTAAAGTCTCGAAATTCACGACCATGACGTGTCCCTAGGGTACATTTTTCAACTTTCGTTTTTAGACTAATTATTCATGCCGAAATATATAAAGCCATATTTTTATGTCATCAATGGTTATTAAACTTACAAAAAAGGAGCATATTATAATTTTATTGTCATTACAAACTGACTACCATGACAAAATAAGTCTGTCCCTCGATTTGGCGTCGCGACCATTTGGGAAAAATTTTCAACTTTGAAGCACGACAGTGGCAAGTCTGGCGTCGATGGAGTCAGTTGGTTTTAGAGACTAGTTCGGGGTGTACGTCAGGATTGTAGTGCCGGTCGTTTCGAATTGAAAGGGGAATTACAAGATTAATAAAGGAAAGATTGTGTTTTTTGTAATTTTGGTGTGTCCATGACCATACGTAGTCATTAGATGAAGTAGACATGGTGTTAATTTTTGTTTATAAGATATTTCAATTGCTAGATTAACCTAGAAGTCCACTTTGTAACATGAGGTGCAGGGCTACCGCCAGAACAGAGCCAAATAACACGTAATTTCACGACCAAAGTTTCACGACCATTGCGGGTTTTTTCACGACCAATCCAGCCTTATGGATTATAGTGGGTTTGGTCGTGACAATAACTTTAATATAATTGTAAATTGAACAGCTTAGTTCAATTGAAACACATATTTTTATTTTATAACTAACATGATAATTGAAGGATTGTTTAGAAAACTTAAGATTATTCCAGACAATTCACGACCATACCGCTTGTCCCTGACCATCACGTTTATGATTTCTATCATAAAAATTTCAAAAATTAAAATATTGTCATATCTCAATGTTTTATACACAAAAGAAGCACACCTCTATACAAACATAACAATTTTTCAGGTGTCAGGTAAGTTTTTTCGGAGTTATACAAACTTGAAAAGATTTTATTGGCTATTTTTCAATTTTTTGAGTTTTTTTATTTTTTTTAGAAAGACCAAATATACCAAAAGCTCAGTGACCTTTTTATTGTATAATGGTCATAAAAGTAAATTATTTTATAGCAAAACATAGTTATAAAAATAATATTAACTATTTTTAATATTCATTTAAACGTCCGTTATGGTCGTGACAGGATTTTGTGTTTTTCCACTAAAGATTCTCTTTTAAAAAGAAACTACCAAAGATATTGCGTTACAATGGACATTTTATGAAACTTCAAATGATAATGAAATAAAAAAAGTAATAAAAGTTTTGAAAAAAGGGGAAACAAATTTGCAAAGTGCTTTTCCTGAAAACGTACGTTTTTAAATTTTCACTCAAGTACAATTTTTAATAAAGTCTAAATTAAAAGACAAGATGTTATCCATTTCACAAAGTGGAAAATTATTTAACTAAGCCTCAAACTAAACCTATAAAGTCTTGTTTTAAAACTACCTACTAATTAAAAATTTGAATCAAGTCAAATCAAATTTGAAAAGTTTGATTATAAAAAAAACTAATCAAATACCCTAACTACTAGTTTCATTTCCGATTTAATTTATAACTTATAATTTATAAGTACAATTTGTACACATGTTTTAAAATAGATTGGTCAGACAAGATTTCACAAGTCACACCATTTTGAGCTGTTCGAAGTTCCGTACCTTAGTGACAAGGAAAGGCCTGGTATTGGAGGAGCTCCTATCTACTACAGCAAGCCTCGACGCTACCCTTCAATCTACGCTAGGGGAGACGTGTCTGAATTGCCTACATGGATTGCTTACGACAGACAGGTAAATCTCATACTTTCATCACTTTTTAGCGAATTTCCCATATAGGGAATAAGCTATTACCGTAGGTCTCATGGTAAGACCTAGACCCGGGACCGATTTACTTTTTCGTTTTGAGGTCCCCAGAGGCCAAAAACACCATCCGTTCAAATTCATATATATATATATATATATATTTATATATGTGTCCGTTAGCGCGATAACTCGAGCAAAATTGATCCGATTTTGATGAAATTTGGCACAAACGTGTAAACCTACATTTATTCGAACGAGTTCGGGAACCAGCATAATCGGACCATGGGATCAGGGGTTTATGGGGGAGTTTTATGGGGTAAAAATGGGTTTTTCTCATTTTTGACCCTAAAAACTTTAAATTTCTAAATTTCTCTCTAGACCATTTTAAAGAGCTTAAAAAAACAAATAATTTAGTATATTGAAGTTTTTTGAATGTTCATTGACTACGGAGAAAATTTAAAAAAATGTAAATTTAAAATTCCCATGTTATTCTTATGGAGAATAAATTAACTGTTAACTAGTTTGCTTGTTTATGGATATATTTTAATCAAATTTGGCAATTTGGCTTATTTCATACTAAGCTATCAATATTTCAATTGAAAAAAACACACCTCAACATCTTCCCCGTAGCAGCAAACCTAACTACTCACTAAAATTAATGTTATTTAAATAGGAAATAAATCTGAAAATTTATAGGGAATATTTTAGTAGAAATCAAGCCGGGTAAATGGAAATTCGCTTAGTATGCAGGTTTGCTGCGACGGGGGTATTTATAAGTTTAGTGTCTCAGATGTTTGTAGGCTTTTAAACTTGGTTTATCAAAAACCTACAAGTGATCAATGAAATGCAGGTAAATCTTGAAAAATAGGCACCTATTGTTTGTAAAGTTCTATTGAAATTAAAATTAAAATAGCTAAATAAAACTGCAAAACAAATACTAACATTATATAGCCTAAATGTTAAATAAATCAGTCATAATATGGCACATGGATAGTTCACAGGGCACATGGATTTTAGAACCACTTTAACTCCCTTAGCATGTGTGTGTGAGGTCTAATGAAGCTACATTTTTTATTTTTGTGCTTAAAGGTCTGAAAAATCATAAAATTTTTTTGTAGTCTTCCCAGTCTCTAGAACAATTAATCATGTAGGATTTAAATCCATGTGTGTAGCCCCTGAGCTGTTGGACATAATGTAAGACTAAATTAGTCTAAATTACTTATGTATTCTCGTCACAGCTCAATAAAATAATGTCTGTTTGGAGAATAGGTACGTAAGTAATTTAGTCCTACATTATGTAGGATTTACTATCTTATATCTTCATATCTCATATACTGCTTCATAAAATTTCATCCAGCTTTTTAAGAACCTGGCAACTTTAAATTAGACCAACATGAACAAAATCTTAAAACTTAACGTATTGCCAATTTCACTTCTAAAATTAAATACTGGTAACAGTTTTATTTAAAAATGATCTGTAGCCTATTATATTCCCTTTTCACTCTCTTGTCGGTCTTCCGACGACATCGGTCATTTTGCAATCTTATATAATTACGCCCTCCAGAAAAAAATGATGACAATTTATTTTGGAAATTTAATTTTTATTTTTCGTTATTAGTATAATTTGAAGTTAAAATACTGGTATGTTTAATGATCTGCAAAATAAATTAAATCTAGGGCATGGGGGCGGTGCCCTAAAATAATGAGAGTGGAAAGGGTTAAAAATATATTTGGATCACTATAAAAATGTTTTTCTCTTTAGATGTTAGCATTTGATGCTTATTTCCAAGAGGCCATTCACGAGGTCCATGGATACAATCATCTGGTGAGGAAATGCAAGATATATTTTTATCTAGAAGATGGTACAATAAAAGTGGTTGAGCCAAAAATAGCAAATAGTGGGATCCCACAAGGTAAGAATGATTATGACTCCTTATACCAAAATGCTTTCCACAGAAAATTCTATTATAGCCGGTATAGCTTTCAGTTAAAACAAAAGTCAAGGCTTCAATGAAGCAAAAAAAATAAAAAATAAATAAATAAAAACTGAATTACACTTGCTACTTTAACTGCAAAATAAATTAGCCTTTGATATTGGCAGCTTTCAGAATAGGTACCGTATTGATTTTAATTTTCTTTATTCATTCATAGTATGGGATTTAGGAAAGTCAAAACCCTGGTCTTGTTAGAATTAAACATATTGTCAAAATGCTAGAAAACATCAATGACAACTTGCAACCCGACAAGAAAAGGTTCTTCTCAATAATTGAGGTTCTTCTCATTATCATATGAAAACAAATTTTTTGTCATTTTGATTACTGTTTCTTTGTCAATCTCCCTTTGTTTTAATAAATTTACAGGGTGTCTCATGGCTCGCCAGAGGATTCGTCTCCCCAAGTCATCAGGTTCAGACGACTTTTATGATATTATAGACTTCAACATAGGCAAGACTGTTGACCTGCATAGCAGAGTGTTCAAGATTACAAACTGTGATCACTTCACCAGAGTGTTCCTCAACCGTCTAGGAATTGCGGTCCCTGATCCCTTGGCCATGCCAGATGACCCCTACACCTCAACTAGGGAAATGGTACTTTTCCTTTTGTTATATACCAGCAGTAAGAGTACTCGTTGCTCATATAACACACTATTAATATACACAATAGTTCAACAATAATTGTAATTATTCTAATTTTAAAACTTTGTTTTCATACATCTTACTCTTATTTGCTACAATTTAAGTCTGTGCACGGATCTTTTGGGTGCTCTCTAGAAAAGAGAAATTAGATAATTTTCTGTTGAACTTAGGAAAATGACATACAGTAATCCAGTAGCTACAACAATTCTGCAACTTCATATGTTAGTCATACAGTCCTTTGGTTGGAGTCAAGTGTGTATGCTAGAAAACCATGCTAGGTGTGCGATTTTACTGACATACACTGACTAATGTTATAAATGAAAGGGTGGAGTGTAAATGTCATGCTTTGGGGGGGGGGGGCATTAGGCTTGGTTTGGGGGGCATGTGCCATTGCCCTTTGGGGGACTGGGCACCTCTGTAGCCAACTACCTACTTTCAATAGGTGTCAGTTATTGATCTTTAACTAACTAGAGTCCTTTATATGGATTTGTGGCCTCCTGTAACCTTTATTTTTGTCGTCCACATGGATGGGCCTGAGGTTTGAATATGGGATGTGTTCTAAGAAAGCACAGGGATAATTTGGTGCATAAAGTTACGTTTCCATTGTTACAAGTCGCAGGCACATGTCGCACGTAATTTTTCATGCCGTTTCCATTCCAGGCACATGGTGCACAAGTTCTGCGACTACGACTGGCAGACAATGTAATTTTATTGTTATGTGAGTTTCGGTATTTGATTTTGATTAAATTGTGTTCTACAAATCACCATGGATGACATAGCAGGCTCTGATTAATTATGGCTTGTGCATGTAATGAATTTAGAATAAAAATATTTAAACAACCTAGATATTCGATAAGAAGTTTTTTTGGCTAAAATACCTTTGAAAGGCGCTTTTAACTAGATGAGAGATTAGAGCGAACAAGTGGCTTTAAAAATTTCCTCCTTATGACTTTCCCTGATTTTGAATTTTTGTTAGAAATGAATGTGCAGGAAATTGAGAAAAACAGCGATTGTTAAAAACCTATTCATACTGGGAAATGAACTACTATTGTTAGCAACAGGCAATATATATAGCTACAGTTCATTGATGCACATTCACAATCACAGGAGATCTAAATAAACGATATCAAGATTAATACCTGTAGTGTGCAAGCAAACCCATTGCTGTAGTTTTCTAAGAGCTACATTCTGATAAGAATTGATCCGAAAAATCTACATATCTACATATACAGTATACTATAAATGAAATAATATTCCTGATTTTGTATTGATCATGATTATCAACCCATAAATATTTTTCTGGACATTTGGAATCACATTAAATGTCTTATCTTTGATGTGCCTTTTTTGTGGGTTTGGGTGATATTTCTTGAAATGCCTACGTTCTTTGGCTGTTAAAATTTTTAAGTATGTGGCAATAGAAGTTGTTTGACAAACTTGGGAATGTGCGAGTTGCAGGCACGTGTGCCCGGCCGTTTCCATTCCAACTGGGCATGTTTTTTTGCACAGTCGGTGGGCACTAAAGTCGCACCGGCACTTGTGCCAGGCTGTTTCCATTCCTACAAATTCGGAGATTTGTGCCGGGCACAAATTTGTAGGAATGGAAACGTACCCTTACAATAAAAAAATTAGGCTTAGTGATACAATTATTAGCAGTCAGTTATAAAAAATGCTGGTCGGTTTTAAAGTCTCCTGCTATACCAACTGAGCCATTCATTTCCTCACCTTCCCATTTAAGCTATTTAGCTATTATAACTTTTTAATGAAACCAAAAATACCATTTGTTCTCTTGTACCGTCAATTGAATTTTATTAGTTTTTTTGTCTCCCTGTGCTATTTTACTGTTAACCCTCCGTCGGTGACACCATGGATTTTTCCTCCAGGGGCATTTGTTTTTATAGAAAAATATATGTTATCGCCTGTGCGGAGCTTTAGGAGTAACAGTACCTCACGTCCTTCTTCAATTCTAGGAACCGATAGAAAATTATTTTGATATCACATCCCTCCCGCAAAACCCATATCAATCAGTTAAAGCCCAAAGAGTCATATGGCACGAAGCCCGGCTCCGTGAGTCACCGATGGTATTGTTGTTTTTGTTTGCTATATATTTTATAAATATGTAAAGTAAGAGTTTTTATTGAGTTCATGTACAATTTTATTGACTGTAGGTACATGGTATATATATAAATATAATATTAAAAAAAAACATAGTTCGTCTAATGTTTCAACACCCGGAAAAAAAGCTACGTGATTCACCGATCGTGTTTTAAAATCAAAGACCCCGATGAAAGTTAACCTTTGCTGCTACATTTCTAATGACTTTCAGGCAAAGTATGAGGCTCTGCCCAAGAAACCAAACACCAAAGTGGACACGCTGGGTCAGTTCCTGGCGATGGATGGGAAGGTTCTGTGTTTCACAGGCTACTGGGACGACAGAGCCACCTGTGATGGAGAGCTTCATCTGCTGAAGGTGTTGTACTACTTGGCTGATGACACCATGGAAGTGAAGGATGTGACGTGGAAGGACCACCCTTACATACTCTACAAGAGAGCCAAACTGCCCAAGGTATATCTCAATGGGTTCTAGCGTCTTTTGGAGGTTTAAGTAGATGCGCAAGCCATCTATATGGCTAGCTGGAGCAAAGATAGGTGAACAAAAACAGATAGGCGAATATTGAAAAGAAATGATTTGTTATGCTTTGAGATGTAAATTAATCATTTACATTTTTATTTTCCAACATGTATTTTAATTTACCAGTTCATGCATGGTAAATACATATTATTCATCCATTAAGAAAAAAAATATATTGACAAAATTAAAGTTATTTGATTATTCTGTGTTATAAAAAGGATTTCCTCGCTCTACAAGAACCTGGAGCAGACTCTCCGTTCACAGTGTTGAATGTCCTTGGCACCGGCACACAGAAGGGACGACTGTTGGCAGACTCTCTCAACTGTGGCCGTATGGACATTCAGTACTACAGAGACAATGACTTGGCTATTGGAGGAGTCATCAATGTGTTTGGGCGACGAGTTGTGCTCACCGAGTGCGATCCTTTCACACAGGAATATTACAGAGTCAAGTACGGGCTGGGTAAGTGATCTTTAATATACCGTTACTAAAAATCAGTACTGACATACCATATGACGATCCAACTTATCTCAGTGTTGAGATTAAAGATTATTGCTTCCCGTAAATTGGACCGCATTTAGCAGAAGGGAACCAACCCACAAAATTAAATGTTTTGAGATATTGTTTGTTTTGTATTTAGGAAATCAATCTGTGTAAAAAAAAAATTGTTTCGCTCATCAAAACTACATTAATATTAAAAAAAAAAAAAATTTTGTTTGGATTAGAATCCTGTGTATGAATTTCGAAGAAAAGAACCAACATTGGTTCCACAAAAATAATCAATTTCGATTTTGGAGAAAGGAACTAATCCACTTTAGTTCTGTCCTTACATGTACATGTTACATCCTTACCCATATATCTATTTCAGCAGAAAGGAACCAACCCTAAAACCAGCTGCTACTAGAACAGCTGATGTTTTGTGTGTTGATGGAACCATTGACTGTCTATGATGGAGCTGTTTGTTGACTAATTTGTTTTAACTAATATTTCTTAATCAAACAAATTTTATATTTATATAAGAAGAAGTATAATTGTATGAAATAAAATACAATGGTATTGTTATGTAGGCCTTATAACAGAATGGTTTTTGAACCGTTGGCCAATGTGTATGTGCATAGTTTGTTTATTTAACTTTTGTAGTTGTACCAAGTACCAAAGCCTATTGTGATGCTTGTGAAACTAATTTAAAAATGGCAGAATTGCATAATAAATATTATGTAATACAATATTTATTTTTTATCGTAATTGTTTCTTTAATTTGAACCTTTAAAAGATACTGTTTTTAAGAATACATTAACCAAAACTATAAAAACAGCAAGAACTTTTTATATTATTGACCAATTTGTTGAATTTCTATTTGTTTTGGGAAAAATTGCAAAAATATTGTTATTGTGCCAGCCATAGTCAGTAACAAGGCTATAAGATCGCGCAACAATCATGACAATCATCACACTCATCCTTCATTCATATTCAGGTTAAAATACCCACCAAGTGAGGTCCTTGTCTTAAAATAGTAATATAGCTGACGTAACCCGCTTCGCTGAGTATTTAAATTAAATAAGAAATTACAGCTTTCGATTTACATTAGCAGACAAAATTCAAAAAGTATTAAAAATAATAAATTGTTTATCAGCTGTTGGAAATTAAACACCTTTATGTATGTTCCCTTTTATTTAGATTTGAGTCCTTAGGAAAAACTAGTTCGAAAAATGAATATGTTTTCTCCAATTTTCTCATTGAGACCTTTCATCTAAGTATAAGGTTGATGAATGTCAGACTTATGGGTTTTCTCAAAAGTTAATGATAATCGAGGCTTCATAGATAGAAGATAGAGAATGTGTCTTAAAGAACAACTGGCTTTAAAACAAAATGTGCCAAAGAATTTCAGAGAAAAGAATCAACCCTCTAGACCTTTTCTGCTAATTTAAATTCCTAGGAATTTTTTAAAAAGCTGAACGGAACCAACCCACAAAAACATAGAATAACAAATTAAATTACAATACCTAAATGTATACCCTTTACACATAAAAAAATCTAGAAAAATAGTAATTCATCAAAACAATTCCTGTGTCTCTTGGTTAAAACAGTGATTTATAGTAATCAATCAAATTTATAGGCTTCTAACTCAAAATTGACCCAGTGTGGGTTGGTTCCTTTCTGCTAAAAGCGGTCCAATTGCAGATTAATGTAAAACTTAAAGCCAAGCTAAGTTTTTGAGAAAAATCTTTATGGTAATCAATAAGGCATAGGTTTGCTTCCAAATATATTGCTTGGAGGCCAAAGCATTATTTTATTGCAGTATTATATTATAGTTATAATTTCATAATACAAAAGAGATACTAATCTCTTTCGGTTTAGTGGATACATTCATTTAAATAATTACAAATCACAATATATAGACAGCAAACTCAATTTTTGCGAAGCTCTTTTTAAGGACTAAGTAGGAAACTTTATTAACTTTCTCTTTTAATTAACTGATATTTTGATCAAATTTAGTGTTTGAAATTATGCTGCTATTGTAATCAAGAACATCATAAAATTCTGCAGCCTCAACACATTTTGACAACGATGCGCTCCCTGAGTGGATCATTCCTACTATGTCCAATTTGAATAAAATATTGACTATAGCTGGTCCATAAAACAGATATCTACAGTCTCTAAATTCAATCATATGAGTCAGAAGTTGTAAATTTACACCATGTTAACTTATGTTACACCATGTTAAAGCTTAACTTGTAACAATTAATTGATGAAGAAATTGACTACAGTACAGTCAGGAATTAAAGAGAGAGGCTTAATACTTTATTATGGATTTAATAATTATTATGCCTTTTAAGAGGACTTCACTTCAGTTGAAAGACCAAAGACAAAGGAAGAAGAGGCAAAGGTGCCACTGCCTGAGCCAGAGTTGCCTCCTCACAACGGCTACGGAACTCACGAGGACTCAGCCATCAACTGTCGGACCGTGTTCCCCTTCCCTCCAGTCAAGAGCTACAGACAGTTCTTTGAGAAAGACAGGTGAGTGCTTAGTTAATAATATTGTAGTTCAAAGTAGTTAGTAATTGAGCAAAGCGAGCGAAGCTCTTTGAGATCGGATCTTATGCAAACTATGTAATCAGATAACTCAATAATGGCTGAACATATTAAATCCAAATTTACCAGGGTTATTTCAACAACAGTGTGCATGTCATTACAACAACAATTTTCCATTTGATAATGCCTGTACAAATTTAAAACTATAATGTAAAATTTTTAACATTGGCCTTATGGGTTGCAATTGATGGTTAATACTCTTATTAATACTCTTAAATGCTCTTAATACTGTTTAAATCCTGTTTTACCATTGGCAGAAAATATTTACTGTCTGGATTTTAAGAATAATGATTCACTTTGGACATGTTTGAGTGTGCTGATGTCGCAGGGCTGATTTACCGAATAGACACAGTAGGCACGTGCCTAGGGCGCGAGGCAATTGGCTTTTTTGGGGGGCGCCAAAAAATTGGGAAATAAACAAATTTGGTGGTATTATTTGCATGCGATCACGATTAACTTCTGATAATCCTTCGTTGACGTGTGGACATAATTACGGTCTTCCATGATCCAGGATCGCGGCAATATATGAACATATCCCGCGGTTGCAAGGTGATTATTATCATCTACCGCGAATGAGGCATAACTCTGATCATCCCTCGTGGCCATGTAGATGACATCATTATTGTATCTGCCGCAGTCCTGTAGACATCATAATCCTCTCCCGCGGGCATGGAGACATCGCAATCATCTCCCACGATCGTGTCCGCTATTGCGGCAAAATAATAATCATATCTCGCAGTCGTGTGAGATCGTTATCGTCTTCCGCTATTGCGGCCAAATCATGATCATATCCCACGGTCGTGTGGACATGATCATCGTTGTTATGTATCAAGAACTAAGTCCATATGTTTTATTTATAACATGTGTCAGATGACTGTTATTATGTTTTGTTTACTTTTTAGTTTAGTCTGGTCTTGTCTCCACATAGATTTTGCTGGGCCTTTCCAAAACAAGTTGTTTTTGATTGTTGTTGATTCTTTCAGTAAATGGTTAGAAGTGGTTTTGGTGCCTTCTACAGATTCAAGATCAACTATAAAGGTTCTCAGAAGCCTTTTTGCAACACATGGTGTTCCAGGCACAATAGTATCTGATAACGGGTCGGCTTTCACTTCACAAGAATTTCGATCGTTTAGTGAAAGCAATGGCATCCGCCACGTCGTGGTTGCACCATACCATCCATCATCCAATGGTCAAGCAGAAAGGATGGTCCAAACGACAAAAAACTCTTTGCGACGAATACTTCAAGGAGATTGGCAAGAAACATTGGCTCAGTTCCTATCTCATATAACGCCAAATTGTTCAACTAATATGTAACTGAGTGAACTGCTGTTTGGAAGGCGTATTAGAACCATCTTAGACAGAGTTCACCCTGACTATTCTTCAAATGACAAAGAAGACAAAATCTTGGATAAAGCGCTTCATTATTACCAACAGTCACCTCAGAGGAAATTTAAAGAAAATGATTCCGTATTTGCAAGAAGCTACAATCAGCGAGGACCAAAGTGGATTCCTGCTAACGTCACTAGAATAACCGGGCCGCGGAGCTACCTTTTGAACACAAAAGAAGGCATTGAAATACGACGTCATATCAACCAATTGAGACCTTGCTCAGAAATATCAAAAGCATCTCCTAACTCACACTTGGATAATCCTGAATCTCCAGTAAACCCACCATTCCACCCAAAATCCAGAATCCCATTCAGATGAGAACACCAGAAGCACAACATATCACTCCAGTTCAACCACCATAAATTGTCCGCAATCCTATTATGATGAAAATACCAGACGTACAACCAACGCGACCCTCAGTGATGCAACAATCTCGTAATTCCTTTAATAGTATAGAAGGATCAATTAACCCTCATCAAGAAGATGCTGGTTTCAACGTTTCTGATTTAATTCAAGACTCCACTACTACCATGAGCACGAGTCCACATCCTGTTCGGTCACGTGTCTCTAGATCAAACTCCCAAAACACTTCAATGAGCATGAGTCCTCAACCTGTTCGGATCCGTCGACCACCAGCATATCTCAAGGACTACCTGACGGGGGAGGAGTGTTATGTATCAAGAACTAAGTCCATATGTTTTATTTATAACATCTGTCAGATGACTGTTTATATTATTATGTTTTGTTTACTTTTTAGTTTAGTCTGATTTGTAAATTTGGTTTTGTTAATTATGTTTCGATATACTAAAATCGTCTTCCATGACCGTGGCAATATTCTGATCATCCCTCGCGGGTCTGTAGATATCACCATACATAAAACTTACTTATCACCATCGTCTTGCACGATCGCGACAAAATCATGATCATATCCCGCGGTCATTTGGACATTATCATCGTCTTCCGTGATCGCGGCAATATTCTGATCATCCCTCGCGGCCGTGTGTATTATCAGCATACTATCGCATCTACCGTGGTCAAGGATACGTCCCTGTTGTCATTTGCAATCGCAGTAAATTGAAAATTCCAGGTAGAAATACAAAATGTACGCATAATTCCGGGTTTAAGTCCCGGTAGGTGGACAACCTGTTTTATATATGTATGTATATATTCAAATACAATATTGCAAAGGGGCGCTACTATTAGTTTTGCCTGGGGAGCGAGCTGGCGTAGTGATTAGAGTGTGGGACTTCAGTCCCTGAGGTCCCGGGTTCGATCCCCGCCAACTCACCAATGGATTTTATCTAAGTGATAATGCCGCAACCCCTAGGTCTAGCCTGAAGTAATGTTAAAAACAATCCCAGGCTCGTGTCTAGCGTCCTAGGACAAAAAAAAAAAAAACTATTAGTTTTGCCTAGAGCGCTGGTAGGGTCAAAAACAGGCCTGAGATGTCAACTAAAGGTTTTATGAACATAACAAATAAGATTGATCCATGCAAATAGAAATTAAAACCAACATTTTCAATCTGTCCAAATGCATTATTGCCTTATTAAACACTCATGATCTTAAGTTGTACCTTTATTTACAGATGTGGCTATGACAGCAAGATTTTGTGTTTCGGAGCAAAACTGATAACGGACAAACCTTGTGATTTATCCAGATCTTTTGTGATTTGTTACTACCTGAGCGATGACACCATTAGTGTGTTTGAGAAGTCCGTGACCAATAGTGGTAAATATATCTACAATATTTTATTTAGGCTTATTGGATATAATGCAACATTAACTATTTATTTCAACAATTAAAAAAATGTTTTAGTTGTAAAGTTTTTACTATAACTAATAATAAAGATGAGTTTAATTAAATGTGCTTCAAAACGATAAATAGTAAAAGCTCTGTAGGATATAATTGGTAGTATTTTTTAAATAAACAAACATTTCTCTTTTTACATTTTTCACATCATGATTTATTTCACTTGTAGTTTTATAAATTGGGTATTGTAGTTCTGAAGTGCTTCTATTTGTATAAATGACTACTGTAGTTGGGTCGGGGAGACCTTGATGGTTCCATGCACTTGGTTTGGTGTCTGTACTTTTGGTAGTTTTGGCCCACCAAAATCAGTGGTGGGGTCGTAAATTTTCCACTACCGTAAATTTATAAAACACTCACCATCGTCTTGTAAAAAATAAGGATCGCCAATTTATATATCGGAATTTTGGGAAAAGCAGAGTGTGAACTACTGCCCCATACAACACTGCGGGAATAATTTTACAGAAAATTATATATGTTTCTTGTGCCAATTCTTCAGAGATTATGCTCCAAAACTCGTCATATCTTCCATCAGGGTGTTCATTTGAAAAATTTCCATCTCTGTTGTTTACAAAGGTAAGGCTTTTAATACTTGTTCGTACACATTTCCCCCTAATTTGGACATGCCGAATCCAATAAAATTGTTTTCAAATTTGAAAAATGCCCCAAAAGGGCCTAATTTTGAGGGTAGGGGTGCTTTTTGAGAATTTTTCAAATGTAAACATGGGTTGTATATGATACATCAATTTAAAGATCTAATCACCCCAATCTTGGTACAAAAAAAGTTAATTATCTTTAACCGTATTTACAGGGTGGGTCAAAACTTTAAAAAAAGGGCTTAGAAGTTTAGTACCCTATTACCCTAACTACTGAATGGAACAGCACCAAATTTTTTCCAAGCTTCTTGTTGAGCTACCCTGATAAGTTGATCTTTTCTTAACGCTATTAGTTAAGTTTTCCTCTGAACAGCCTGTTTGCTGTTTTTGCATAGTGCATGCATTTCGCATGAACTGCATTTGTTTGCTTTGTATCTTTTTGTGCATGGTCTTGAACATATTTTTTTTCACATGGTTGGTTTTGATCGATTTTGCTTGGTTTGATTTTTAAGTCTTGATATTTATTTATTTTATGCTTGTACATCATGCTTGTACATTGACATAGCCTGTAACAATGTTGTTGTTGATTGGCCAAATAAATTCATTGTATTCATTGTATTCTGATAACTTGTAGTAAAGACATTTTCTGGGTCATTTTCCAACTAATAAAATCTCTAATTTTTAAGAATAAAAGGAAATTTAAAACTCAAAATTCTTAAAGAGCAAGGTATAACAAACTTCATATCATGTGAAAGGTCCTTTTTAAACATACATTTTACGTATTTAAGTTTTCTTTCCATCTCTTTCTGTTTAAAAGTTGCAGTAGAAAAACATAATTTTGAATGGTAAGATTATAATTAATTAGTTATCTAAAAAAAAAAAACAGCCAAAACTTGTCCCTAGACACATTTTCAGGTGCATTAACTAAAGGAAAAAATCCATAATTTGATACACAGATAGACAAACATGTTATCACGTTAACATAATAACACGGAAAATGCCTTTACTAATAAAGTTATCTTAAAGAGTAGCTCAACAATAAGCTTGGAAAAAATTTGGTGCTGTATCGTTCAGTAGTTAGGGTAAGGGTATTTAACTTCAAAGTCCTTTTTTAAAACGTTTTGACCCACCGTGTAAATACGGTTAAAGATAATTAACTTTTTTTGCATCAAAATGATTGGCGTGATTAGACCTTTAAATTGATGTATCACACAAACCATGTTTAAATTTGAAAAAGTCTCAAAAAGCGCACTCCCCCCAAATTGGGCCCTTTGGGTCATTTTTTAAAATTGAAAAAAATGTTATTGGATTTTTCTAAATTAGGGGGAAATGAGAACGAACAAGTGTTAAAAGCCTTTTCCTTTGTACACAACACCTCTATAAAGAAGACCCTCGATGACAAGTCACCCTTGATAACAAGTGTCATTTTTCAAAACCCCTTGAATTTATTTTACCCCAAATCCCATGTTATTGCAAACCTCAATAAGGAGTCAACCTTGATAACTTCTTGATCAGCATTGTACGTGTTATTAAATTTGCGGAAAGTAAATAAAATATATGTCTTATAACACTTAAAACATATATTTACGCTTATACTGTTACTCACAAGACGGTAAATATACAAAAAAGATGGTAAGTGGTGATCGATTTTGATTGGACACTCCAATCATCATCAGACCCAATAGGCGAATGACAAGAATCTTGAATGGCGTCCCTACTTATACCCTATTGGCTACTGGAACCACCAGCCAATACATTTTTATAAGTATAACTGGAATCAAAATTTACTTGTTCATTAATCAACTTATTTCTATTTTTACATTTTTCCTTATAAATATACAATTCTTCCCAAGCATTCATACATGTCCTTTCTTACAATTCCTCAAAATACATAGATTATCCTCTATTTTTCCTATTGAGTGTCCATTTTGTAACAGGTGTTGTGCGACGTTTGATCTTTCCGGTTTGTTGTTTCTCCATGCAGATATGTGGTTTTTGAAGCGGTTGACGAAGTTCACAGTCTGTCCAATGTAGAAGCTATCACAATTGTTACAATTGATTTTGTATATGCCCGAAGCGTTGAATCTGTTACAATCTTCTATTTTTGGATGCAGAATTTTACTCATAGTGTTCTGAGTCCTGTAGGCTATTGAAACTCCGTATTTCTTGAATCTGTTTAGCAGTCCTTTGTGTTGTAGTCCCCATGTAGCTAAATGTGACATATCTGGTGTTTTCCTCTTTTATCTCTTCTAATGTTGTTCTGCTGTGTAGTGTATTCTGCCTATTGATTTTTCTTCTTGTCTTTCTTGCATTCCTCCTATTTTCCTCTATTGTCTTGGTTCGAAATCCATTAACTTGAGCGATCTTCTTAATGGTGTCCAGTTCTTTCTTCCTATTGGCTTGGCTAAGTGGGATCTTATAGGCTCGGTACAGCAGCATGGATCTAAAGGCTGCGGTCATGTGGATTGTCGGATGTATATACATTTGCTGTTTATTGTAGTGTCCGTTTGCGTAGGTTTTCTGTAGATGTCAAACTCGATCTTGCTGTCTTTTCTTTCTAATGTGAGGTCCAGGAAGTTGATATTTTCGTTTTCTTCAAACTCCTTAGTAAAGGTGAGGTTCAAGATGGTGGCTGTCAAGTGTCTGCATCATCGTTTTGTGCTCTTGCTCCTGGGCTTGTCTGAAGATAACAAGAATGTCGTCTACATATCTAACATACAGTTTTACATCATGATTCTTTCTTAAATTCGTTACCATTTCTTTTTCCTGATGCTGTAAAAATATTTCTGACAAAATTGCCGAAAGTGGACTTCCCATAGCTAAACCATCCGTTTGTTCGTAAAATCTATTGTTAAATCTAAAATAATTTTGTTTTAAAACAGTCACAAGCAATTTTACAATCTGATTGACATATTCATTGTCTAAACTATAAAAGCCTACATTTAACAAGATCTACAGTTTCAGACACAGGTATGTTGGTGTACAGATTTGAGATATCAAATGAGACTAGCCTACTATTTGAATCTATATCTATGTTCTTTACACGTTCAACAAATTCATAACTATTTTTTACATTGTATATCTATATATTAATTTGAAACTGTTTTTCTTTGTGACAGCTAATTTGGGAGAACAGCTGGGCGTAGAAACTCGGTAGAGGTGTCTAAAGAAAGGGCTTGGTCTGTAGATGAGCCATCAAAAGAGAAACATGGTAAATTCCCTTGGGCGTCTGGCCTCTGTCCCAATGGCCTTTAAATTCCCATCCCATGTTATTCTTATGGGGGAAAAACGGGTTTTTGTCACAGCTAATTTCAGAGAACGGCTGGGCGTAGAAACTTGGTAGGGGTCTCTAAAGAAAGGTCTTGGTCTGTAGATGAGCCATCAAAAGAGAAACGAGGTAAATTCCCTTGGGGCTCTGCCCCAGAGGCCTTTAAAGTCCCGTCAGCAGATTTGTTTACATTATGACCATATGTATAATTTTACACTACTTTTTAATGAAACAGCTGTTAATATTTAAATTGTGATTTACTGAATTTGTCGAAATGAAGCATTTGAAATGGTTTTTTCTGATTTTAAAATCGATTTTCTTCCGGATCGTGTCATGTTTTGCAATATAATGTTCTACTGTATTGCCAAATCAGTGGAAAATCCTAATATCACAGTAACTCTTAAAACTATTTCTTATGGAGTTAACTTATGTCTATTATATGGGTTGGTGTCTGCCCTTTTTAGCGAATTTCCCTATTTTACCACTTCTTGGAGATTGTATACGTAGGCGTGTTGCACGTAGATGATATCCTTTGGCGTATTGCATCTGTAGACGATACTTGGGTTGTTGTAATTATTAAAATGGAAAAAAGCGAGTAATCCTCGACAATTTGATATAGGCCTACTAAAAATAAAACTGAATTAACTGTGCTACATTTCTTGAGCAATCATTGAAAGAGCCGATTCGCAAACAATGGAAACATAAGAAAGTCATAGAACAAAACCAAGTAGAAGAAATAGAAATAATGTTTTTTTTTCTTCATTTATAATCGTTATTATAGAGAACTTAATGCGGCTATGAGTGGGAAACATTTGTAGAAAACTCTAAAAAAAAACATCAGCTTTTGAAAAAAGATAAGATATTTACAAACAATTTTGATTATATCTATCTGTTGTGTACATTGTGAGTATTTCCATAATCTTTGAGTCGACTTTTATAAAATCATCGGAAATTATGAGACCGTTATTCGTTTTAAAATAACACATGTAATGATTCGCAATATTGCTCGAATTCGAGCAATAGGTACACTAGTATATTCTAATTCTAAATCATTGATGAGCTTACTTGCTAACAATTTTGAAACATTGTAGGTAGAAAAAAAATGTGCAGAATCCCTTTATAAATTAAAAAAGCTCAAAAATAAGCAAAATTTTTGTTATTAAAAAAATAACATGGGCCTCCAAAAATGACTTAGAAATTAAGGATGCCATATGCTGGTGATGAAATAACAACGAAATATAAACAGAAAATCAAAACAAATGGAAGAAATTCCAAGCAGATGTTTTATTTACAGCGTGGGGTGAATAAAGAGAAGTTTTTCACAATACATATTTTTGATTGAGTTTTCGACCACGAGGCGACCCCCCACAGTCTCATTTAATAATAGATAGTTGATTGACATCAAAAAAAGGTACTATATGTATCCAATATTATATTTAGGTTACTCAGGGGGAATGTTGATTTCAAAACGTAAGATCATGAAGCCTGGAGAGAATCCTTTGGGAGTTCATCCTCCTGCCTACTTCACCCATCAGGACATGTTCATCGGCAACAGGATATGCCTGGAGAACTTCAACTTTGAACTGGTGTCTGGTGATGAGTACGCCTTGAGATACATGGAGACCCACTGCAATGAGGTACACAATACACATCCCTGCAATAACCTTCCAAACGAGCTCTATAATTGATTGGAGAAAATGACATTTAGGTCTAGCTTTGTATATTTTAAAACAGAGTTTATTAATGTTGTCTCACTAAAATCTTATGATTAGGTAATTTTACTGTTGTCACTGTTTGTTCTTAATTCATTTAATCTATAATACTATCAAATACCACAGTGACCTAAAGGCTTTTGGTTTTGACTATCACCAATCCTCAGAAGGGTGAAAAACTTCAGATTGACTGGAAACATACTGGATAAGAGCACTCTGGCCCAAGATGCAGTGTAACGACACCAGAAAATGTTGAAAGGGTAAGGGAAGCAGTAGACAGAAGCCCAGGACGGTCAGCTAGACGTCATGCTAGTGAGCTACGAATTAATCGTTGATCAGTTAGAAAAATTTTGAATCCAGTATGTTTCCAGTTAATCTGAAGTTTTCACCCATCTGAGGATTGTGTTATGGCTCGGAACATCTCAGTGTCGACCGACATTAAACCGTGCACGAAGCAATCGCTGTGTAGCTGTAATACACTCACCACTTTTCATGGAACTTCCATAGCCAAACAATCGACGTTGCAGGTCCCATTGTTCCATAGTGACTGAGTAAATGAAATGGGGTCTTGTGTAGAGCAGAACTATGCCCATCACGACCATCTCCTACTCCTACCACCACACTGTGCAGGTGAAAACTGTCCATCTCCCGTGTGTCACCCTTGTATTTTAGCATAAATAATAATCCCAGGTCCAGACAACCTGAGAAACATGTTCTCAGTTGATTGTAAAATGGATTTGAAATATGTGATGTGGAAAGCGAATAGGGACCTCTTGTCGGGAATTTTCGATTTTATGTTATATATATATTTGAATTTCTTATTAAATTCCGAATCAATTGGTGCAAGTTCCACGCATGTATGATTTTTTTTTGTTTAAGTTATAGGACTTTAAAATTTTGTTATGGAAAAGGGTCATTTTGAGAAAACCTGTTTTGAACATTTAAAATACGCATAAAAACGCTGTTTTTCGTATTTAAGAAACAATTTTGATACCAAAAAGAAAGCTTATAATGTCCTCTTTGAAAGAAATGAAATTTTTTTTCTTAATTCATGGTAGTTGTTTTATTGAAGCATGTCATAAAATCACATTTCAGAAAAGGGACCTCTTGGCAGCCCTATGTTATTTTGCCGTAAGATAAGTAAAGGTACCTCTTGTCGGGACCACAAAATTTGTGAGATATTTTGTTCTTCGTGAACTGAACTTTGTTGTAGTTCTCTAAATTTCCACTAGAATGCAGGACAATTCATTTTTTGGACTAAAATCTGTTTAAAAAGTGAATATTAGAAATGGGACCTCTTGTCGTTATGGGGAAATAACATTGAGCGACAAGAGGTACCTTTCTCAGACCGTGCAGAGGCTAACAAAATGATTAATTTCGACTTTTTTCATCTTCAATTCAAGATTTTAACCGATACTGTGATGTTCTATGTTAAATGAGGTATAATAATTGATAAAACCCTAAATTCGATATTTTGGACCTTAATTACTTATATCGGCCGCACTGAAAATTTTGCATCTCCGGCAAGAGGTCCCTTTTCGCTTTCCATATCACATATATAAATACCCCCGACGCAGCAAACCTGCATACTAAGCGAATTTCCATTTACCCGGCTTGATTTCTACTAAAATATTCCATATAAATTTTCAGATTTATTTCCTATTCAAATAACATTAATTTTAGTGAGTAGTTAGGTTTGTTGCTACGGGGAAGATGTTGAGGTGTGTTTTTTTCAATTTAAATATTGATAGCTTAGTATGAAATAAACCAAATTGCCAAATTTGATTAAAATATATCCATAAACAAGCAAACTAGAACAGTTTATTTATTCACCATAAGAATAACATGGGAATTTTAAATTTACAATTTTTTTAATTTTCTCCGTAGTCATTGAACATTCAAAAACACTTCAATATACTTAATTATTTGTTTTTTAAGCTCTTCAAAATGGTCTAGAGAGAAATTTAAAGTTTTTTGGGTCAAAAATTAGAAAAACCCATTTTTACCCCATAAACCCCCCATAAACCCCTGATCCCATGGTCCGATTATGCTGGTTCGCGAACTCATTCGAATAAATGTAGGTTTACACGTTTGTACCAAATTTCATCAAAATCGGATCAATTTTACTCGACTTATCGCGCTAACGGACACATATATTTATATATATATATATATAAATATATATATGTATATATATATATATATGAATTTGAACGGATGGTGTTTTTGGCCTCTGGGGACCTCAAAACGAAAAAGTAAATCGGTCCCGGGTCTAGGTCTTACCATGAGACCTACGGTAATAGCTTATTCCCTATAAGGGAAATTCGCTAAAATCATAAGAATAATCAACTCTTTTGGTGAAATGACAATAGCAGTTTTTCAGTATTTTTTAAAAACAACATTTTGTTTATTCCATCACAACACAATATTAGAAATTCATTTATTTTCAGACTGGTGCTGCTGGTGTTTTTATATTACCCCCCCCCCCCCCCCCCCATATTGAATAATGTTTTCACCACACTACGATATTTTTAGCTGTTTTACAAAGGTCATCATTTGACGTACGATGATTAATCATCTATAAAGAAAACCCCTCAATAGATATTTCCATATAAGTTTGCCAAAAGACTGTTTAATACTTAAAACAGTCATATGTTTTTCAATTGTTTTGTTAAAAACAGTAAATAGTTGAGTGTGTTTTTTTTTATGAATGAAATAAAGAAGATGGTTTTTGTTAATATTTATTTCGTCATTTCTTATGTTTAGTATTAAGTAATCGTCCGAGATATCAAATCAATTGAATCACGCACAGTGACGACTTCACATTGTGCCTACGACAAAACGATAATTGGAGGTTGAAAGCTACATATTGCTGTCCATGACAGCTGTTATCGTCATTTGGGGACTGACCAGGTTTTTGCGGCCCTAACGCCGAAAATCAGCTGTTCGCTTACCTATTTACTTATAAAACATTAATGTATACACAAGCTGTATCCATATGCATTGCAATAGACTTGTTTTACTATTACCGCTTCTTAGCATCTATTTATTATTATTTTTACTGATTCCTCTAAATATTTATTCAGATAACCTTAATGTCGCAGTTGTGTTGACTGTAAGTGTGCATATTTGTATAGGTATTTTCTAAATTTTGTATAGTGTGGGGAAAAACAGAATTCGTACAACGGGCCAAAAGGGTTTTGCTTTGCAACTCTTGATTGTTTTAAGTTCTCGATTTAGTTTCAAATTTAACAAGTCGGAAAAACCTCATTTTCGGCCCTAGGTAAGAAATACTGATGTTCATCATAATAATTTACATGTTACAGTTTCCAAAAAGCAACCTGAGGCTTATTTTGGATAAAGTCAGAGAAGGGCTACGTCCAACATACAAGCAGTTTGTTGCTCAGCACATGACTAGAAACAACCTACCTTTAATTTCTTATGTTGAATTCAGGTATGTGATATCAAAAAATTTTGTTGTGAAGTTTATATTTGGTATGGTATGGACGTATTTGTCCAAGTAAACCACCAGTTCTCTTGCTGATATAACTAATAAAAAGGTCAAAATATTCTTTAACTATTCCTTTGTAAATACAATGGCATTTTATCGATATATTCACAAAATTTACTGTACAGTATTGCATTTCTCATGTACGGTGTGTGAAGATGGAGGAACACATAACTGAGAAGTATGTCCCTTTAATAACTCAATTCTTACAAAAAACTAAACATTGTATTTGGTGTTTAATTTGAACCAATATTATGCCATTTTCCAGAGAGCAAGAGTAAGTGTAAGACTGAGAAGTGGGTATTAACAAGAAATCATAGGATTTTGTAACTGTTTCAGGGAAACAATAAAGGAGGTACTGAAGGATTCTATAACTGAGCACGAGATTATTACTCTTGCAAGACATTACATGGAAAATGATCAGAAACCTGATTTGTCATGTCAGGAAATACAGTAGGTGACATTTATAACTTTACAGTTGTTAGAATGATTTGCAGTGATTTGCAATACACAAATAAAATAGTTTCGAACACGTTTTAAAACTTTGAAGCCTTTTAGCCAAAATAACTAATTTACACAGTTACACATCAAAATCTAGTAGGCCTAGTAGAGCAATTGAAATAAATTTCTTAGGTCAGACAATGCATTGTCGAAATACTGTACATTCAATATATAATTGTATTATATTTTTGAAGTTTTACAACAACAAAAGTTTGCTGGTATATTTACTATCAGCAACTTTTTACATTGTTTTTTAAAACTAGTTTATGTGCTATCCATTCTTTTTTTGCTCTTTTAAATTAATGGATTATTTATAGGACTGAAAGGAAGACTTTATTTATCCCCAATAAGAATAACATGGAAACTTTAGATTTAAAGTCATGTTTTATTTTATCCGTAATTATTAGGAAAACAGCGCTTAATTTATTATTTGTTTTTTAAGCTCCACAAAATGATTTGTAAATAAATAGTAAACCTTTATGTTTTGGGAGTCGAAAATGGGAAAACCCAATTTTTTACCCCATAAAACCCTGTTCCATTTTTTGAAATGGTCTAGGTCTTACCATGAAACCTACAGTAATTTTTGACTTAGGCTTTATGACTTTTAGTCCTGCTTGCGATCAAGCAATAAAAAAGAAAGTAAAATTGTGCTTCATGAAAGGATCTTACTAAATAACTTGTAAAGATTAACATGTAGCTTTGAAACCTGTGCAAATATTAACGAAAACTAAAAAAACCCACCAGTTGTGACTGGAACTGGAACTCAATGATAAAAAAAGCAGTTTCAGCGAAATTTTAAATAACTTCTTAATCATAGCATAATATGTGTTACTAATTTACGGAGAGTAAATTTCAATGTGTCTAGGAACACTTGAAATATATATTTACACTTATACTAATTTAACAAGACGGTAAATATATAAGCATATAAATGATAAGTCCAAATTTACTTGTTCATTAATTAGCTTATTTCTATTTTAAAATTTTTCCTTATAAATAATCAATATTCTTCAAAATATTAAACTTAAAAACAACAGAAATGAGGTAGTCCAAAACCTTAAACAAAACTGTCACATTTTATAACAGGGTTTGTTATGAATAGTTACTGTTCATATATTTTTAACTAGCATATTTTACAAAACCTGCTTTGGTTACCTAAATTTTCAGCATCATAATTTGTTTTCTTACCCAACAGCAAATTATGGGTACATACAAGTCTAAAGTGAAACTATAGATACAGTATTTCTATTTCATTATCTATCTATTTACCATAATCTATATAAATAAAATTAGAGTTTTGTCTGTACATTGCTTAGAATAATGAACTTTTTGGTTATTTTTACATTTCATAGGTCAGAGAAACCGAATCAAACCTTATCTCAATTTCTGTCTGTCTGTCTGTCTGTCTGTCTGTCTGTCTATCTGTCATTCTCTTGGTAACGCTAAAATACGCACTTTATTACAACTACTCCTCAATAACTATAGCACTGTCCCGCCTGAAACTTATTTTCCAAATACTATACATATATGAGATGGTTTTAGACGTATTTCATCGAATATGAGACAGTTAGATATTTAACAGTAAACCCTTGAAAATCAAGTTTTTGTCGATTTTTGACGTGGAATTTCTGGAAGCCCATGTTAACCTTATGAGAAATGAAATTATTGAATCTTAACAGCTGTTTCAATTAAACAAGTTGGTTCTGTTCTGTGATGTTCAATAGCATTAAAGTTACAAGGATTACCAACAGGGTGCAGCACTAGCACTATTATTTCTTTTACATTTATGACAACAGCTAATTTGCAACCTGGAGGCGAGTGAGCGTAGCGAACGAGCTAACCTGAAGGCAAGTGAGCGTAGCGAACGAGCTAACCTGAAGGAAAGTGAGCGCAGCGAACGAGCTCCAACATACAGGTGAGTGAGCGTAGCGAACGAACTTCAACCAGGACGTGATTGAGCCATGCAAACGAGATCAGATAGTAAAAATAAAAGTAAGCCTACCGTTATAGGATCGACCGGCAGACACAGAGGTAATTTAACCTTTTATTGATTGTCATACCGATCCGGAACAACAAAAAACAACATAAAATGAAGCTATGTATAATAGTTTGGCCAGCATATCTTAAAATATGCAAACCAACTGCTGTTCGTTATATAAGAAGGTTTCAACTGAATATTATAAGATCCCCGTGCGTAGAACGGGTACACAGCTAGTATATATATAAAGGCAAAAGTACCCATGAACTTTTGAGAAAACTACAAGTCACATCCCCATAAACCATATACTTAAAATGTTCCTCATGACGAGAAACCTTGCGCAATATTATCCATTTTTTCATAAATTGCCCTTTAAGGTCTTAGTTGCTTTCCAAAGGGAACTTTCCATATACTCAATGTTAAAAATACCTCAGCTGTTCTTATTTGTATGTTATTCTTTCAATTATTTATTACCTTATTAAAATCTGGTGTGATTATTTGTTTGTAATGCTGTATTCTGTTTTGTTTATTTCATCTTAACTTAACCAATCAATAGTTTTTAGCGAATTTCCCTATAGGGAAGTAGCTATTACCGTAGGTGGCACGGTAAGACCTAGACCCGGGACCGATTTACTTTTTCATTTTCAGGGTTGGTACGGTCAGGGAAAACCTGGAAAACCTGGAAATGTCAGGGAATTTTGTTGGTCTGGAAAAGTCAGGGAAAAGTCAGGGAATTTTGGAAAAAATCTGGAATTTCTCTTGAAAGACTACATTTTTTACAGATATGCTACATTTTGCATCTAGGTCTCAATACTTGGTCAAAAACATCGAAGTTTGACGAAAACATCGATGTAACAAAAACATCTGGAACCTACCATCGTTATAAAAAACATCGAACATCGACAGACATTCTATCATCACCCTCTGATTACTGGCTTAATTGAACGCACCGAGCTCCCAGTGTTTCTACACAACCAAAAGAATATAATCCCGGTCACTTGGTTAAGAAATCCCGTTTAATCCCTTAAGATTTTTGATGTTAAATTCTGAGTGTTGAATTGGACATATTTCGTTTAAATAGTTGTTTTAACATTGCTATTATATTTTGTTAAGGTAATTTTTTCGATTGGGGTTAGTTTTTCACTAAAATAAAAGCATAGTAAATAAAAACGGACGTCATAGCCAAAACTCCTGTTTTATCCCACATCCCCTTCAAATCCCGCTCATGCTCTAAAAATCCTGTTTTCGGGATCTTATCTTATCTTATCTGACAGGGGCAGGTCTTTAAGAGACCTTTAAGCACTTCATCCGAAATCGAATTATTTGGGGTGCGCAATAATTGCTTTCTTGTTGACCTACAAGTTAAGGCGCCCAATGAATGCCTGTAGCTTCCCAATTAGTTCATCCTCAGGAAGGTATCTACCTCTAGCCATATTTCCAAGAGTTATCGATCTAGCGTCAAAGAGCTCGTTACAATCAAAGAGTAAGTGATCAGCTGTCTCTTCTGACCTATCACAGTACCTACAGATCGGTTCACCATCATATAAGCCCATCCGTTGTAGATGTTTCCTGAATCTTCCATGACCAGTTATCAGTTCAACAATTAATTTAATTCTTCGTCTGTCTAGTCTCAAGAGGTCACAGGCAACCTTTTTAGAAGGCCTAAACAGAGTAAGCTGGCTGACCCTAAGAAGGGGAACATCGACCCAGCGTTTGCGATGCTTTTCCTTGGCCCATGACGCAATCGCAGAACATGCACTGTTTCGTGAGATGCCACAGAAGGGTTGTGGGCCTATCATTGAAGTCGCAGAGGCAGTATTTGCCAATCTGTCTGCAGCTTCATTTCCTTTAATGCCTGAGTGTCCTGGCACCCAGCAAAGCGTAAGGTCATTTCTCCTACCCAACTCAGACACAGAAGCAAAACAATCCCACACGAGCCTGGAGTTGAATTCGTAAGAGTTTAATGCTTTTAAGGTCGCTTGACTATCAGTATAGATATTGATTGTTTTGTCTCTGATATCTTTGTTAAGATGTTCTTGAGCACAAACTAGAATGGCAGTGACCTCCGCTTGAAAGACAGTTGGGTACACCCCCATTGGAAGACAAATGCCAGTGCCTCCATTCATCCAATGCACACCTGCTCCAGTGCCCCCATTTTTGATCTTAGAAACATCAGTATAGCATTCTAAATCACCTGTGGGTATGGGTCCTTTTCCGCCAGACCAATCCTTCCTATCTGGTATTAGTACTTTGAAAGGCTTTCCAAAGGAGTATTTTTTGGACATGTGATCTGAAGGCAAGTGCAATTCATCATTATGTACCACCTGAACAATTTTGGAGTGCCCTTTATTGTTTCCTGAGGTTATCCATAAGTATTCGCATCTAAGGCGTTGGGCTGTTTTACTTGCTACCACCTTGATGTAAATGTCGATAGGTAGCATATCAAGCAGACAGTCAAGAGCCGCTCCAGGACAGCTGCTTACTGCCCCAGTTATCATTATAAGAGCAAGCCTCTGAACTCCTGCTAAAGCTTTGACAGCTATAGTAGATTCCATCTTTGGCCACCACACAAGCGAACCATATGTAAGGGCGGGTCGAACAACAGATACATACAGCCAGTGCATAAAAGTTTAGGCTGTAACCCCCATGTGCCACTTACCATCCGCCTGCATGCCATAAGGGACCATTTGCCACGCTCAGTGACTTTTTGAAGATGTGGTCCCCAGTGAAGTGATCTGTCCAAAATTACACAAAGATACTTCACCTGATTCTGCAGCTCTAAAACAGTGCCCTGCAGTCTTAGTGGGCCGATCCCATCCAGTTTCCTCCTTCTTGTGAAGGGTACTATTACAACTTTCCTGGGATTTATAGAGAGCCCATCTTCCTGGTACCAACGGTCCACTACCCTTAAAGCTCTATTCATAAGGTCAGTTATGGTTCCGTGGAACTTTCCAACCACAAGGATTGCAACATCATCAGCATAACCTAAGGCGAAAACCCCACTTTTGTTGAGTGTCCTTATAAGGTCGTCTGCTACCAAATTCCAAAGGAGAGGAGAGAGAACCCCCCCCCCCCCTGAGGGCATCCTCGAGTAGTTCTTGCCTCGATCGTGTCATTATGGAGTGAGAGCCTAACCTTCCTACTGTGAAGCAAGGATTCAATCCATCTACATATTATACCGTGAAAAACTCTTCCTCTCACCGCATTAAGAATTGCTGGAGTACCAGTATTATCAAAAGCACCTTGAATATCGAGAAAGGCACCCAGGGCCACTTCACTGCTCTCTAGAGCTTTCTCAATCTTGCTTACAAGTTGGTGCAACACAGTCTCGCATGATCTTCCTGAGACATACGCATGCTGATTATTATGAAAAGGATGTGTCCTAAGAGCTGTATCCATCATATATCTTGAGACCAACTTTTCTAGGATCTTAAGGAAGAAAGAAGATAGAGAAATGGGTCTAAATGACTTAGGATCAGTGTAACTATCCCTTCCTGGTTTAGGAATAAATGCGATACGTGAATTACACCACCCTAAGGGAATGTGTCCTAAGGCTAAGCTGGCTCTGAAAAGTTTTCGGGATAAGTTAATAATCCCACGTATGGAAACACTGCTAGTACCGGGATGCGCGGAAGGATAGGCCTACATTCATCGTTTCAATTTCAATACGATACTGAATACAATTCCTCATTGAATTTATAAAAAGAGAAAAGAATTTATTTATAAAAATAAATACATCTGCCTTAAAAAATAAGGTTGCCAATGACACAGAAAAAATTATACAAGATAAAATTGTATAAGACTGATTAATTTTGATGTTTGCCATATAGATGATTTCTCATTATGCTCAATGAACCTCTTAATGTTTCATGAGTAATAATTTTCAAAAAGGATCTGTCCAAATCATATTGTTTCCAAAAGTTCACAAAAAATTTTGATAATGTTCCTCTTGAACCAATAAACAATCCAATCACCTCAACTTTCCAAATTTTAAAATTTTGCTTGAAATATTCAAAGGTAGGATCATATTTTTTTTTCTTTTCTTCATTTACTTCGTTAGGTTGATTTATGTTTATTTCAAATCGAATTGTTGAATCGAGAATTATGCCTTTGTTAGTTTCTCTTTCTATCAATAAAATATTTACTCTTCTGGTGCTTCCTTTAGAAGAAAGACAGTGTACTTCTTCTTGCACTTCTCATGTGTTATACCTTTTTCGGAAGGCATTTGCTATGATACTTCTTATTTTGTGATGCCTAGTGATTCTTAGAAGTTCACCAAACGGACAGAAGCCAAGGGCATGTGCAAGGGTTTCAATCTCACCACAGGCATGCCTGCAGCGGTTATTGCCCTGACTTCTGCTGTGGAGAACACGCACTGGCACCACATTTGCAATCATTTTTATACTGTCTTTCCACTCAGATTCTGACAAGCCTTCTTTATTAATAATACTTTTATTTCCCGGAGTATAGTCTTTGAAAAGTTCAACACCTTTACCCTTTCAATACTGATTCAACCTTTAATAAACTAAAAAAAACTGCACTTGTAGGAGTTTATAAAAAAAATTTTATCCTGTTAGTTGAAACATTTAATAGTTTAGTTTGGTATTACTTTTTGTCTCCGGTACAAGCATGGTAGTTATTTTTCCTATATCACATGTTTCTTCCGATATAAGCCGATGATATCGCAAGCAAAATATCGATATATATATCAGTATCAGAAGCACCGTATCGTCTATCTGCTAGTGTCAAGTCAAGGCCAAGTAGAACATAAAGTGTGAGGTTAAGTTAGTTGGTACTCTTTAATTTTCCAGATTCCAGATGTTTAATTCTTTTCTTATTGGTTTTATGAGTAAACTATTTAGGCCTACATTTTTTCTAATAATTCTCGATTCTGACTATTCGATATTTTGACTGATATTATACTTGACTGATATTAGACTGATATTATACTTTTTCCTGGAAAAAGTATAATATCAGTCTGGAAAACCTGGAAAAGTCAGGGAATTTCATTTTCCAAAATCAGTACCAACCCTGATTTTGATGTCCCCAGAGGCCAAAAACACTATTCGTTCAAATTTTTATATATGTATATATATATATAGACATATATATATATATATACGTCCGTGAACGCGAACTTGAGTAATTTTTGTCCGATTTTGATGAAATTTGGTTTAAAGGTGTAAAGCGGGATAAACTTGAATGAGTTCGCGAACCAGCACGATCGGACCATGGGAACGGGGCTTTACGGGGGGTTTTATAGGGTAAAAATTGGTTTTTCTCACTTTTGACCCTCAAAACACAAAATTTCCCAATTTCTCTTTAGACCTTTTTAAAGAGCTTAAAAAAACAAATAATTTAGTATATAAAAGTATTTTTGTTCGATTATTAGTAACGGAGAAAATTAAAAAAATTGTAAATTTAAAATTCCCATTTTTTAATTCAAATGTTGTAGTTTGCTTGTTTATGAATATATTTTGATCAAACTTGGCAAATTTATTTATTTTGTACTTAGCTATCAATATTTTACTCAAAAACACACTTTATTAGTTTCCTTGTAGCCGCAAACCTAGGTACTCGTTAAACCTAATGTTATTAAAATATATTTAACTGAAAATCAATTCAGACAAATGGAAATTCGCTTAGTCGGCAGGTTTGCTGCGGCGGGGGTATTTATAATACTTTGAAATCAAATGGGTTGAAGCCCGTGGGTAACAGCTAGTCTATATATAAAGCCAAAAGTACCCATGAACTTTTGAGAAAACTACAAGTCACACTCCCATAAACCATATACTTAAAATGTTCGTCATGACGAGAAACCTTGCGCAAAATTATCCATTATTTCATAAATTGCCCTATGAGGTCGTAATTGCTTTCCAAAGGGAACTTTCCATTTACCTAATGTTAAAAATACCTCAGCTGTTATTATTTGTTTGTATTAACATTACTGTATTCTGTTATGTTTATTTCAGCTTAAAACTTAACCAATCAATAGTTTTATTAATACTTCTATAGTAAAACGGGGTGGAGCCCATGGGTAACAGCTAGTTTTTATAAACACATGTCCATACAACTTTAACAATTTCAGGAGTATTGCACAGAATGAGTTAAAGAAGTTTCTTTTTAACTCATTTGATCGGCTGGAAGAGTCATTCCATTATAGAGATGTGAACAAAACAGGATATGTAACCAAAGACACAGCCTACGCTATCATAAGAGGAGCCAACCTGCCTTTAGCAAGAGACTTTGTCTATATATTGCTGGACAGGTAGTATATGGTTTTATTTTTATTTTATTCAAACAATACCATATCTGTAATCCTTCACTCATATTCGGGTTAAAATACGCACCTAGGTGGCATCCCCACTCAATTGATAATGATGTCTCAAATATTTAAGAGGAATCATTGACTATCTTTTTAAAATGAAGATTTGTTTCTTTTACCAATAAATAACCAGTATAATCCCAGTATAATATAGCTATTCCTTTTTCTCGCCCTTAAGCAATACAACTAATTACATTTCATCAAATATTATATTGTTCAAATATTTCCTTTTTACAAATTTTTCATAAACATACTAATTATAAATGTATAAATTCAGTACTGTGATTACTGTGAATATGTTTCAGGGAGGAATTCCACAGATAAACTGTTTGGTTAATCATACTCCTTCCTTGGCTCTTCTTTTGCCAAGTTCATTTATTTGGTTACAATTAAAATATCAACATCAACTTATCAACTATATATAACTACTAGCAGAGTACCCGTCCTTCGGGGTTGGCGTATAAGTATAAAATTCTTATTGCAGTTATACTTGGCTTTGCGTTTGCAATGGTAGAGGACACGGTTTAAGAAAATTTGGTTCTTTTAATTTACGGTATGCTATTATAGCCATAATGTTCTACCATTTCACCTAAACAATAAAAAAAAGTATTTAATGTCTCATGTATATCACAACTTTTTGTTGCTAGTGGTTCAAATAAGCTGTTGTCATAAATGCAAAAAAATAATAGTTCTGCACCCTGTTGGTAACCCTTATAACCTTTTAATGCTATTTAATATCACTAGTGCACCTGTTACTTGAATTCAAGCAATTGAAAAGTATTAAAGGCGTTATTTCAAAATTAATAAACAGTCTTAATTTCCGATGACTTAAAAGAGTCAACTCAAAGATATATGTAATCAATCACTCTACTCCAGTTATCGAAACTGAAAACGAACGCTCTTGTGTGTATCATGTGTTTACTATAAACAGCTGTTTTTAGTGTGCAATTGATAAAAGTTATTTGTCTGTTTAAGTAAACAAAATGCTTTATTCATAATAAATTCATGGGATTTTGATGGCCTGTGGGGCAAAGCCCGAGGACCTTTATTACAGGAATTGGTGAAATGGGGCGTCTACACAAAATTACTTACATTTTGACACATCGTTTGTAAAAATCCGTCCATTATTAACGGAGGAGTAGTGTTTCGTAGAAATTGCCTTCAGGTATTATATATAAGGATAGAACCAAATTGTGTACTTGAAACAGCTGACAAAATTCTTCAATAATTCTTTTTAAATATGAATACTCATAAGGTTAACATGGGAAACTCCATAGCCAATGGGGTGGAGCCCGAAAGGATTTTTGAGATAAGAATATGTCTATATGTTTATCGGGAATGTGAGCTATCACCATACCAATTTTCAGTCCAATCCAAGTAGTTAATGCTTGATTGAACTTCAAACAAACAAACAAACAAATAAAAAAACATAGGTACACAAACTTTGACATTTATAATATTAGTAAGATTTCATGACTAATCCTAATAGTTTATGATAGGTACTGTATTATATCAACCAATACAGACTGGAAAGTTATCTGAACACATACCTTTTTGTGGGTTGGGATGTGTGATGTATGTGATGTCAGGAGAGAGAAAATTTTCAAAAGATACTGGGTAATAGTTCTCCTAGCTATGGATCCAACCAATATTGTACTTATCTGACCTTCTATTTACTATCCTGCAACACTGTTTATTATTATAAGACCAAATTATAGTATTATAAGCTGGATGTGTGATTATGTGATATTTTCATTTCAGAGTGGTCAATGAGAACTGCCAGGTCAACTATCATCAACTTATTCAATTCATCGACTACAAGAAGAACCCAGTTCCCCCAGTCCAGCCCAACAGTCAGATTGTAAGTGAAACTGATTAAATTTCTTAGTTTCAAGTCCTTTGCTGGTTAAGTTGATTTGTGTTACAGAATTTCCCCTTCCTGCACCTAGACTATGTGTGCCAGTGTGCCAATTATGTAATTTGTTTATATACTACCTGCTTTCCCCGTGCTTCACAACGGGTACAAACAAATCTTTTCTCATGAAGATTGGAACTTCTTATTTTCTTGATATTGGAAATTTGAAGACCACTGGAGCAGAGCCCTGATGGAGTTTTCACAATTTTGTTTCACACAAACACAGAGGTGCCCATCCCCCCAAACCCAGAGGCTCAATCCCCCCCCCCCAAGCCAAAGGAGTATCCCCCTCCCCATTTATACTGCCGTATATTTAAACCTACCCTCCCCCCGCCAATGTATCTGTAAATTTCCCCTTTACCTTATAAAACGGGCATTTAAAGTATTTAGTAAGTTGAGGTAAAGAAAAACAAACTTTCTGATAATCAAAATTAAATGTTTAATAGTAAACGTCATTTAACAATATATCATTATTTATAATTATAACTAATGGACGAATTGGAAGTTTTTCAATTTAAAATTCAGAATCTGTATTATCAGCCAACAGTTACTCAGTATTGCAATAGAAAATGTCTTCAAAACGTACAACAATATACTCGGTGAATTACTCTACTCTAACACAGTACTGTAACTGTACAATATATTAGGTGGCGTTAATTTTACGGGGCTTAAAAATTCAAACAGGTTTAAGTGCATTAATAATACTTTGGCAAAAAGTAGGCTATCTTATTTCAAAATTATAGGCAGAGTCACGAAATAGGACAGACTTGTTGCTCGCCACTCTTAGGCTTCCTTCTACAAAAATCGCCGGACAAAATACCCAGAATTCCTTAATTGCCACCAGCATAAAAGGTTTTTTTAATGAAGTAATCTTATAATAAATTCATTTTGATAGCCCCAGGATTGCCTCTTATGACTAATAATGGTTGAAACGCATCTTTTCAGACAATCCTTAATAATATATGTAAGGTAGAGTCAAATTTTACTTGCTACATATGTTCTGGCGGTTCTTTAACTCCACCATCGGAGGCTTACAAAAGGATCCACTTCTGGAGGTGTCGTCAGCATATGTTACAAACATTAAACACGAAACTATAACAGACAGGCCTATCAATTCACGCGTGTATATTGCCGCGGGCAGGACTGGAAGTAAACTGAATCAGGTTATGACGGAAAGACTTGGTCTCTGGATTGTCGTCTGTGTTATCAAAAACTGATATTGGACTAATTGTAGTGTCGAAGGAGAGTGTTGAAAATATAATGGGATTCATAATTGAGTTTTCCATTCAAAATTATTGACAATAATAACCAATTTATATGCTGGATATAAATGATGGTCTCGAAATTCTACAGCACTGCGCGAAAGGAAATTTATTAAATACTTTTGAAGAGTTTGAAATTTATAAATACATAAAACTAGGGACAGCACACAATTTTTTAGTTAAAACACTCGATTAACTATGAATTCCACTATATTTTCAACACTCTTCTCAGTCATTACAATATACAATAGTGCAATATCAGCTGTTGAAAACGCAGACGACAACCTAGAGACCACGTCAGTCCGTCTCCGTCATAATTCCTGAACCTCAGTTTAAGTTTACTTCCAGTCCTGCCGACGGCAATGTACACGCGTGAATTGATAGGCATATCTGTAATCGTTTCGTGTTTTGTATTAAATGTTTGTAACGTATTCTTACGACACCTCCAGAAGTGGATCTTTATGTAAGCCTGACGATAATGGAGTTTAAGAACCACCAAAACATGTATCAAGTAAAATTCGACACTAGAATATTAAGGATTGCCTGACCCTGACAAGGTGTGTTTTTGTTTTTACCATTCTTAGAAGCAATCTTAATTATGAATGGCAAAATGTTGTTGGTGTTGATAGTGAACTACTTAGAAACACTTTTCAGGCTGCTTATACAAAATTATACATTCATTATGATAGCTAGCAAAAAAATGTCCCCCCCCAAAAATCCCCAAAAAAAGTCCCCCCCCAAAAATTCTTGTGGCGCAAACGCCCCCCTGCACAAACATCTCCAGACACATAGAGCAAATTCCCAAAGTTTCATCACGATCAGATGGCGGGTTTGGTTAAAGAATAAAGGACCAACATACAACAAATGACATACAATATGGATTTTATACAGGGGTGGTGAAAAGTCCCGGCTTAATACTTTTTTAACCGTTACAAATGGAGCTATAAAAGTTGGTACACTGTTACTGGGCAGGGCATAACATATACTATTTTACTATACAACTTCAATGAGCCGGTTGGTCATTGAGCCCACTTCAGGGGGACGGCCAACTAGGAGTCGGAAGAAAATCTTAAATATCAGCATAGGTTGAGTTTGGTATCAAATTAAAAGGCTTTCGTTAGTAAAACACAATGCCACAAACCCGAACTCAAACGGACAATGGAGTAAAAAATGACAGCAGTTCAAAGATTCCTTGAATTTGCAATGCTTATTATACTGTCGAGCGCTCGCTATAAGTTGGAAGAAAATCATAATTGTAAGCATAGGTCAATATGCTCATCACATTTTTAAGACCTTTATTACAATTGTAAGGATTTGTAGAATACAATGCCCCAAATTCAAGCTCAAAATAGTTGGGTAAATAATAGCATTCAAAGATTTAAAATGGCAGATTCAAGAAATATTTGAACGGCTGCCACTTTTGTCCCGGTTGTCCGTTTGAGTTCGGGTTTGCGGCAATGTGTTAATTTGATACCAAACTTGACCTATGCTTAGAGGTATTTGTGACTCGAGTTGGAAAATCTATCAAATAATCCATACCATATGTCATGTAAGAATATTCTTTAACTCATTTGATTCAGGCGATACAACAAGCATACATATGTTAAAATCCCCCATTATGATTAAAAAATTATTTTTTCCTACAGTTACCTAACAATGTACTGTACATGTTCTCTCACTGATTTGAGAAAGCAAAGTGGCCAATTCGCTCATCAGCGAGACAATGTTAACATTGTCCCACTCTAATTACTTTGTCTCACTCCAGATTTGCAACGTGAAGGCACGAAATAGTGAGCGCGTAACATGCAGACAAGGTCATATGTGCGCGCGAAATACGTTGGCAGCACTGGCTGTAAATCAGCTGGTCAGCTGTTGTACTGTTGTACCATTAAATGTAATATTAAAAGTTCACTTCTGTGTTAAAATATGTTACGTTTCTTTACCAATTTATTTGTTTTATAGCAACTGTAGGAAAATATAATGTGCAACTCGAGTGCAAAGTGCAATTGCCTCACTCGAGAAACCATTCCTTACTCGCCTACGGCTCGTGATTAAGTATTTCTCTCGAGTGAGTCAATTGCTCACTAGTTGCACAAATAACTATTATTTAACAGAATTTCAATAAGAGAATTCAAACAAATCCATCCTCTTTTATGAATGAATTCATCCTTTTTTATACTTATAGAAGATATAGAAAATCATAGTTGTACCGAAGATCTCATCTGATTAAACTTGAATTCCTAAATGTTGTTTAATTTAGATGAAAATTAGGTGTTAGAATATTTACTTATCAGTATCTTCAAAAGGTTAGGGGTGGATTCTCTTATAAAAATCTAGAAGATTAATCTTTAAGTTCATTTTTTACTTCTTAAAATAATTTATTTAGATTGAGATAGACAGTGCTGATAAATAGGTTTTACTCCCAGTGTATGTTGATACTTGCTAACATAATGAACTTCACTTGTCTTAATTCCAGGGAAATTTGCCAATCACTCGTCACAGACCAACCACCAGTATCAATATTCAGTGTGTCAACATGGAAAAGTTGATCAAAGACGTTGATTTGGAGAAGACTCTCTATGAAAATAACTAATGATTGAGATAAAATTAACAATGATATTTTTAACCATGCATTGGAGCAATATTTAAATACTTGGAGGTGTAAGTACTCTGCACTGAATAAAAAGATGTCCTACTTAAATCGTTTTAATTTCACTGATCCATTAATACTTGACCTAAATAAATGGAGCATTGTTCCAAACTATGACTTAGATGGCTAAACAGATGACACTTTGTATGTTAAAAATAGCCCAGTCAACAAAGGGATTGAGTCGGAAGTAATTAGTGAAAGGCAGATTTTTTGCCCATCAACTATTACCATTTAGACAATTCAGTCAAAAGTCACTGCCCCTACCCCCCTTGCTACCCCCCCCTGTGCCCCCCAAACATATAAAGTGTAAGGGTTTTGTAAATAACGTTTTTTCTCAATTGTTGAACTACATATTGAATTGCAATTAGTTTTATTGTCTTTGTTATAAAATTTCCTACAATCCTGTTCAGTTAACTTTCGTCGTAGCTGTTACCGTTTGTTTGTTAAATGTAAAGATTTATATATTTTTCTACATATAATTTTAGTTTTGTCGCCTTAACTTTTTTCGCTGACGTTTTATGAAAATATGTTTAAGACAAAAGTTGTAGCTGCTTTCAATAGCTTTAAAGTTATGTATAATAGTACTTACTTTGATGAAAAACCTGTGAGATTCAGCCTATAATTACGTTGCTGATGCTTTGTAACGTGTTGAAGCCATCTCAACTGTTTTGAATCACGACTCTTTAGCCAAATCGCAAGAGTCAGACGAAGAACTTCAAAATCTCATTTCTGAAAGTACTACATCTCTTAGATTGTAGAAAGTTCCAATTCCTGGAACTTGTTTGAGCCTGATCTGTGACACATCAATAGGAACTCCTTGACCCTTTGTGCCATCAGAACTGTGACGTAGAGTTTTTGACCAGTTCCACAATTTGATTCATCCTGGAATACGTGCCACAACAAAACTTATCTGCGATCGTTTTGTCTGGCCTTCCATTCTCAAGGATTGCCACAAATGGACTCAATCGTGCATCTCCTGCCAAAAATCTAAGATAACTAGACATGTTTCTATTTCCCTTGGTGATTTTCAAACACCCACGAAAAGTGTGGTACTACCTGGACTTAAAGCAGAGGAAACCTCAAACCTACCACCACCTTGTCAAACTCCACCTACGAAGCCTTATCAAACTCGTTCTGGAAGACAAATCCGACCAGAATGAAGAATGACATGAATACATTTCAGAATGAATAAATTCTTTTTCTCCATGGGAGGCTAGTGTAGTGTCAGCTGATGTTGCCTTAGCAACCATTATGATCATTCTTGCTATTGGGTTCTTAGAGGACTGTACACAACTTGTAACTCTTCATTAAAAATACATTTCTCTTACTCATTTGATCAAAAGTTTATTGAACTACACAAACAACCACAACCAAAACACTAAACTGTGTTCCAGCTGTTTTTGTTTTCATAACTGATCCATTAGTTCTAAATAAGAAGCCCAACTTAAAAATTGTATTCTGACTCGGAAGTTCACCATGACGTCCAATACGAAAGTAATGTCTAAAACATTGTTGAGTATCCACTCTTGACCCACCACGTTGAGTTTCACAGTTGACTCACCACAAAAAAAATCATCGTATGCCAAAATGCAATGATCTGTTGTCCACAGCGGGGGGACCTGAATGACCTCAAACCCGAGTTCCTCACTCCAACAGTCGCTGAGAAATGTGCAATTCAAAAAGTACGTTTCCCGTGAACCACCCCGTACTTATGTGAAAAAGTATTGCTGTATTGTGCAATTCAGTAAGAATATTCTTATTTTTTACTAGTTAGTCATTTAAACTGGTGATATAGCAACTTGGGTTGTGTTGCTTTGCTAGTCAGTGGTTAGCTTATGCTCCAGTGTGAGAATGACAGGATCTATCTCCTGACAGGTCTGGACTATCATCCTTTTGAAGCAATTATACTCTCTCACAAAATGCCACAGATTTGAAAACTTTTGTTCGGTTGAATGTTTGTGAATAATGTAGTATTGGCAAACACTAAATTCCATAATTTATACAAGAATTAACTGAATAATTGTATAAAATACCAAGTTCTAGCATATTGTACATATTGGGTCAGAGCTGTCCTTAGGTAAAAGTAAAATGCCAGAGAATAGTACCAACTAACATGTCACTAATAATATTAGTACCCTTCTCTTTTCCTAATCACCATGATATTGCTCAAACTGCATGATTTTTCTAAAAAGTAGCTCAAATCAAAATTAAAATTGTATAAATCACGATAACAAATTTATCAAAATATAGCCATAAACAAGCTCTCTACAACAATTTACTGTTTCTTCATAAGAATAACAGGCATCTTAAATATACGGTTTTTTGAAATTTTTTCTCAAACTTTCACTGTTCACACTCAAACTCAAACTGTTCACAAACTTTAATTGTACAAAAATGATTCAATATACAAAACTGTTTGTTTTTTATGCTCTACATAGTGGCTGTAATGGAAATCGGGCAATTCCATGTTTTAACCCTCCAAGTGTCCATAGTTTAGGCCTTAATGTCCACCTATTTTTGGCGCATTTGCAAGGTTTTATTAAAACGGATCTGAGAAGCTTAAAACAATGTTAATTCTAATGTTCTATATACCATTTTGTTTGGAAAATCATGGGCTTCAATATTATATATAAAACATAAGGAACATTTAAAAAAAAAAAAAAATTTTAGGTAAAAAAAAAATATAATTTTGAAAATTTTCAAAAAAAAATAAGTTTGCGCTCAATGAAATTGTATAAATTATAGGCCTATAAATATTTGAAAATAGCCACTTTGTTCTAAATTTTATGAGGATTACAAATATATAATAATATAAGGAAGTATATTTGCAAATAAATAAGTTATGGGCAAAAAACTGATTTCAGTACATAGCGTTTAGCTAAGAATGCATAGCCTAACCATAGCTAGGAATCTGGCTGACAATTTACATCAATATCACTACCTACTTCTTCAGGATCATCAACCAGCACTTCAAAACCACTTAAATCTTCTTATAATGCACCACGTATATCACTACTTTTGATTTTTAACACTAAAACAATGATAAACGTAATAAAACACATCAGTCATCGGTCCGGGGGAACCTAGTTGTTTACAAATACACGCACGTCAGCTGTCTGCTACAATATTTTCGGAACTAAAATGAATAGCGCTTAGAGACAGACCTCTGGAGAAAGCTTAGAATATTACGGAAAGAACGATACCTAACTCGATCCAGTTCAATCCGATTCAGTCAGTCATAGAGCCTTCGCCGTAAACGATGTCTGCGTGTCGAAAAATCGACAAGTAACACTACACAAAGTGTGCTGCTTGTCGAATTTTCGTCAAGTAACACTGGGAGGGTTAAGAGGAAACTTTAAGGAAAAACCAACTTTTGAAAAAAACAACTTTTTAAAGCCACGTTTGTATAACTTGATCTTGCTGGTTTACAAACTCATTCAAGTGTATCCGACTCTAAACATTCTTGCAGAATTTCATCAACTTGTGGTCACTTGTTCCGAGGTTGATAAGCACAGAAATGTGTGTTCAATTAGTAGTAAGCAATGATAAAAAGCAACCACTATTATTTATTTGATTAAAGTTATGTTTTTCAGTTAGGGTAGCTCAAGAACAAATCCAAAATTAGAGTTTAATTTAAATTTTGTTCTGAAAATAGATTATACACTGAAAATAAAAATCTGCATTATTTTGAAATTACAATAGAAACTAAAAAAACATAGTTATTGAAAAAAAAGATTAATTTTCAGTTAAAAACACTTTTATTGATTACTTGAGTACAGGATTTAAAATACACGCTATACCAATTTGGAACAAACAGTAATTAATTAGGTTGTGTATAGAAAAACTAGGCGATCTTAGATCCAAGCCTTAACATAATAAGAGTTTTCTCCAAATGAGACATTACACAACTAGAATCTTACTTAGAAACAGAGTTATTAACTCGATCCATCTATTAAAATATTAAAATCCCTAACTCTTAAACTAATTAGTCTTAATCCACAATACAAATTTATAATTACCAACTAAGATAATAGTGTGTTTAAAACACAGTAAACTATATTTGTAACAAAGTTTTTGCCAATTTACATTAAAAATAAATTAAGGACTGCATTAAAACTGATAAAAAGATGAACTTCTTGTAAAAAATTACAAATAGTTAAAAACCACACAACTTGGTGGGTTTGGATAATTATTTTGTCTTGATCCCACATGTTTAACCTACATTGACAAAAACAGAAAAAAAACATTTCAAATGGATTTACATTGTCTCCAACACTGTAGATGATTCTGCAGCATGAACTTATTCTTAACAATCTCAAACCTGAGTAGGCCTATTAGCAATTTAACCTAAATGGTCAACTAACCATATCTATCAATTACAGGATAAAATTACACATTTACAAAAGTTATTGTGGTATAAAATTACAGGGCAGACTACCATACTTAAATGCTTATCAAACTAACAAATCAAGCTTAAAAATTCTCCTTACTTAGAAATGCAGGCTCTATAATCACTATTATTGTATTTAGGATAATAATGTACAAGGATATGGAATCAGCTAGCTTACCTGGTAGGGCCTTGGTAACACACATAAAACACATAACACAAAACGGTAAAACTTAATATCTCGTCCCTGTTAGGGACTTCATCAGAAGGGAGAAGACTAAGTTTTAACGTTTTGTGTTCTGTTTTGTGTGTGTTACCAATGCTAATCTGAACTCTATCTACCAGGTAAGCTAGCTAGCTGACCCCCTATCCTTGTACATAATATAATAATCTTAATCAGCTAATTGGCTTATCCTTAATTTATAACCTATTATTTTATTTAGACTCTCTTGATACATTACCTACTGATACTAAATTATTGTAGATGAACGTAAATTAATTCACTCCATCTATTTATGCGTTAGCCACAATAATATGATTCTCTAAAAAATTATAAAATCTGTAACTTTTCATTAATCTTAATTCTTCATTATGAGCTTTAAAACAAATTTTAAAGCTTGACTTTAAAACCACAAAAATCTATTCTTCCCTTGCTCTCTTGGCAGATGAGTGAGAAAATATATCGTCTGAATCACTTTCTCCAGAATCAGAATCAAAGGATGAATCCACTGAAAATTATAAAATATATTTTAATAAGATTAACATTTACTTCAAATCAAACAATGAAAATTGATTTATTTGTCCAATTTTCACCTTGCATTGAGTGCCAAGTGGAGGTTACCTCTGCACTTTATGATTTTCTTCTTACACTTTATGAAAAAACAACAACTGTAAAGCGTGAGCTTGGCTAACTTGGTTTGAATACTCCATTACTTCAAGGAACTGCATCCAGTATATTGTAGGCTTGTTGGTTATTGAAATGGACAGGTGTTGATTTTTGTCAGGGTGTAGAGGAAGCTTCCTCAATGCTCGTGATAAGGATATTAAATCAAATTTTGTTCTATTGCCCAACGCATGTGCCCAATGAAGGGTTAAGAACCAGACCTCATTATCCACAAGCCAGTCAAATTTCAGTATGTAACTTACTCTAATTTTATCCTAAATGCATATTTCCCAGCGAAACATTTTGCCTCGCAACACTTGGTTTAGGTGAAATGCTGCATCAGTATGCGGCCGGCTGTAGTATGTACGTACCCACTCATTTGATTAGTTGATTACTGTGTAGTTTCTAGGACGCACGTTGCAACGCTCCTGTGTGTACAGGGTGTATAGCTATGATTTGAAACAATATTTAGCGTCGTGGCACGTGGGTAACAAAAAAAAAAAAAATTCGGGGGTTTTTTGAAATGTTGGGAAAATAAAGGTTGTATTACAGCCCTTAATATTACTTTATAAACATACATGGAGGAGCTTTGAATTGATATTTAACATATTTAGTCCTACTTCAAAAGTAGATTTTTAAGCATCCTATGCATAGTACTTATCTACAAAGTGTTATTGCATTACCTGCAATGGTTATAGAAAAAAATGTGATCCCAGACTTTTTGAGGATTTCTCATGTTACTTTATTTATGATTAGGAAGACAAAGTATTTTAGTAAACATACGAGTATTTTAATGCAATGAATGAAAGTAAAAACTTACAGTCACTCCCGTAGTAGCGTGAAGTGGGATAGGTACACCGTTGACATTGCTCACGTTCTTTTTGATCATTATCACGTGTTGCCCCTCCGTGTACAGGGTCTCTTTCCCTCTTCCACAAATCTCCGTTGCCTAAGACCTCCATTACCTGTTTACAAAATAAGTCAAAATAAAGCACATAAAAATCATTTGCAGCAAACCTGCAGAGTAAGGGAATTTCTATTTGCCTGATTGGATTTTAACTTTAAATATTTCCCTCAGCATATGTATAAGCATTTATTCCCTATTTAAATAGGCCCTAGCATTAGGTTTAACGCTTACTTATGTTTGGTACTACAGGTAAGTAGGGATGAGAATATCAGTGACTTTAAAATATCACTCGGAACTGTGACTGTGACAAAGAAATATCGGTTAAAAATATCGGTGACTAGTCACAGCGATAAATGCTACGGTGGCGCTCCGTGCGGTGATACTCAAAACTACGAAACTGTGACGATGCCATTGGCGTGCATCACTCGAACGGCTAACCAGCTACTTGTGACTGCGACTGTGACTGTGACTGCTCCAAACCCCGAATGACTGCTACTGTGATCTCGCGCTGTTGACGATATACGGTGCAAAGCCCGCTCAAAGTACAGTAGTTCGCTCAAAATCCGAAGGATACAGAGAGCAGCACTTACAAGGACGGCGGATACAGCCCAGTCACAGCGCTCCTACAGTCGATATTTTGAACTAAAAGCCTGTGACTGCGACTGCGACTGGGGAACAGAGACTGTGACTCGCTCAGTCACAGCGCTGCTCGCGCTTCTACAGTCGATATTTTGAACTAAAAAGCTGCGACTGCGACTGCAAATGGTGAACAGAGACTGTGACTCCGGTAGCTGCTACTTTTGATATCGTGTCACAGACTGTGACTGCGACTTAAAAATATCGGTGACAAAATCACAGTCTGTGATTTATCGCTCATCCCTACAGGGAAGGAAGGTATTCCTGTCGCAGCAAACCTGCAGACTAAGCAAATTTCTATTGGCCTTGTAGTACGGTATGGGATTGCACCTCATATTGGAATTTCAGCTTGTCCTTCAAATATCCCGAGGCTATTTTGCTGTAATTATTTTGTTTACGGTACCATTTAGGCAGTGCAGAGAGAACAAACATCAGACATGGGCAATAATCCTATTTTAAAACATGTACTTGAGACACGATCATATTTTTTAAGACCACGGACAAACTTGACTGACATATTCTGCACTCACTGAATTCTCTTCATGAACCTATGTGAAACTGAAGTTGCCTTCAGGATCTACCTACTGTGTACAATAGGTATTACCAGTGTATGTTATTCCTTTGTCACTGTTATTTTATATAAAGTACATGCATCGTGAAGGTAATAGATGTTGTCTGTTAAAAGAGTGATGGTAGTTATTTTAAATATACTAATACAAAGTATATTTATAATAACATATGTTATTAAATATTTTATAATAAAATATAACACAGTACATTAATAATGTAACGAATACAACGAGTACATTAACACTTTCAGTGCGGTTACATGATAGCCGGCTGTGGCTGGTGGCGGGAACATCTACCGTAATGCGCTGCGTGGTTGGGTCCGCGAAAACGTTTAAATTTAGTCCCATCTAAAGGCATATTATAGCATGTACAGCGTTCCAGATAGAACAGATAGAAAGATAGAAACAGATAGAAGCTCCAAGCAAAAATAATAGCAGGTCCTCAGTATTGCCAAATGGAGCATAACAGCAGGGGCGATAAACCCTGATTAGCCTACATAAAAAATGACAATGCCCGAGCAGAAATGCTACTGCTTTTGTTGACATTCTGCATATTAAAATGGTACAAGATTACCTGTTTCCGTCTGTGATCCTAAATTTGTTGTATATTGAGCAACCGGTTTCAAGGCTATAACCTCATCATCAGGCTCTTGTTGTCACACTGCGAGATCGTTGAGTTTTGATGACACACAAAGACACTAACATTTAAATAAATAAAACACGAAACATATTGACAGACGATTAACATAAATTCAAGAACTAGTTCCACGGGTAAACATTTTGACAAGTGTGTTTTTCATTTTCTAGGTTATTGCGGATCAGTTGTGCTTTAGAATAATAGCTATAATCATTATTTGAAGTAATTAGTTTTAAGAAATCACAAATTACTTGCTATTTTACTTTCAAAAGAAACATTCCTTAAAACCTAATTATTGTTTTCCGAATGGAAATAAAAAATATATCTTTAGGCTTAAAAAGACCTCGGATAACCCGGGGGCTCGGATATTCGAGAGTGTAATATATATGTCCGTTGGCACGATAACTCGAGCAAAAATTATTTGATTTTGATGAAATTTAGTACAAGTGTGCAAGCCTACGTTTATTTGAACGAGTTCGCGAACCAGCGTGATCGGACCATGGGAAGGGGGATTTTTTTTTATTCTTGATTTTAGGGGTAAAATTGGGTTTTTCATTTTTTACCCTAAAACATAATATTTCCCAATTTATCTTTAAACCATTTTGAAGAACTTAAATAGAAATTCACTTAATCTGCAGGTTTGCTGTGGCAGGGGTATTTTTTTGTAATTGGTGATTCTTCAATGTGAGTTGTTTAAAATACTCCAAAGATTAATTCTAGGGTCGGTGAAGTTAGTGTCCATTTGGGAAGTCGATGGATTATCCAATTCAAAAGATCCCAAATCATTTTTCTCTCTTGATAGCTTTGCTGCTTACGACAGCTGTCACAAATTTTCATCCCAGGTCTTATTTCCCTATTGATTTTGAACATCCATGCTTGTATTGGTCTCAGACTTGTTATAACTTTATGATTTTTTTTCCATATGGGTTACAACAATAAATTGTTGTGAACCCTGTACCAGATTTTTGATTCCTTTCCATCTCAAGTTTGGCATTATTACCACAACTAATTACAAAACCTAACTGTTAAGCATACACTTACATTTTAAAATCACTAATCACTTTTCAATAGTGCAGAAGATAACTCATTGACTGCTCAGCTTCCTGACTGAAGTAAAAGTAAACAGGAAGAGATGATTTAAAGTCGGTAGGCTTATACTTGTTTATGTGGAGACATGAAAAGAGCACAGTATCTCACAACATAATAACATCATTGACATTTTGTACCCACCTTAGTAATAACATCAAGAACTCATGGCATTTTTGAAAATGTTAAATCACTATGCGTTTTAAAATTTGCTTTTAAAAATTTAAGTTAGGGGGTTGAAAATTTTAAATACTTAAAATACTGTCAAGTTTTATATAACATTAAAGCTAATTTAATTCTAAAAGATAGTCTTTTTTATTTTACCTTTCTATCTTTTTATTCTTTCTTCAGATATTAAATCAAATGTAAATCCCTTTAAGCGCAAAACCACACTTTTTTTGACATTTTGATACAAGATTTTGAAAAAACTGCAAAGGATATTTTTTTTATATTAAAGCTTCTTTTGCATAGATGTACGGAATCTAATGTAAAAAGATCAATCCTGTATGTAAAAAATGGTGAGATAATTGGTATTAGGTCACTTAACATGGATTGACCCAAAACTGGCTCAATAAGCGGCAATGCCGGTAATCAAACACAACATTCCCCGTTTGAGGCTGAGCTCACACTGAAGCCATAGCAAGGTTGTTGGCATGGGAGGTTCACGACATTTTTTACTCCGTCCCAATGGTGTTAATACATAGGCTAACTACCTCATGGCAAGTTCTTAAGCTGACACAGGCACGGTAGTTCATAGCCATCCACATTGTGTCACGTAGGGTAATGAAACGTGCAACATCAGCTTTCTCAGCAGCACCAAGGCCCCAGTCCACGAAGTCAATCTTGAGATCCTCATTATCTTCCTCCATATCATGAGCCAGATATCTTTTAACAAACAATGGTGCTGATGTTACAAGTTTGAAATACCGTGCATTTCCTAGATAAACAATAGTGTATACTACCATTGACTATTGGATACCGAAGTGTAGACATCCCATCTATGTGGAACAGTCGCCAATTTTTTTTATAAAAAAAGAACATAGTTATGGGATGGGAGCCAGTCACAGAATGTGCTAGGGTCTAAAATTCCATTTTCCACCTTATTTATTGTTCCTGACCAAGTGTTGATGGGTCATAACAGTGGCTCATCATAAGTAATTCCATTTAGTTTACTTTGATAATTTATTGATTTAGATCAGCGCAATCTATTGGTGGCTCACATCAACTATGACGATTTATAAAAACTGGCGACAACTTTAATACGGGAATGGAATGTCTACAGGTAGTTGTATTTATGGTCAAATAGCAGTACTTAAATTTAAAATACACTATGCCGTTGTTCGTAGTACTGTATACCAACTGCATAGCTGGAAAAGTTAATACAAAAATTTGAACTAGTTAGAAGTTAATATAGTTAGTCCCGTAAAAGTTACTGAAAGTGAACTGAAGTTATTAAGAATTAGACCCTCCCCTCTTACCCCCCCCCCCACCCATTGTTTGCAATACAATGCTCCAATTGCAGACACAACTAATTGTGTAACAAAACATGAAAGTAAGAGTTTAAAAAAATATATATATTTCTTTGTTCGAAAACAGAAAACTGTTAATTACACATTATTTTCAAAGAAATTAATTCACAGTTTGTGTCTTGTAAATATTTTATTTGATCTTCTTTGTATTACGAGTGTCATTGTGATAAAATACAAGTGTTATTCATTGTGATTCTGTAAAACATAACATTTAGTTATGTTTTAAACTTAGTAACTTACAATATAAACATGTTAATTAACATAATTTAATACTGTAGGCATTGTATTTCAATACACTTTCCTATTTTGTTAATTACCCGTGATTTTACGTATCCAGGAAGCCAACCCTACTTAATCAGTTGAGTATCACAGGTTAAGATTACTACCACAGAAAAAAAAAATGTTACACTTTCAGGGAATGAACATCAACTGAAGACAATGTTTTGAGATGACAAATCACCAAACAAACATCCCCTCTTCCCACCCCTCGCTGTTGCTATTGACTGTCACTGCCCCCCTTGGTCCCACTGCATACAAAAATCCAAAGCAACTGGACTTTCACTTTCCCCAGCACCCCTGGATTGTTTGTCAACAAGGGCGCTGACCCTCACCGATGATCGTAAAACACTCGTATTTGAGGTACTTACACCCGTCCAAAAATCTAACTATTTAAACCCGAAAACTACTAACGAATATACTACCTATTCGTTAGCTAGAATCTAACTGAGTAGAAGTTATTTCGAGTACTTTTTAAAAACTAACAAATATAATAGAAGTTAGACGAAAAAATTAACAAATATCGCTAATCGTTAGAATTTCTATAAGTTATTCCCAAGAATGCTACTGGTATTATTTTCATTAATATTATTTGTTTTAGGGCTTTTGTGTTTTCATTTTTGTTTGACTATATAAAGTTGATGTGTAGGCCTACTAATCCTTGTTATGTTTCTGGTAGGTTTACTGTCTCACCTAAGAATTTGGTTTTTTCCATACGTGATAGAAAAACGTCAGCAATAATTTCTTATATAGCAAATCACCATCACCAAAGTATAACTTAAATCAAAGAGATTTATTGGTTTCATCGAATACGATAATATTAGGCCTAGGTTTTACTTAAGTTTCATTAATTATTCTTGAGTACCCTACAATAATAAAAATTACTTACAGGGCGACAAAAAAGTTGAGACGAGTGTAATCACTCAGAGGAAGCCTAGCCCGAATAAAATATACAAACACCATGGACAACAAGTATTTATCAGCTAGCAGGCAGCAGCGATCATACTTCAGGAACTCTACAATGATCTTGTCTCCTGAAAATAAAGATTTTTTTAGAGCCATAGATGAAATAGTATACAACAGTGAACACTTTCCATTTTTGTAGGCTAATGGTGTTTTAAAAATTTTTGTTTTGTACTATATAACAATAAAATAAAGTTACCAAGTCTATATGTCATAGGCCTATAAGTTAAAGACGCTTTAAAGGCCTTGACATTCGTTATGTAATAAACCTATACATTTTAAAATTTCAATTGCATTAGCCTATAGCCTACTCATTTGACGGTAACTTAAATCCCATACTAACATTTTGTTAATGAAATTATTAAACTGTTTGTTGATACTTTTGACTATTGGATACTTTACTTTTAAGTAGATATTCCATCTATGGAACAGCTGTTGCCAATTTTTTTTTATTAAAAAAGGATATAGTTATGTGAGTCAGTCACAGAATGTGCTAGAGGGTCTAAAATTCTATTTTCTACCTTATTTATTGTTGCTGACTAAGTTGATGGGTCAACAGTTGCTATAGCTCACCATAAGTCATTCCATTAGCTTGACTTTTCTTTAAAAGTCTGTGTATTCGACCATCTTTTGGCAAAATTAAAAGGGTATGGCATAGTCGGAAGCCTGTTGAGATGGTTTGAATCATATCTTAAAGAACGCACCTTAGCTGTCAAGTTTGCAGGAGCCAAGTCAATCCCTTTCCCTGCGGTTTAAGGAGTCCCCCAGGGTTCTCAATCTGGGTCCATTTCTTTTCAAAATATTTGTTAACGATGTTGTGGATGGTATCGACTCTCAGTGCTTGCTGTTTGCTGACGATATCAAGGTTTTCAAGTGTATAAAGTCTCTGGCAGACTGTTCCGCCATTCAACAATGTTTGCACTCAATTGACAACTGGTGCCTGGATAACAGCAAGGACATCAGTTTCAAAATCTGCAGTGGTGTCTTATCACCGTACCGACTACCGAGCAACGTATTGACTTCTTCTACACAATGAATAATGCTATCCTGCCACGGAAGAGTTCCATACGAGACAGGAGTTTTAATGTCATACGATTTAAACCCTGATCCATTCAATCCACCATTCAATCCACATCAAATCAGCCACATATCAAGAGTAGAAAAAATTCAGAATCGCTTCCTTTGCTCTATTGGCGTCAAGTTGGGCCATGATTTCTATGCAGTACCGATTGAAGATATTTGCATTGATATGGGACTTCCTCGACTGAGCAATCTGCAGTCCTGTCTTTCCTCTGGAAGTTGTTGAATGGTGAAGTTGATGCACCAAAAATACTTCACCTAATTAACTTCCACGTTCCCCGACACTTCAGGCACATTCAAAAAATTCTTCAACAAAGCTTCTTTTTCTACAAACTACGCCTTCCACAGACTTGGAAATCAAGCATGCCAACATGTTGATACGTTCACCTGCAAACTGAAAGCCATAAAAAATATCCTAGTTTAAAAGTTGTAATTTTTATGTGGTTGATGAGAATGTGTGCTAATCAGGTCACTGTCTAGGATTTGCTGCATCGTTTGTTTGCGTTTTCACATAAATATTTATTGCACTGTTAACATTTTTCACTCATAGTTTACTTCACCGTTATTATATTTATTGTCATTGTTGTTTTTTTTTTTAAAGTCTTTTCTGTCAAATATATTTATACTAGTGTCCCTGTTGCTTGAATTCAAACAGTTGCTAAGTATTACAGGTGTTATTTTAAAATGAATACCTAACAGTAATAATTTCTGATGAATTTAACAGATTCGACTCAAAGATTATGGAAATACTCATGATGTACATAACAAATCGATATAATCACAATTTCTTGTAAACATCTTATCATTTTTCAAAAGCTGATCTTGTTTTTTTGTGTTTTCTACAAATAGCATTACTCATAGCCGCATCAGGTTGTCCATAGTAACGATTATAAATATAAAAAAAAAACATTATTTCTATTTCTTCTCCTTGGTGGTGTTCTATGACTTTCCCATGTTTCCATAGTTTGCAAATCGGCTCTTTTAATGATTATACTAAGAAATGCAGCACAGTGCTATTTCAGTTTTCTTTTCAGTATATCAATTTATCCAGGCTCTCTCGCTTTTTTCCATTGTAATATTTACGCCAACTTAAATTCAAATAGTAAATATTTCATTTCAACCAAGTCAGTAAATGTTTGTAGCAAACTTATTGACTGTTTACAAATTAACATATGTTCTTCTTCTCAATTTTAATTTCTGACAACAGCTGGAGTTTGATAAAAATTTTTGTTTCCCATCTTAATCTTATGGAGAAATACAAAACTTTAAAGGGCCAAAGGCCTCACTCTTTAATTATTTCCGTAAGAATAAAGTTTCCTGCACAACTTCACGTTACGCTCTTTCCAATGACACCAAAAACATGTCAATCGGTTCAGTAGTTTCGGGGGTAATTGTCACAAAAAACCTGCTTGCGTATTAAATAAGTATAGATTTTTGTTTGTTATTGTAATTACCTATATTGTAATATTTATCTATTTTGTTAACTTATCTGTTAATCGTTATTTTTCTCTCAAATTTTTTATGCATGTTAACGTTAACTAGATACTTGAATACGTATGATCCAATCTTTGTCAATGTATTTTTGATACATTCCTGTTGATGTCATTTTTCATGTTGGGAATCTTTTAGCGAATTTCCCTTTAGGGAAGTAGCTATTTTACCATAGGTGGCATGGTAAGACCTAGACCCGTGACCGATTTACTTTTTCATTTTGATGTCCCAGAGGCCAAAAACACCATTCGTTCAAATTGTTATATAGGCTATGTGTATTTATATAATATATATATATGTCCGTGAACGCGATAACTTGAATAATTTTTGTCCGATTTTGATGAAATTTGGTTTAAAGGTGTAAAGCGGGATAAACTTGAATGAGTTCGCGAACCAGCATGATCGGACCATGGGAACGGGGTTTTACAGGGGGTTTTATGTGGTAAAAATTGGTTTTTCTCACTTTTGACCCTCAAAACACCAAATTTCCCAATTTCCCTTTAGACCCTTCTTAAAAGCTTAAAAAATCAAATAATTTAGTATGTATAAGTATTTTTGTACCGTTATTGGTAACAGAGAAAATTAAAAACAATTTAAATTTAAAATTCCCATGTTATTCTTATGGAGAATAGGCCTATTGTAAAATGTTGTAGTTATCTTGTTTATGGATATATTTTGATCAAACTTGGCAAATTTATTTATTTTATACTAAACTATTAATATTTTACTAAAAACACACTTTATTAGTTTCCTTGTAGCAGCAAACCTAGGTACTCGTTAAACATAAGTTAATGTTATTTAAATATATTTTTTATAGAAAATCAATTTAAACAAATGGAAATTCAAACAAGTTGGTAGGTTTGCTGCGACGGGGGTATTTTATTGTCTAGCAGGATGAATCTGAATCTGACTTATATATACCTATTGGTAAATATTTATCTTGTAGGTCTAACTTACCACTCATGTAGGCCTATTCATTGATTGTAAAAATGGTGTTTACCGTATGAATAAATAAATAAATATTCAACAGAAATTTTAGTGATTTAGATCAGTGCTATCTATCGGTGGCTCACATCCAACTACGACGATTTTGATTAAAAAACTGGCAGCAACTTTAACATAGGAATGTCTAAAGTAGAAAAAAGTTGTTTTAATATTCAAAGTTAATAGCCTACTGAACAATATTTATTTATTGTAGTTGTCAGCTGATATGTTTCAATCCGTTAATATCAATATAACTTATAGGATCCAAAAATAAAATTATCGATGTAGGCCTATCGAAAGAAAATCATCAATAATAATGTATTGTTCCCTTTAAACAGGAAAGTACCATATATCGATAAATTAGTTCCGTTTCAATCTATAGGCCTATTGTTTCCAGTTAAGAAACTCTATCCCTTGTTACTGACTAAGGCAAATTTTTACAGCGTTTACTAGCCTATAGATGAAAAGTGGTAACTTAATTCAATAGCGTAGAATCTATATTTAACAATCCTGGAATGGATAGGCCTATACTTAGAACTAAGTAAGTTAAAGCATAGATGAAGTACTTCATCTATGGTTAAAGGGTGTCCAGCTTCAATGTGAGGATAATGAGCTGGTTAGGCTATTTGGTGAAAATGAAGGGGAATAACTTAAAATAAAATTTTAAAATGCAATATAATTACAGTCACTCACTGGTGCAATGATTTATTTGTGATTTTATTTTAACACTCTGTTTGAACATAAGTTAGCCTATACCTAAGTTAGGCCTAGGGTAACTTCATTCATTCATTCATCATTCGAAAGAGGCTTACAGGAAAATAACTTACCTAGATATACAATCAGTACAGCGGCCATAAAAGGGTCTAGTGGGCCCGCAGGCCCAGGAGTGCAAAGTATTTTTGTTTTGTTGGGGGCACAAGCAATAGACAATAATAGGTAGGCTTTTTGGAAAATATCTGAAACTGCGCAACAGTATCAATCCTCCTCACTTCGGTTCCCACGCATGACTCATCACTGCCACTGTTTGTTGTTGTTATTAATTTATCATTGACTTAAGTTGTTATAAGTTAATCACTGTCTTTATTTTTAGCCTAACTTATTAATTTTTCATGTAATGTTTTCATTTAGTTACTCACCAATGAGAGTCCCTTTTTCCAAATTGGATGAGAAACATATTATCTTATAATATCAATTGGTTAGCAAATAAAAAAGTTAATTAAGGTACCTACTGCTGTGTTTTTGCTTATAATTTTATTTACGATCGACAAGTTTTAAGAACATAAAGTAACTTCGCACCCTTTTGCTGCGAAATAGGGCCTAACTTAAGCAAAAAAACCGAGTGGCAGTGAGTTTAGAAAGAGAACGGCAAAAAACTTTTGGACAGTGAAAAAACGTTACAAAAAGTTCCTAAGTTAATAGGCCTAAGTTAGCTTACAGTGACTTTAAAACTATTTAAGTTAGGTAGGTGCAATGATCATGTGTACAGAAAGTGATGTTACCTACCAAGTTAAGTTGACCCTAAAAATAACCTTACTTTAGATGATGAGTTTACCGAAAAAATGTAGGGAAAAACCAGTAATTTACTTAAGGTGTTGACTGTTTCAAGTGTTAAGTTAGTTTAGGACTAAGTTAGCCTAAAGTTAACTTAGGCCTACATCTCAAATAAGTAAACACATTTTTAATTCTAACTTTACTTATTTTCAATACTTTTCAATGAAATGGCGACCATAGGCCTACAAAGTAGGTATTTTAAGCCAAGTATGAATGGAGATGGGTGTAGGATGGTGCGATCTTGTAGTCTTGTTAGTGACTAAGGCCGACATATCCTTAGAAACAGCTGTTAATTAATAGCCCACTACAGCTAATGGTAACTAAGGGACCTACAGTTTATTATAGTGGAATCCGAACCACATTTCTGCCTCATACGAATTGGTCTAATTATCAGGATAGTACTGCGAATAGTCGAAGTACTCACTCGTGCGGACGTTAATCCACACCAGGGAGTATAAGTTAACATCCACAGTGTAACGTATGCCTAAGTTATGGGTGTAATTTGATTAATCAAATTAAACACCATAATAAGTTAAGCTTAACAAGCATAAAGTTAACTTTATCGTTGTTATATTGCAGTTAACTTAAGTAAGTACACGTACATCTTGTAAAATGCCTATTTTCATTTTATGATCCAAATAAATTTTGGCATTGGGGGGGGGGGGAGTGCAACTAGGCCTATAGTCCGCGCCTGATATCTTTTCACTTGAGATTTTTGGTGTTCCTTGTGAATTTAGAAACCGAGGCGAGCGCCCGCGTCTTGTATAGGAACATATAGCCTAAAATAAAATATCTGGTTTTACAATACCTTTATCAGTTCCAAAAGTAACTTTCGTCAACGTGTGTTACATGTTTCGGCGAGCTGCCATTGTCGAACACTTCAATACAGGAAGATGTAGATCCGCTTGAATAGCTTCGTTACAACACATTACACGACACAACATTTTTACAAGACACGTACGACATAAAAACAAAAAATAAATACTTGTAATTTGATAGGCCTATCATGAATATGCAACATTGCCGGTACACGAGCGGGAACAGACTGTCGGTGGAGGGTTCAAGTCAGCGCTATCTGGTTGAATTATCTTCGTTATCTGTTGTGGTCAGCTGATCAGATTTGTTTCCTTGTTGCAGTAGCGTGTTAAAAATTATATTTGACTTAAACTGGAGTTTGTCATTCAGGATATGGTTGTTGGAATCCAGATTTTTTATTGATTTGTATATTTCAAACTCCTCCAAGACGTCCATTTTATTTCCCTTTTGACAGTAATGTAGTATTTGCAGACCGGTGTCAATGTCATTCATATCGTGATTACAGTCAATAAGGTGTTGGGCAAATGTTGATTTTTGTGTGTCTGTTCTCGGGTCTGGGCGGTGTTCTTTATAGCGGGTTTTAAATGCTCGACCCGTTTGTCCAATGTAAAAGCTCGGGCATTCGGCACAATTTATTTTGTAAATTCCTGTTGAACTGGATCTATCGGTTTTGTTGTTATGGCTATTGTCCTTTAAGATATTATTTACTTTGTTACTTGTTCTAAAAGATAAGGTGATGTTGTTGTGTTTTAGATGTCTCTTGAGGTTGTATTGGATGTTTTCATTGAATTCAACACAGACGTATTTTTTATCAGGCTGACGGGGTTTTGTTTCGTTTTTCCGTTTGAGCTGGTTACCGATGAGTTTATCAATTAAACCATCTTGGTATCCATTTGAAGCGGCAATAAACTTGATAGTTTCCAATTCTATCTTGTAATTCTCAGTATTTAGAGGGACATTTAACAATCTGTGAATCATACTATTGTAAGCAGCTATTTTTTGTGAGTAAGGGTGGTAGGAAGTTGCATGAATCGTTTGTGTTGAAGTAGTAGGTTTGCGATAGATGTTGTATGATAATTTTTTGTCTTCAGTTTTTTCTAATGTTAAATCTAAAAAGTTTATCTTGTTTGATTTTTCTACCTCAAGTGTGAATTTCAATTTAGGTGTGATGCCGTTCAAGTAGTTTTGGAGTAGTTCTAATTGCCTGGCATTGCCGTTGAACACTACTAGAGTGTCATCAACGTATCTGAAATAAGATACTATTTTTCCTTTATATTTATTTTGATCTGAAAATATGTATTCTTTTTCAATGTGATTTAAATAAAGATCGGCTAGTATGCCTGATAACGGGGAACCCATTGCAAGGCCATCTGTTTGGGTGTAAAATTTATCTTCAAAACAAAAATAGTTTTGGTTTAGTACTTCTTTTAGTAATATCATAACTTCTGTCACGGCTTCTGGTAACAAATTACTATCGTTCAGATGATTTTTTACAATCGATAAAGTTTTCTCAATTGGGACGTTCGTGTGAAGGTTTACTACATCGAACGATGCTAATGTGTTGTGCATATTTACATTGACGTGTTTAGTTCTTTCAATCAGTTCATAGGAATTTTTAATACTATAATTGGTGTCAAGGCTAATATTTTGTTTTAGGATTTTTTCCAACTTTTTGGCCAGTTTGTAGGTAGGTGCAGACGTGTAGTCGACCAATGGGCGGATGGGAGTGCCTTCCTTATGGACTTTGGGCAGACCACGCAGGACAGGTGCACGTGGATTCATGCACTTTATCTGTCTCATCTCATCGGCCGTGAATATTATTTTACTTTCGTTAATCAATCTCTTGGTCCTTGGTATTGAAGTGTTCGACAATGGCAGCTCGCCGAAACATGTAACACACGTTGACGAAAGTTACTTTTGGAACTGATAAAGGTATTGTAAAACCAGATATTTTATATATTACAGTTCCGGGGCTACAACAATGAATTTTAATATAGCCTAAGTTAGGATGGGGTAGCGAGCCCTGCAGCGTTGCCAGGTTGTGCAAGTCCCAAGTGAAAAGATATCGCACGCGGACTATAAGTAACCTCTTGGGCCCACAGCGCATCACATAATTTTACTAACCGCAGTCCTGCATACAATAACTTAGGCCTATACATAAATAACTTAGGCTTATTCCAAAAAACTAACTTGAGTTGCGGGAGCGTAATAGCCTAACTTATTTTCCAATAACTAACTTAGGCCTTTCAGATACAAATGGAAAGAAAACCCAGTCCTTCACTGGTGGTCTCACCCACCTAGTAACTTATGATAGTGAAATAGGCCTATGTCTAATTTATTGACCTTTCTCTAAGGCTAGGTAACTTATTCTCTATTTAAAAAACTTTACTTACTTGTGAGTATCAGAAATTGTGTTATTTGATAAGAGCTGAAGAATTCTTGGGATAATGATGATCCAATTCGGATAATATGTGATCTGGTTGACCGATTATTCAGCAATGTAATAATTTCTTCATCATCCAAGTCATTTTCATTGAAAAAACTTTGAATGCGTTTTCTTGATTCAACTGCTGCCATTATTGACTTTGAAATAATTAAGTTAGGCTTGAAAATTTATAAATAAATAATCAGACCCTAAAGTTTAATGGAATTAAGTTTATGTATTCAACCGGTCTTCTTGTTGGACTAAGCTAAGCTTGGAAACAAAATTAAATTTAAATTAAATATTAAAGTACTCACGAAATAATTATTTCTATACAAACCACGTACAAACTAAAACAAAAAATAAAGAAGCGATATGATTGGTTTGAACTTAGACTGGACTGGCCTTAGAGTAGCCACACCGGATATTATTTGGTTTATAAAAAAAAACACGAAAGAAGATAAATTGGAATCAGTATCCAACTGAACAAATGATATCCTTCATCCGCTAAGCAGGCAGACGAAGAAATTCACTGCTTAACAACTTAGAGCATTGATTATAGAACTAATACATATTGTCCAATTTATTTGAACACCATTTTATAATTTTACCCACAAAACACAATTTTATTGGATTAACTCAAGTCAGAAAGAAGTCAGGAACTTCATATATTTCATGTAATTGTTGCTTAATACAAGTACTATGTAATTATATATACATACGTGTATATATACATATGTGTATATATACATATGTGTATATATACATATGTGTATATATACATATGTGTATATATACATATATATATATATATATGTGTTTATGTGTGTGTGTGCATGATCTAGTTTCCCAGGAATATTTAACGAAAATTTCCGTTTTTATATTCGTGGTTTCCCAGCCTTTTACTTCCCCCCCTATACATGGTATAGAGAAGTTATTGTTTACGCGTTTAAAAAATTTCAAGTTTGGGTTTTTGGTGGATGTATCTCTGTTTTGGGCCCCCTCGAACGCAAAAAGTGGGTTGAGAATGGTCTATGGTCTCATGGTGCTTTACTGGAGGACCGAGAGAGAAGGGCTTTAGGAGGATATGGGAGAGAGGGAGGCCTCAGGAGGACTGATACAAAGTTAGCTGTCAATACAGTCAATCATCATACCCTTGGTGTTGAGGGAGTACAACTGTTTTGACGCCATGTTGGATGTATTTAGTTATTTGGCTAAATTCTAACAACATCAGTTGCACTGGCTGCCACTAAGAAATGAGTGGCTTTATTAGGTCATTTCAAACAATGTCAATGACAATAAATACTGAAACATATACACACACATGTACATAAATACATGTACATTTATTTGTCATTTGTATAGTCGTATCCTATATATTTAATACGTAAAGCCCTTTTTTCGTAAACACTACTCAATAATATTTGACAGATTGGAACATTTGAAGTTTAAAACGAGTTGTAAGTTCGTAAGAATTTCGTAGTTGTGTAAGAAGCTTTAAGATTTTAACATTTCCCATCCTTAAAGTCGAGAGGTGCCCTAAAAAGGTATATTTTCCCTCTAAAAATTACATATGGGACAAATTAAAAATTATTTCTGAAATAAACGGTATCAGCATTCTTACACATACCTTCTCCCATAAGCTTGTCAACAACCTTTTTCATGGGTAAGCGGTGAGAGTAAATATGATATTTTATAGTAAAAAATCACAAAAGTTGCAATAAATATTGAGCCATAATTGTTACAGCACTTACAGCAATGGGGTGTTGTTCTATTTTTTTTAATTATAAGGACCATAACATATTAATTTTGATCAAAGCCAGCTTGTCTCCGAAAATCATATTTTTTCGTTATTTTATGGGTTTTTATGGAAAAATATCATAATTTTCAATAAATTGTGATCCGTATTTTTTACGGAAATGGGATTTTTACCATTCTGTTCAGAATTTAAAGGACGATAACATACTAAATTTTTATCCAAATCGTTCGGGTCATTTTCGATAAAATCAGATTTGTCCGTGATTTTATGGGGTTCTATGGGAAAATCCCCATTTAAAATCATAATTTCAAAAAAGTGAAAAAAACTTTCAAAACTTTAAGGACCATAAAATACTAAGGTGAATCAAAACCAGCTTTTTTCCTAAAATCCTATTTTTCGCTATTTTATGGGGAAATAACCTAATTTACAATAACTTTTGAACCGTAATTTTTTACAGAAATGGGATTTGTACCATTTTGTTCAGAATTTAAAAGGCTACAACATTCTAAATTTTTATGAAAATCGGATTTATAATCTCTTTACTTTCTCTCCCTTAGTACATGGGAATGTGTAATGAGAAAGATTGGGGCCCCCTGAACCCAAAAAAGTGGTTTTTGGGATGATGTTCGTTCAATTGAACAACACTGAACAATTATTTATTGTTATTTACCATTAAAAAGTATGTTAAATTAAAACGATCATATTTAGTAGAAATATTTAGACCTTTATTTCAGGTATTTCTCCTGATATAAATTAAGCCTCCTATATTAATTCCAATATAACCAGGTCTTCTTGAAGATAAGCCTCCTATATTTATACGAGGTTCTTTCCACTAAAAATTGGTGACACCGAGTTCTTCTTCTAAAAGTAACTGCTTAATCCTCTTATATGTTCTGAGACTGATAATCTTCTTATCATTTCTTCCTTCAGACTCGTGTAACGTTTTGCCAGATTTGGGTTTGAGAGTAAATCCTCTATTTTGGAAGCAGTCATCTCATCTAAGTGTGTCACAACGTCTGTGAAACGAAGGCTCTCATAAAAAATGCGCCATAAAGAGAAACTCGCCTCAATCTGTATGAACCAAAAGTGCTAGTTTCTCACGCCAAAAATGGGGAAATTTTAATTTTGGAGATTGCATTGAAGTCGTGTTGTCAGACGATCTTGGATTTACTGAATTGTTTGTTTCTTGAGTTTTCTGATTCATTTGATTAACCAAAAAATCTTCTTCTAGCTGAATCATGATTTTGTCTTGACTGTTCAGAGTCAACTCCCATGACTTCATTAAGTTGTTTTCTGAGATCTCAAGGTTTTGCTTTTCCAAGAGTTTGAGTCTTGCCCATACTTCTTCATCGAATGAGTTCCATGATTATGTTTTTGATTTTCTTGATTGAATAACAATAGTGATTGAACGATTGAATAATCTTTCGAATTTAAATCCCGTCGGGGTCACCAATTTTTTGTGGAAAGAACCTCGTATAAATAGGAGACTTAATTTATGTCAGGAGAAATACCTGAAAGGTCTAAATAATTTGCACTAAATATGATTGTTTTAATTTTACATATGTTTTTTAGAGGTAAATAACAATCAATTGTTCAGTGCAAATAAATTTAACTACTTTTCGTTTGAAGGCCTAAAAATATATCATATTGTTTATTTATCTTTTTCTTAGTAACCAAATTAAATAAAACTATTTAAAACATCTGTCGGCTGATAGATCTGTCAGCCCACTACAGGAGCTCCCTGCGAATACTGGACTGATCTATCAGATGACAGATGTTTTAAATAATATTATTGAATTTGGTTACTAAGAAAAGGATAAATAAACAATAGGATATATTTTCAGGCCTTCAAACGAAAAGTAGTTAAATTTATTTGCACTGAACAATTGATTGTTATTTACTTTTCAAAAGCACATGTTAAATTAAAACAATCATATTTAGTGGAAATCTTTTATACCTTTATTTCAGGTATTTCTTCTGATATAAATTAAGTCTCCTATTTATACGAGGGGCTGACAGATCTATCAGCTGACAGATGGCAGATGTTCCAAATAATATTATTGCATTTGGTTACTAAGAAGAGAAAAATAAACAAGGGGGTATTTTTCGGCTTTCCAACAAAAGTGGTTCAATTTATTTGCACTGAACAATTAATTGATTGTTATGTACCTTTAAAAAGTATGTTAAATTAAAACGATAATATTTAGTGGAAATCTCTAGACCTTTATTTCAGGTATTTCTCCTGATATAAATTAAGTCTCCTATTTATACGAGGTTCTTTCCACTAAAGTTATTTTCCCATAAAACCCCAAAAATAATGGAATAATCCTATAAAAGAAAAAAGAATTTCTCGAAAATGGCTAAAACGATTTTGATGCATATTTCGTTTGTTGTAGTCCTTTAAATTCGGAACAAAATAGTACAAATCACGGTTCAAAAGTTATTACTTAACTTATGTAATTTGTCATGAAAAAAAACATAATATAACAAAAAATGGATTAGAAAAAAGGTCAGTTTTGATTAAAATTAATGTGTTATGGTCTTTATAACTCTAAACAAAATAGTGCAACCCTTATTGCAGAAAATATTACGGTTCAAAAGTTATTGCAACATTTGCGATTTTCCCTATAAAATATCATTGTCACTTCCACCGCCTACCCATAAATGTTGTTGACAAGCTAATGGGAGAAAGTATGTGTCAGGCTTCTGATACGGGTTATTTATTTATCCATGTATTGGGATTTCTTAACGTGTTTCGTAGATGAACGGTCCAAACGCCGGCAGTATGAACATTGAGGCACATGCAGATCATTTGAGTGGATCAGACAATGCACCAGTACCAGTACCACACAGGAATATAATTTGTTGTCGATCATCCAGATACGAGACAAGTGCCGAGAGAGCGTTTCCCCCAAAACTATAACCCCTCAGCTTGTATACAAGGATCCCGTGGGATACGTTGTCAAAACGCTCTTGAAAATCGCCCAGAGTCAAGGCAAGGCCACGGACTCGGTGGCTTCAAAACCATCTTGTATTTTCTCAGTCAGATCGGAAACTGCAGTTACGGTTGACCTACTAGTTGGGGGCCAAGCCATGTTTGTTCGCAGGTCAGAAAGCAAGTAACAACTTCCTCTATGTACTCTACTACTACCTGCCGCTCCATTTACAATAACAGTTTCTATGACTTTTGCTACCATAGGTATGGTTGAAACATCGATCTCTAAATAGAGATCGATGGGTTGAAATCGTGTGACATGCAACTGGACATACTGAAAGGATCATCTTTCTTAAAAATAGTCACTACTCGCGTGTACACTTTCATGCCCTTAGGATAGATTCCTTTTCCTACCCTCCAATATTCATACCTGGATGATCGACAACAACTTAAATCCCAATACTGTATAGTCACGGCCGCCTTTAACTACAGGCCGCGGCCTGGTAGAATTGGCAACGTCGCAAGTGGTGTTGTTCAGTGAACAGTGACAGATGTCCCATAATATAACATTGCAGACAGGTGACATCAGCTCATTAATTTGCACTTAACTGATTTAAATTTATGAACATAAATTTATTAAAATATTGAAAATAAAACATACAGAATTGAAAACCGAAACAATATCAATTAAAATCTATTTCTATACATTTTAAGCGGAGTCAATATTGTCATATATAGTCCAGTAACCAATCTTTCGTAAATACACAAATACCATTAGCTACTTCCAAACAAAAACAGCTGTTACAACACCACTTGCGACGTTGCCAGTTCGAAGGCCGCGGCCTGGAGTTAAAGCACTAAAGGCGGCCATGGCTAGGTGCTAGCACGGCCACATTTAACTCCAGGCCGCGGCCTTCGAACTGGCAACATCGCAAGTGGTGTTGTATGTAACAGCTGTTTTTGTTTGGAAGCAGCTAATGGTATTTGTGTATTTACGAAAGATTGGTTACTGGGCTATGACAATATTGACTCCGCTTAAAAATGTACAGATATTGATTTTAATTCATATTGTTTCGGTTTTCAATTCTGTATGTTTTATTTTCAATATTTTAATAAATTTATGTTCATCAATTTAAATTTAAATCAATTAAATGGGAATTAATGAGCTGATGTCACCTGTCTGCCATGTTATCTTATGGGACGTCTGTCACTAAACAACACCACTTGCGACGTTGCCAATTCTACCAGGCCACGGCCTGTAGTTAAAGGCGGCCGTGGTGCTAGGCAATTATTTAATCTACGATAACAGTACACCCTACATTGGTTATTACGTGGTGTTTAGGTGGACCCGGTGGACCCAGACTAGCGAGTGGCCAGACTCCACTGCCTCTTTAATTTGGTTTCTGACTGTGTCACTGTCAGTTTCTCAGTTTGTTTAGTGTAGTTTACGAAATTGTGAAAATGATGTTGTTTTGAGTCGACGTCAAACCAAGTCCAGGATAAAATTAAAATACCGAGATTCGATTCTATCAATTTACCATCTTTATCCTTCGAGTTTGATTAATAAACAATACTATTTTTAAGAGCCCAGGTTTGCCGATGGTTTTTTGAACGCTTAGTTGGCCTGAGCGTTGGGAGCTGTGGAAGAAAAACAACTTACATTATGAGGAATTTGGGATTGTCAATGTTGAGTTTGGTGCTCACTGCATCTGTAATTGGAAATGCATACTATCAAAAGAAACAGTTTTACCCTTCTGTTGTTTACATTACAAAATCAAATCCCAGTATGGCGGTGAGTAGGCCTTGCATTGTTTTTATTTAGCCTAAATATTTTTCAACAGGCCCAAGGGCTATTCTAGGTAGCCTAGGCCTATTTTAATTTCCGGTTAGAATTAATAGGGCTAATTGTAGACCTTTGTCCGTGCATAAACCTATTCCAGAATCTCACATGTGAGCGCTAACTTAACTAAAGTGTGCTTATTACTTAGCGTCATTAGCAGCATTCGTCCGATGGTTGCATGGTAGTTCAGTTGGCGGTATATGCATAGGCCTAAATAATCCAAGTAAGTTGAACTTAACCCCCTGAGCGTTACTCGTCGAAACATCGACGCGCGACACACTTTGTGTAGCCTAGTGTCACGCGCCGATTTTTCGACGCACGAACATCGTTTACGGCGAAGGCTCTGTGACTGACTGAATCGGATTGAACTGGATCGAGTTAGGTATCGTTCTTTTCGTTATATTCTACGCTTTCTCCAGAGGTCTGTCTCTAAGCGCTTTATGTTCTCCGAGCCGATCGTAATTGTAGCAGACAGCTGACGTGCGTATTTGTAAGCAGCTAGGTTACCCTCGGACCGATGACTGATGTGTTTTATTACGTTTATCATTGTTTTAGTGTTAAAAATCAATAGTAGTGATATACGTGGTGCATTATAAGAAGATTTAAGTGATTTTGAAGGGCTGGTTGATGATCCTGAAGAAGTAGGTAGTGATATTGATGTAAATTATCAGCCAGATTCCTAGCTATGGTTAGGCTATGCATTCTTAGCTAAACGCTATGTACTGAAATCTGTTTTTTGCCCATAACTTATTTATTTGCAAATCTACTTCCTTATATTACTATATACCTATTTTTAATCCTCATAAAATTTAGAACAAAGTGGCTATTTTCAAATATTTATAGGCCTATAATTTATACAATTTCATTGAGCGCAAACTTATTTTTTTTTTGAAAATTTTTCAAAATATTTTTTTTACCTAAAAATTTTTTTTGAAACAAATGTTCCTTATGTTTTATGTATAATATTGAAGCCCATGATTTTCCAAACAAAATGGTATATAGAACAGTAGAATTAACATTGTTTTAAGCTTCTCAGATCCGTTTTAATAAAACCTTGCAAATGCGCCAAAAATAGGCGGACCTTAAGGCATAAACTATGGACACTCGGAGGGTTAAGGTGACCTTGGGTACCTAAAATCCTATAATGTAAGTAGGCCTAGTAGGATATAGGCTATCACCAGAAACTTTACTGCATTTTCCCTGAAAACACTGGTGTAGCCTAAAGATTTATCATAGCCTACCACAATAATTTTTTTTATAACTTAGGCCTAGGAACGTTGATCTGCACTTCAATACTTTTACACTAAAATCTAAGTTTTGGCCTACAAATTAGCCTGAGTTAACTTAGGCCTAATTCACATTTATTGATTTATTTAGGCCTAAAGCCTATCTAATTTTAAAGTAAATATTGCATTCAAAACCAGTGTATACTACCTACACAACCAATAATCCCGCTTAAGTTTACTGGGTCTAGACAATCCCGTTTTAGCCCTATCCTCCTTTTGTATTTTGAAAAATCCAGCAACCAACTACTACTTATCCCGCATAAATTTTTTAGTTCGATAAAAGGGTACACTTCCATATCTGTTAGCACAAACAACCGAATGAGCAATAGGCCCTATTGATTATTCGATTGTTTAATTCGATATAACGTTTGGTTAATTAGGTTAGGTTAACCTTAAACCTGACTAACCAAACGATATATATCGAATAATAAATAATCGATATATCGATCGATATTAGGCCTACTCATTCGGTTGTTCGTGCCAACAGATATGGAAGTGTACCCCGATAAAATTAGGTAGGCCCTAGGCCTATAAAAAATGAAAAAGACGTTAAGTTAGTAGGTAGGTTATTTGATTAAAATTAAGATTCATTTTTACGTCTTATGATCGTAAGTTATTTCATTCCTGGACTGGTTTAAGAAAAATTAAGCAAGAATACCTAATGGTTAATTTGCGTCCCCGCGGAGTAATTATAACTTAGTTGTTCCATAATATGGTTTTTCGTTACTTAAACATTTTAATAATAGCCTTAACTTATTAGGTTAAGTTAGGTTATGTCTAAAGATTATTTTGATACATTGTGTCAGTACCATTAATAGGCCTACCAACAATATAGGGTGGAAAAGGATACCAATGATGATCTTGCCAAGTCCATAATGAGGGCATAGGCCTACAGGTTTTGCTGAACAGGTCAAACATAAGCTCTTGCAAACATCTCTTCACTTTCCCTTCGCCAAATAATCTCATGAATCTTCAAAGTGGATGCGATACTCCCTGGTGTGGATTAACGTCCGCACGAGTGAGTACTCCGACTATCCGCAGTACTATCCTGATAATTAGACCAATTCGTATATTCCAAGGCAGAAATATGGTTCGGATTCCACTATAAACTGTAGGTTCCTTTAGGTTGCCATTAGCTGTATGGGCTATTAATTAACAGCTGTGTCTAAGGAATGTCAGCCATAGTCTCTAATAAGACTACAAGATCGCGCCACTCATCCTACACTTATCTCCATTCATACTTAAATGGCTTAAAATACCTACTTCGTATGGTTGCCATTTAATAAGAAAGTATTAAAGTAGGTACCTGTAGGCTAAAGGGTACTAATTCACTGGGCAATTCCTTATCAATAGACTGAATATGTTCCTGATTAATAATAAACAGCTCAATGCTAGGGCTTTTAACTCTTTGAAAAAACTATCTGCATTAGTAATATCCTTCCCTGTCCCAATCAAATTATCTGCGTTTTGCTTTAGGCAACCTCCCACACTATCTGGAGCTCCTTTGCCGTGCCCCAGTTCTGTGTAGTGCCACTTGATTATTTCAGCGTCAATGATTTTGGGTAAATAATTTGTGATTAGATCAAACACTTAGCGTTTCCTATACTGAGACGTTGGGCCGTCACTTAACAAGTGAGCTTCATTAATGTTTGGCTTTACAGTTTTTATGAACTGTTTTACGTGTAAGATGAGCACAGACTGCTAAGCTGGAATCATGCCTCGATAGAACAGAATGATTGTGCCTTAAGTTTTTATCAGATTTGTAATACACTACGACGGTGTGCAGCGATAACTGTTTCTTGGACCCCCCAAAGTTTCTTGGACCCCCCAAAGTGAGCTGCCTGGACCTCTCCTTTATTATTTGCATTCGTAGTTTTCTGAAAAGTCACACTGAACTAGAACATCATTATCTTTGAGGTATTTTTTAATACCGTAATATCTATGGCACAATACTGGTGGGAGATATTTCTTAAATATGCTTCAAAAATGCTGGCACTGTTTTATTTAGTGCAGACAAAAGCGCCTCTTCAGTTGTAGTACTGTAACTGTTTGTTTTATTACAGTCTATGTACATTTCTTAATTCTTCCTTTAATTTTAACATCTCTGATCCTAACCCACCTTTCAAACTTGGTTTTAATCCCGTCATTGAACTCTCTTGTACCTTGAATCTTTCTAGATTTACAATCAGAACACTTTCTATCATAACAAGCCATAGTTCTTTCTGTTTTGGCGCAACATACAGGGTACTGGATTTAAGATCCTCCGAATCAGCAATACTATGGGATGATAGGGAAACAGGTCCAGGACGCAGGAAGTGGTAAAGGTTTACTTTGCGGAGTGTGGGGACCCTTTGTGACAGTTAATGTATCTGCAATACTAAAAGGCTATGGGAAGGGAGGGAAACAGGTCCACGTCGTAGTAAGTGGTGAAGGAAGTGGTTAATGCGAGAAGTTCTGAGTGTGGGAACAGTTTGTGGCATTACATGCAATACTAAAATGCTGAGGGAAGGGAGGGTAACAGGTCCACGAAGTAGGTAGTAGCGAAGGAAGTGTTAAAGGCAAGCAGTGCGGGGGTGTGGGAACCGTTTATGGCATTTAGACAAGGAGCACTCCCTATATTTGACCTAATTTGCCTGGACTATTATAACACTTGTTATGAATGTTAATAGTTATGAGATTAATAAATAGTTTCAAATAACTTGACCTGGTTTTAACTTCTTACTTAATAAAAAAAACTAATAAAACGTGATTGCTATGCTGAACTGGTTTTCACTGCTCTGAAAGCAATCTTAGTAAAATAAATTGAAAGATAACATAGAGAACATTTAGCTTAGTCTCTCTAAATGCCAATCAATTTGTAAGAAAATCTATGTCTCACACCCCTCATTTGTGAGGCTAGGACACAACTGAGTACCGGTACAACAACTACAAAAGTACCTGTAATTACCTAACTATAACTAGGGTGTTTCTTATTTGGAGTTAGCACAGCCATATATAAGAGTGCACCTTTTATGAAGACATTTTATACTAATATTCATATATTATTTTTTTAGGTAATATATGTTCAGTCTTTTGTTCTGGTGATTCTTACTGGAAAAATAATGAAAAAGGTATTCTTTGGAGAGCTTAGAGCCGCTGAGTTTGAGGTAACGTTCACTAAGTTATTAATAAAAAATAAAAAAAATTAAAATGTCCTTTCTTTTATATTAATTTACTCATCTATCATATATATACCTCTAATGTGTCGTAATTTAATGAAATGAAATAAAATAAAATAAAAAAGGCCTACCTACTCTTGTTTCCCATTGAACATATCATACACATTGCATGGTATTTTACAACTTATAAATAATAGAAAGGCCATTACCATTTCAAATGATTGAAGATTGATAGAGCCTAATTACTTACAAGTAAAAAAAATCAATAAAATAAATGTTAATTGAGATTTTACTAATACTCTTTGGTAAATTTTGTTATCAATATAAGCATATAGTAGGCATAGACATGTTAAAGTCAACAATTAATACAAACTTAAGCCATGTATTTTAACTTTTTCAGCATCTGATGGAAAAATCATGGTATGCAATGACAGAGACTTGCCTAGCTTTCACAGTGTTTCGAGATGATTTCAGCCCTAAATTTGTCGCCTTATTCACAGTTCTACTGTTTCTGAAGTCTTTTCATTGGTTAGCTGAAGACAGAGTCGATTTTGTAAGTATTTTACAAAAATGTTATAACTTCATCAGTTTTATATGGATTAGGTACTAAAACGTGAGTTAGTAAAGTTCAGTAATTCCCTTACTAATGGGGGAAAATTCAGTTCAAAAAGTTACATTCCAATGTCCCATCTGAAAAGTGAGTAGTTGGTGAATCAACTATGTTGAATCAACTAATCATCATAATATCCTATAAAGGAAAGCCTTAACTTCACTAGAGGTGTGCAAGTCTGAAATTTTCAATTGAGCCAAGCCCGAGCTGAGCTTTTGAGAAAAAGCAAGAGCCCCAAGCTTTCTCCGAGCCGAGCTTTATTTGAACATAAATTTACGTAATTACATACTACAATAAGTTGATCAGGTCTAGTCAAAAACTTCTTTTTAATGCAATTTTATGTTAAGATGAACGATATAATTTTTTTGTAGATAAAAGGATAAAATGTGGATCTTAGTTTATGATCTAAATTCCACATAATTTTATTTTCTTTAAAAGGCAATTTTTTCTAACAATTAATTGGCACAGTCATAGATGGAGAATACAAGTGAATATAATATAATAAAAAATAACCAATCCAACAATAATTCTAACAACTTATGGGTGAATGTCAAATTGAGATAGACTAGCCATACGTCCCAGAGCCAAAATCTGGAAATTGGCAACAATTGCATTTTAGTAATAAGATCAAATTTAAGCTTATACTTATAAATAAAAATGTATGCAAAAAACAAAACAAAAGTAAGTTTGGCCTATTAGAAAAATAACGTAATGTGTGTTGCTGCTCACTGTCCTCAGATCCCATTATAAATGTTACTGTTAGTTTTGATTCTTTAATTAAAAGATTTAAACAAGTGAATATAGGCTAGTGATTAATTATTTCTTACACCAACAAGGGATTTTGTGAATGACAATGAAATTAATTAATTTCCATTCAATAATGGTAAAGAATTACTAACATCTGTCCCCAGATGCCCCAGACCAAAGTTGCAAATTGTGGGAAATCTTACTAATATTATAAAATATGTGAAAGTTTGTGTGTTTATTTGTTTGTTTATTTGTTTGTTTGTTTGTTTGTTTGAAGTTCAATCACGCATTAACCACTGGACAGATTGGGCTGACATTTGGCATGATGATAGCTCACATTCCCGATTTAGATATAGGCATATTCTTATCTCAACAATCCTTTCGGGCTCCGCCCCAGTGGCTCTTTAGTTCTCCATGTTAACCTTATGAGTATTCATATTTAAAGGGAATTAAAGAATTTAGTCAGCTGTTTCAACTAAAAAGTTGGTTCTATGATGTGCAAAAGCATTAAAAAGTTATAAGATTTACCAACAGGGTGCAGCACTATTGTTTTTTATTTTGCATTTACAAAAACAGCTAGTTTGAACCAAGCAGCAACAAAAAACTGTGATACGCAATGAGAACTGTTAAAGTAGGATTGTTTACAGTTATGTTTATGTTTTTAATTTCATGAATAATTTGTGATCTTTTGCGAATGTTTGATAATTTATTTTTCTTTATTGTTTAGGTGAAATGGTATAACATTATGGCTATGGTAGATGTGTAATACTATAGTATACTGTAAATTTAAAGAAGCAAATTTTATCAAACTGTATCCTCCCCCCATTGCAAACGCAAAGCATAAGTATAACTGCAATACGCATTTTATACTTATATGCCAACCCCGTACAAAGGACGGGTACTCTGCTAGTATTTATATATCCCTGTCACTGTTGGCAGCCATGGTATTTTATTGCAGTAAAGGGTGGTGTTTGATCCAAAAAGTTGATGTGTACTGTATTCTTTTCTATTCTATTCTACTGTATACTTTTGACTTCGTATTTGATCTCTCGAGGTTGCTGGTCGGATTCGGCTCTGCTCGAAAGTCGAGCCTCCCGCACACCTCTATCATTTTCACATAGTATTATTTTCATCATGAATCACTCCCATAGTGCATTTTATATTTTACTTACTCCTTTACTCCTTAACCTTTAGGAATTACTTTAGTATGCTAACCTCAGCATCGTAATCGTCAGCATAATCATCCATGGAAAGTTAAGAAAGGGCTGATATTTACTCAGAATACTTCTTTCTGTATAGTCTATGTTTCAATGAGTTGTGGTTCTATGAGTCCCACTAAACCAAATCCTGCTAGCCTAGTTCAAAACATCAGAGAGAGTCCTGCAGTTCAGCTTTCGTTAAATCAAGATTTCTTACTTTTCATTGCATTCATATTTTCAAAACCTCAATATTTTTTCACACAAAAACAGTTTTTTAGCCTTTGATTCCCAATCCAAATACATCAGCCAAAAATGCAAATTGAACATTCCACACCATAAAATCTTTTTCAAAAACCAAATCTTTTATAGCCGGCTTACTATTTAACTCACTGCCTGACAAATTAAAGTTGGTTAATAATATTAGGGAATTTAAACAGAAACAGAAATTATTTTTAGTGGGAAATAGTTTTTGTAGTGTAAAATATGTAGGCCTACGCTATAAGTCATAAATATAGTTTAGAGGTTGTCTGCATTAATGTTTATCATTGCTAATTATGTATTTTACTTGTAAAATATGAAACAAACCATGCATGTAAATATGTTTAAGGTAAGAAAGGAACATATTTGATTTTACATCTGATTAGAAACAACCTGTTGGGGAACAAAGTTACAGTATTTACATTAAAACCAAAGCTATATGTTCTAAAATACCAATCAAGATGCCCAGTCGTGATGTACGTGAATTTTCATTACCGAAGAAGGCCTTGAATAGTAGGCTACCTGATTTTTGTATTGAACCAGGAAACATAATATTCACCAATAGCCTAGGTCCGAGCTTCCATGCATTACTGTTCTACTGGCTGTTATTTATTGTTATACTGGTATACGTTTGTTCTCTTTTAATGTCCTCAAATAATAAGAATGTGATCATAAAATATGATCACGGGTGTTGCTGCCATTACAGTAGATTATCATGGACATTTTAGAAGACAATCATGTTGTCACCGTCATCCTGGGAGGTGATTGATGTTTTGTTTCGATCGTGGGAGATAATCACAGTGTTGTTGCGATTGTGGGAGCATTATATGGTCATTAATTGTCAAACATTATTTTATTTTATTGTTGCAAGTCATCAGTTCTGATTAGCGGAACTTGGGTGTACTGATATCTTAGCACACTATTATGGCTTTCTCTAATGGCTCTAAGGGACTATCTTCACCATTGTTAGCCTATTAATTAACTGTTTATTACAGGGTTGCTATAATATGCAAATAATAAGACTAGAGTATTTTTACACTGTATACAAACTATTATTGTTGTCAATGATCATCTTGTTCTCATGTCATACTTATTTGTGAAAGTAAAATTTTGGTTAGAGTAACTTGTGTTTGAAATTGTCCAGCATGCTTTGACAAGTTGTAGCTGTATTGGTCCCCATTGTTTTATGCTTTGAAGATAAAAATATTTACAGATGGAGCGGAGCCCTGTGATATCTTGGCTGTTCCATCTACGGGTTCTATGTGAGTGTTTTATTTTATTATTCATTAAAAGTAAATGTTTAAAATCCTCATAATTAAGGTGAATCAACCTTGGTCAAAGTTACCGGTACCACAAAAAGTACATTGAAAGTTACCAAATCATCCCAAAACAATATTAATGCACCTCTGCCTCCCGGCATCCATTTATTATTTCTTGCAGGTACACGTCATATATCTGCAAATAAATTGTAATTGGTTTATTGTTATTCTTTGTTAAATAAAACTGACAGGATTTCAATTTTAAGCGCTTATCAAACTCAATAGTCGAATAGATTAAATGGCTCAAGTTTATTAGCAGCAACTATGCGTAATTAATGTAGATGGCAGGGCTAGACCTGCACCAGGCTAAAATTTATCAAGTATTTCTTTTCCTACATTAGTAAAAGTAGTGTGGGTGGCTACTACTGACATAATTACACTAGCAAGATTTTTTTAGGGAACAAAGTTTCTTATTCTCTCTCCTCCAAGACCCTACTCCAAGACTCTTCACTTGTGTAAGTAGCTATATTTCTTAAGATTGGTAATTGAACACTTGTTTTCTGATGAACGAGGAGTGAAGTGATTGTACCTGCATTTCAGCTCTGCTTACTCTGCTGGGGTCTCTAGATCTCCATCTGCTAGAACATGCGTACCAGTCCACTGTGACCAAGGGTGCTTCTGTCCAGTTGGTGTTCGGTTTTGAGTATGCAATACTGCTTACCATCATAGCCAACATTGCCATCAAGTATGTACTCCACACGATTGCTCTTAACAGCGAAAATCCATGGGAAAACAAGGCAGTCTTCCTGCTCTATACAGAACTTATTATGGGTGAGTTTAAATAGTGTATGCAATATATATGTTTTTCATTTTTGCACTTAAAGTTTTAATTTACATATCCTATAAGGAAGTAGCTATTATTGTAACCTTCACAGATTATAGCAATACACGGTTGTTGTGTAGCCTATCAGTATTTTTATCTCTATGTACAGACATTTTTTTATTTTTTCCTTTATGGTCCCCAGAAGCCAAAAACCGGGAATCGTATGTGAAATTTGATGATCAGAAAAAGTCTGTGAAATTTAAATAATAACTTATTTGTATAAAAAACTAAAAATGGATTAATTGCTAATTTATACGTTTACAGTCATGAAAAAAGGCCTACATTGCTTTAATATTTTGATGCATATTACTCTATTTCCGGTTAATCTGAACAAACTATGTAGCTATCTGGAAAGTACCCAGTCTCAATTATTTTGAGTTAGCTGAACTTTTGTATGGGTTTACTGTGTTTTTACAACAAGTGCGTTATGTACAAAAGTGTGTTATATGTAGGCCTATGTGTGTTTCTTATTTTATGTAAAATTTATATTTATTTAATAAATCATTGCTTAATAAGCTTTGTGAATGTCTATTGAACTCTAGCTTTGCACGACAAAAAAAAATAGGTTTTATTTACTCTTCATCATTAAGTCTTATTTCACGATTTTCAATCCAAGTAATAACTTAAAATCATTGTCCGCATTCATTTTCAAAATACTATTGCTAATGTTTAAAACTGAAAAAAAATTGAGTAGGCTACATTTGCTGGTTATCAGCTTGAATGAATATGGTACAATGAGTAAGAACTAAAGTTGAGTTCGATTTATGTAAAAAGTAGACAATAAGAGGATACTCCAGTAGGAAGTAGGGAATAGGGAGGAGGGGACTCTTCAGTCTGATATTGTGCCAAAAACTTCATCACTTAATGTTTATATCTTAATTCTATAGTTTTTCATCTTTGTGTTTTCAGGTTTTGTCAAGGTTGTGCTCTATATCTTGTTTATGGCAATTATGATTCGTATATCTATGTTGCCTCTATTTGCCTTCCGACCAATGTACTACACAATGAGGTAAGTGCTACATTATAAAGTTATAGGTTAAATATAAAACAAAGAAAAAATGGATGTCATTCATAGGTTTTTTTGCCAAGGGGAAAGACCTGCTAGATGTAAGATTTTCTTCTGATTCCTAGTAGGCCGTCCCCCTGATAGGGTAGGGTGTCACTGAATAATATGTTAAAATTAACTTATAGGCCTATACTAAATACCCCCGCCGCAGCAAACCTGCAGACTAAGCAAATTTCCACTTGTCTGAGTACTTTTTTATTTTTACTAAAATATTTCCATAAATAAGACATATTTATTCCCAATTTAAATAGCATTAGATTTAACGAGTGCTTAGGTTTGCTGCTACGGGGAAGGTAAAAAGTGTTTTTTGACCATACGTCAATAGTTAAGACGAAATAAATAAATTTTCCAAACTTTATCAATATATATCCATAAACAAGTACCACTACAACAGTTTTCATTTTCTCGATAAGAATAACATGGGAATTTTAAATTTAAACTTTTTTGAATTTTTAAAAAATAATCTTTTTGTACGTTTTGGTTCAGCCTTTTTTCACGATCACCCTATTGTATGGAAGTGCGTATGTCAGCAGCAGTGGCTTCACATGTGTTTCCAGGTTGTTGTTACCAAGGTCTCAACAAAAATTCCCTGCGAATCCCTGTCATTAGGCTCCTCTTCAGATTTGGTCTTGACCTACCATAAGCCCGGCTTTCACATCATTAGGCTCTGACTCGTGAACCCATTTTTTGGTCGTCGATTATATAGTCCGGGACCTACGTCTGGTCTTGCTGCTACCTGGGAGTCAAGTCTACAACTACTACGCTTATGCTTAGTCGTTAGGGCGGGTGAGGTTTCACCAAGGGTCAGCCAGAGTTTACAGTAGATCTAGGTCAGGTGTGCAACTTATGAACAGCTCACTGTCTGAGGCAGAGTTTGATGGGAGAGACCCTTCTAGTAGACCTCCTACCTTGAGAAGGAGACTGACAATGCTTTGATATTCATGTTTAATAAACATTAAATTGTTAATATTAATCTGGTAACAGGAATGTATTCACTTTGTCCTTGCCATGGATAATTTGTTTAACTGCCTCTAATAATCCAACCGATTTGATCACCATCTCATTAGTCATAATGCCATCGTTGTTCTCTTCATTAAGTCAACTGAAGTTTAAATAATCAACTTTAATCACCCAGTGAGTGCTAAATACATAAGTGAATATCTCATATTCAAAGTGCTTAAACTCTTGAAATTCAGTGACTAACCCTAATAATGTGAGCTATATTACATGACATTTTTCCATCTCCCACCCAAACTCATCCCAGTTGGTTTTGACTTGCTTGTTTTTTTAGCGGATTTGATCATTTCTGTATCCCTTATTGATAATTGTGCCGTTGCCCTAGGAATAGCAGTAAAACAGTATACATCACCAGTAAGCCCCCACAGTCCCCTAATCCATTGCCTTCTCTCATCCTGGCTTTAGAAGTGTATATATTTTCCGTGTGATACTACTACCAAGATAATCATTTACACAGCTAGAGTGAACTTTTATCACGGATAGGCAGAAGCCCATGTGATATTTTTTTCCCCTATACAGTACTACAAAGTAAGCTAGTCAGGTTGCACCTTATTTTGGCTTATTTTAAAACTATAAATCACAATATTTTGGCTATTTTTCATTCAATCTTTTTGAACTTGGTGTGGTTTTTAAGGATATTAATGCTAAATAAAGACGTTCCATACATTTGATGAGAAAATCATCAATTTTTTCAGTAATTTAAATAAAAAAAATTAAAATATCTGCCATTTTGAAATTTTGAATTGGTCCATGCAGTGGCGCGGTGTGGGGGGGGCCGCGAGCTAGGGGGGGCCGCGAGCTAGGGGGGCCCGCGAGCTAGGGGGGCCCGTGAGCCTTGACAGGGATTTTTGGTAAATTTTACCGGCGGACGGGCCTGCGATAGTGTGACAGGCTCAGCCACACGGGTCCCCTATCATAACAATATTAATATGAGATTTAAAATATGTTTTTTATGATGAAAATTTGTTCAAACCTATAGTTCAAGTAGTTTACAACAGCTAAACTAACACTATTACTTGACCGATAGATATAAATTATTTACCAACCTAAGTAAAAGAAATGTCATCAGTCATGCGGGTTGCATTAACTGTCTTCGTGGATTGTGTAAAGGCGCAGTCAAAATTGGTTGCATAATAATAGGGTCGCATTTATAACCAATGTGGCCTCTGGCCTAGGAAGATAAAACATTAATGTTAATCCTCCTATCCCCCAGCGGATGACAACATAGAGGATCCTAAATGCTGATTCGATTAAATAAACTTGACAATTTTGTTACAAACCAAATCAGCAAATTAACCTAGGTGGCTAGGGCACAATAAATAATTCCATTCTTTCATTGTTGCTAAAGATGGATTTTCGAGCCGAGCCTGGACACATTATCTACAAGCTTGAGAGATCAAGCACAAAGTCAGAAAATCAAGCTCGAGCTGATTTTCTCAGTAGTCAATACAATAATGCACAATTAAAAGTAAAAGTTTTTATATACGTGAGGATCACACTCACGAAATTGAAAGATTAGGCCTACGCTTTTGCCGCGATCGCGGATATCGACGAGAACATTTCCCCGTGGGTGACGATGACTATGTCTCCGCGGCCGCAGATGTTCAATATTTTGCCGCGATTGCGGAAGACGATAATGACGTTTCTTTTTTAGCGAGAGATATATCTAGGATTTAGCCGCGATTACTAAAAAATGATTTACCCGTCACCAACCGACGGGTCGCGGGGAGATATTAGATTGGGCCGTGAAAGTGGGAGACGGATGATGCTGCTATCTATAATGATGTCATAGGTTTTGTTGCATTTGCAATCACGGTAAACTATGATAATGTTTCTTCTATGACTTATGACTACGGGAAGTATTTACGATTTTGCCGCGATCATGGAAGACGATAATGACGCCTCGGGAGATGCCTTGTGAAGTTTATTGCAAAATTGCAAGTTTAGGCGGTAATACATGGGAAAATGTTTTAAAGATCATTGGGAGAGGGAGGCCCGGCGAAAAAACTTGCGGGGGGGCCCGCGGGTTCTTATCGCCGCCACTGGGTCCATGATAATTTTTTCCTTACAATGGGTCTCTTCTACCTTAACATACATGACAAGTTTCATAAAAATCAGTTGAATCCATTTAAAGATAAAAATAGAGATGTGCGAGTACTTGAGATAATTCGAGTTCGAGTCGAGTACGGCCTTGAAACTCGAGCTTATCTTTGAACTTGGTAGTTTCGAGTTGAGTTTGGTTTAAATTTGTAAAAAATCAATATTTGTTAAAATGTAACTTGTGTTTACATAAAATGATGGATAATTTGTATTAATGTAGATTCTAAAGCTTACAAATATCTCAAAATAATTAAGTGCTAGCACTTCGCCTTCTATAAATTTGATTACACATTCTTTAGCTTACAATAAGTAGGCTTATCAGTTTGGCTTGGCCTAAATCTAGGTTACATAGTTTGTTTTCCTTCTTGACAACTTACATTAAATGCTGGTTAATGTGCATGGAATACAATTGATTATTTAATTGATTATAGGTTTCATTTGATTTCTATAACTACTATTGTATGGGCCTATTACATTATTCAATTACAATGTTCAATCTACAATTGTTTTGTTTAACAGTAAGGTAGGCTACTTGTAGGCCTATTAAGTACTTTATTTTGAACATACATTTTAAGTATTTTGACAGAATGTTTGTTTAATTAACATACAAGATTAAAATACCCCCGCCGCAGCAAATCTGCAGACTAAGCGAATTTCCATTTGCTGATTGGATTTACACTAAAATGTCTCCTTAAAAATATCACTTTTATTCCGTATTAAAAAAAATCATTTTAACACATACTTAGGTTTGCTGCAACAGGGAGGGTAAAAGTGTTTTTTTTTTATGTAAAATGTTAATAGTTAGTAAGAAATAAAAACATTTTCCAAATTTGATCAAAATATGTTCATAAACAAGCAAACTACAACAGTTTACTTATTCTCCATAAGAATAACATGGGAATTTTAAATTTACAGATTTTTTGAATTTTCTCCGTAACCATTAGGTGCATATTAACGCTTCAATATACTAAATTATTTTTTTTTTAAGCTCTACAAAATGGTTTTGAAAGAAATTGCTAAATTTTAAGTTTTTAGGGTAAAAAATGGGAAAAAACCAATTTTTACCCCATAAAACCCCCCATAAAACCCCCCATAAACCCCTGTTCCCATAGTCCAATCTTGCTGGTTTGAGAAATCACTGCCTAAATTATGTTCCCACATTTTATTTTAACACCCTGTATATTGTAATGCTGCTTTATTAGGCCTATTTTTAACAATTAAGTTTTATAGAACCGTTTTAGAACTTAAATTTTTAAACTTAGAAATTTTTTCAAATTTGTTCTGGACGGAGAAGTTCTGATCTGCAGCCAAACACTTGCTGTAGAAAGTTGTATACAGCACTTAGTATAAGCTAATCCTTGGAATCTTCTGAAATTTTACATCATAAATAAGACTTTTTCAATTACAACCAAACATAATGTGGTTTGGTGATAAATTCCAACAAACTATTTGATACAAAAAATATGACACATGCAACTGCTTTTTTATGATGAATATTATACTCATGAACTGATGAAAATATTTTTTTCTTAGGGCCTTTAAAAAGGCATTCAATGATGTGATACTATCACGAAGAGCTATCCGAAACATGAACACATTGTATCCCGATGCTACACCTGAGGAGTTAGCCGCAGCCGATAACGTCTGTATCATATGTCGTGAGGAAATGGTCACAGGTATGATAAAGTCATTTACAGGGGTTCATTCTTAAAACTAAAGATAGGATTGCACATTTGACATTGTATAGAACTAGACATTCCGTGTGTTATGTTATTTAATAAAAAATTAAAAGAGTTCTTAGGTAATTTTCATCCACAGCATTTTGAAATGAAATGAAATGAAATATTACTTTATCATCACAAAACATTTCACAAATCCAATGTTTGCTGGAATTTCACAATATATAAGCCGTTCTAGGTTCTATTTAATTAACTTAATTGGGAGTATTTGTGCACAAATGCAGGTCCATTTTTTGCCGGTTCCCTAAATACTACCTGTACAGGTAGACTTACTCAAAGTGTAGTGGCCAAGATTGTCCCATATTTCCTCTAAATTTGTAGCAGCGTGCTGTCAGATGTATGACATCCTAGTTTGACATGCTACAGCCAACTGTATTGAGAATGTGTGACTGACACAAGACACACACTCTGGTATGTTCATTTTGAAACACGGTACATAACACCAGTCTTAGTTTATGGTTTTGAATTTATCTATATTGAAAAGTAGATTTTCAAATTCACAAGCAGAACTAAGTACAGTAAAACATTATAAATATATGAGATATTTGTCTATAAAAAATGATTCCATGTTTTATTGATTGAAAATCTTATTGGTATTATCATAGATAAAACATACTCCCTTAGTAGATTTGTCATCCTTATGTAACAGCTGAAGCCAATTTTATTGTTAGTTCTATACGTCCAACTGTAGAGGTTGTATTTTGTTTACAATTTGTTTCTTGTTATTTCAGTCATTTAAAACCTCATTTAACCAAATAAAACGATATAATGATAAACAATAACTGGTCTCCTCGTTATATAACCAAATAGTAAAGCACAAATCATGAAAATAACCCTAAAATAATAGAAACAAAATTTTGTCTACGCCAGCAATCGGTGTGGACGTACATGAACTAGTCATAAAAAACTAGGCTTCAAAATGTACAATGGGATGAGGAGTCTACTTGTGTTGCTTAGTCTATGGTCTTATCATGGAGAAAATAATTCTAGAATTAAATTATTATCAGGCTTGTATATAATTGAATTACTACTAAGTTAGGTGATACTGTTTCTATTTCTAATAGTTGTCTTATTTTTTTTTCAGCATCAAAGAAGCTTCCATGCAACCACATATTCCACACAGCTTGTCTCCGTTCATGGTTCCAACGACAGCAGACTTGTCCCACTTGCAGACTCAACATCCTCCGTACACCAGGCCCTGCTCAGCCTCCGCGAGGGGCCCCCGCCCGACCCCAGGACCCTGCTGCCAGGGCTCCACCATTCCAGCCACCCTTCCCCTTCCCTTGGCCCAACCCTCAGGCTGCTCATCAACCTCAAGGTCAGATTTTGTGTACTCACATTTCATTATTATACAATTATGTATTTTAAACCTAAAGGTTTACTAGTTGCTCTGTCCGTGCTTCGCTACAGGGTGAGAATATCAAAAGGTTAACTAAGGTCAAAAGTAAAAAAAATAAAATATGAATGAAATCAAATGTAACAGCTGACTTATATTCAATATTTTTAAATGTACTAAAAAACAAGCCTTTAATCAAGGTATGTGCCCTTAGAAGAAGGTTTATGTTTATAGAAAAAACTTATATTTTTTGGTAGGGATGGACGGGATTGAATTTTTAGTTCGGGACAGGACGGGACGGGATTTTTATTTCCTTCCCGATTTTCGGGACGGGACGGGACGGGATTTTTTCTGTGCATAAAAAGAAAGTCTTGAGTATTGCAGTTACCAAAACAAGACATACAAAATCAATTTTTACCGTTTGTGGTACTGATCTAAGAAAACCAAAAAAATGGGTAACAATATACAGGTACCTATAGAAACTTGTGACTCACGGTCACGGTGTGATCGTCAAAATGAACTGCGGTCACGGGGTGATCGTCGGTATGACTCCACGGTCACGGGGTGATCGCCGGTATGCCTCGTGGTCACGGCACGATCGTCGGCATGACTTCGCGGTCACGGTGCGATCGTCGGTCCAATAATCACGGTCACAGCGCAATCTTCGTTATGACTCCGCGGTCACGTCGTGATCGTCGGTATGACTCCGCGGTCACGGGATGATCGTCGGTAGGACTCCACGGTCACGGCGCGATTGTCGAAATGACTTCGTCTCCTGCGTTCGCGGACCTATCGCTCGCAATAGCGGCGTCATCGGCACTCGCGAAGCGGCAAAATCGCCGACGATCGGACCAAATCCCGTCCCGAAAAATTCCCGAATCAAATGTAATCCCGTCCCGATAATCGGGAATATTTTTTTCCCGAAAAATTCCAGAAATTTCAGGACCCGTCCATCCCTATTTTTTGGGGAAGTTTCACATCAAGACCTATCATCAAAGTGTGCAGTTGATAGGTGTGCGGCAAGAGGGGGTGTATCACCAGGGTGTGTATAGGCGACGATGAGAGAGTGTTGAATTAGGTACTGACTAAGATCATCTTCTTTAGCCAGGACCATTTATTAAAAGCCAAATGAACAAAAATAGCTGGGGTCCATTTTGGAACCATCAAAAAGCTACACATTTTTCACAATCGAACCCAGCAACCCTTAGGATTACCAAGCAGTTTTCATATCTTGTAATTCTTGAAAATTTTTAGTAATATTTTTAACACTTGTTGACAATGTATTAGTTGCTGTTTTAAGTCTTGTGCATCGTAGTTTTCAAATAAATGTGAATCAGGTTTGAAAATGATTTAAATGACTACATTATGTAATGGAGTGTTTAACCTTTTCAGCAGCAGGACCAGATGCCCAAGCACCTAGCAGCAGCACCACTGATCCCTCAGCAGCTGCTTCCCCCCCTCCTCCTCACACCAACATACCCTTCTTCTGCCCTCCATTCCCCTTCATGCCGTTTGCAGTCCCTCCTCCTGTACCCCCTGCGGATCTCTCTCAGCTCAGTCCTGAACAATTACGTCAGATGGAGGAGTCAGGTATGTAACAAGCTGACCTTAGAACCTTAAAGAATATTCTGACCTTATATGTGAAGTTCATTGTAATTTGTAATGTTAGCCTCCGGATTGCCAAATAATAATAAAAAGGTTTAAATACCTGCTATTAGGCATTCCATTCAATTGCAGTCGCAACTAGTTTTGAATCATATATTGATCCAACATCGGGCGTTACATGGAGTTCCTTTCTTCATATGAAGAGCATCACGTTAATTTAACACATAAACAAATAAACATTTACACGACACGATACGAACACGGAAAAACATTTATGATAGGTAACTGATCACTTGTAACCCGGCGGTGTTTGAGTCCAGACTGCGGGTAGTCAGTGCAGTAGGAGTACGTCCGTTATCTTATCTACCACCATAGGTTACGTCATGTCCATTACACTTCCCCTCTCCAATATTTTAATTGCTGTGAAAAAGAGTTGATCATTTAACACATTTTGGTGGTCGGATTTTACAGCCTTGTATATCTCAAATTCTTCCTAAGTGTTTAATTTAAATCTGTTACTAGACAAATTTAAAATATTCATATTGTTATTAATGTTAGTGTAGTTGTGGCCTTGTGAAACCAAAGGCAAAAGATGATGTTTGGTGGGTTGTTGACGCTTTTGGAAGATGTTCTTTGAAACGTTTTGTAAAGAAACGTGATTTTTGTCCGATGTAATATTTAGTACAATCGGTACAGTTGATCTTGTATACACCTGATTTATCAAAATGTTGCGTCATCGTAGGGCAAATCATTCCTTTCACAATGAACCTATTATATTTTCTGTTCTGAAGGATACTCTGATATTGTTATTCGCCATGAGAGTTTTACATTTATTGCTCATGTAATTGCCATATTTTGCAGAGATGTAATGAATGTGTTTGGTTTTTTGGTTGCGGGTTTATTTTTATTTTTGGAAATGAGTTTGTCAATTAAAATACTTGGATAACCATTTGCTCTAGCCGTATATTTTATTATAATTACTTCTTCGCTGTAATCGTTTCGTTCATTCAATTCATAGATTACAACACGCCAGGGTACATATTTTTTATGGCAGGGATGAGTTAATGATAAGTGTGTTACTGGATAAGATCAGCTGCTTTTGTGGTGACTACCATTTTGTTAAAAGCCCAAAGATCAAGAACAATACCAAGGATGGATCAAGCTATATGTTCTCTGCAATTATATATTGTTGTTGTAGTTGAGATAGGTTAATGTCTAACTAACCTCCTGTTTGTTGACATCTGCACATAGGTCGTGCTGGTGTGGAAGCTAGACTCAAGTGTCTCCGCAACATACAGTTGTTGTTGGATGCCTCTGTTGTGCTGATGCAGCAATACACTGCTGCTGCTGCCACTGCTGCTGCTGTCGCTCCCCCTCCCTCCACCACCACCACCAACACCAACACCACCAGGTAGCTACCACTTTTTTTGCACCTATTTTTTATAGTTTGTTTCTTTATTTTTATGTTTAAAATAAGTTTTTATCTTTTTATTACATGTATTGGATTGTTAATGACGCTGATTCTTCACACAGTAGTAGTGATGTGGGCCGGGTAAATACCCAGTGGGTAGGTAAATATAAATTGGGTTTTTACCCGGGTATTTACCCCAGGCCCGGGTAAATACCCAAAAACTGGGTATTTATAATTTTTATTAAAGTTAGAGAAGATTTAGATGTTTTTTTGCAATTATTACCTTGCAAGGATAGTAAAATGATGATAAAATGTGTTAAACAAAATTTCATATGGTCACTACTGGCATTTTACTTCTGGTTATAATCGGCATAAATACCCTGGTCGCATGGTTGCTGCACAGGTCCTGACTACTTATGATTTTTTAATTTCTATGATAGATAGATGAATTTATTTGATTGAAAGTGAAAAAAAATAATTTGCAAAGTACCTAATAATTATTATTTTCTAGAAAGACAGGAAAATTTAACCAAGTAGTAGCCTATGTGTAAACTTCTTAAGAAAAATAATTTTAAAATTCAATCTGTAGGATGGCAGGATTTATAATTTTTGTTCTAAATCTTTTGTTGGTAGGCTATCAATGGTATCAAAATAAAAAAAATAAAAACTAATTTCATAAACTTGTGATACAAAACATTGGAATCTATAGCACAATAAATCTTTCAAAATTATATGAGGTTCGACCAAAAAACAGGAGATACGTTTTTTTAGTAGGTTTATCCAAATATATTATTGTTTCCAACCAAGCGGTAACACAGAAAAGTTTAATTAAGCCTACTTATAAGTATTCTATCATTCTGCCTAGATGTCAAATAGGCCTTAGGTCTGTCTAGCCTTCTAAACCATTTATACAATAAAAATTTTGCATCATAAGTACCCAACAATTCCTGGATATTTATAAATTAAAATAATTTTATTTATGTTATTTAATTGGTTATAAATTTATGAAATTATAAAAATTGAAATAGCCACAGCCTTTTTTAATATATACTATTTTTTAGTGAGTTAAATTTAACTGATGTTACTCGATTTAAGACACAAAACCCCATGCTTATTTAGAAATTTTATGTATTATTAAAAAGAAGTGCTAAATCATTAAGCGAGCAAAGCTTCAAGTTACTGTAAAAGGTGTTATTGACTATCCTAATTTATCATGTAATAACAATAACATATTTAGGGGTAGGGAATTTCAATTTATTTTATAAATACCCAAAATACCCGGGTATTTATGGATTTTCCTGGGTAAATACCCAGGGTATTTACCCCGAGTTTTAAATACCTGGGTATTTTACATCACTACACAGTAGCCTTAATTATCCAACATAAACAAGCTGAGACAAGATTGGGCGATCAGAAAGGCTGAATCACATAAAAAAATAGTAAAAACCACAGTAAAAATAATTAAATTTATAAATTTTCTCATTGGTCAAACCTGAAACCCCTACCTATTTGTACAATAGACTCCCTCTTATCCGGACACCTTTTAACCGGACACTCAGTAGAAGTGACATCTCTTTATCCGGAAAATTTTCATCAGCACATGGTTTAACCGGACTAGATTGGCAGGAAGTGGGCGGTACTGAAATGACTGTTCTCGTGGGAAAGTTTTGAGACCAGTGATTATGTGTCTTAATACAATGCTCTCCTAAATTTAAGTAAAACTAGTGTACCTGTTGCTCGAATTTGAGCAATTGCGAAGCATTACAGGCGACTCAAAGATTATGGAAATACTCTCGATCTACACAACAGTTAGATATAATCAAAATCTTTTGTAAATATCTTATCTTTTTTTCAAAAAGCTGATCTTGTTTTTTTAGTGTTTTTAGTGTAAAAAAACATTATTTCTATTTCTTTTGCTTGGTTGTGTTCTATGACTTTTTCTATGTTTCCATTGTTTGCAAATCAGTTATTTCAATGATTGCTCAAGAAATGTAGCACTCTGTTAATTCAGTTTTATTTTTAGCCTATATCAAATTGTCCAGGATTTCTTGCTCTTTTCCATTGTAATTAATACACCAACCCAAGTTTCGTCTACATATGCAATATGCCAAAGAATATCATCTACGTACAATCTCCAAGAAGTTGTAAAAAAGGCAGAAACCTACCCATACAATAGATATAAGTTAACTCCATAAGAAATAATTTTAAAAGTTACTGTGATATTAGGATTTTCCACTGATTTGGTAATAGAACATTATATTGCAAAACATGACACGATGCAGAACAAAATCAATTTTAAAATCAGAAAAATCCATTGCAAATACTGTACTTCATTTTGACAAATTCAATAAATCACAATTTAAATATTAACAGCTGTTGCATTAAAAAGTAGTGTAGAATTATGCATATGGTCGTAATGTAAACAAATCTAAAGAGGCAACTTCAAAGGCTTCTGGGGCAGAGCCCCAAGGGAATTTACCTCTTTCCTCTTTTGATGGCTCATCTACAGACCAAGACCTTTCTTTAGAGACCCCTACCAAGTTTTTACACCCAGCCGTTCTCTCAAATTAGCTGTGACAAAAACCTTGTTTTCCTCCATAAGAATAACATGGGATGGGAATTTTAAGGCCACGGGGGCAGAGTCCCAAGGGAATTCACCATGTTTCTCTTTTGATGGCTCATCTACAGACCAAGACCTTTCTTTAGACACCTCTACTGAGTTTCTACGCCCAGCCGTTCTCTCAAAAAAGCTGTGACAAAGAAAAACAGTTTCAAATTAATATATAGATACTGTAAACAGTATGCATTTAAACAGTCCGTTTTAACGAGATTTTGTGGACGTTAGTTTAACCGGGAAAACCGTTATCTGGACTGGTCTCGGTCCCGAGGAGTCCGGATAAGAGGGAGTCTACTGTATGCGGATTTAATTAATTAACTTTGTATTTATTATTATTTTTTTAGTGTTTTACTTTTGCCTAGCCTAAATATTCATGAGCTAGAAGACAAAGCCGTATGATGCAATATCGAAATGACATTTGGTCGTTTATTGGCTGTTCGCTTGCTTTCGGTTTACAATTTGGTTAAATCTAGAAAATAAAAAAAATAATGCATAAAAGAACTACTGGGCTCATATGAAAATAATTTGTGCTTAAGTCTCAGGAGCGCTCCGTCGCCATTATAGCTTACATGCAATGCTACAATTAACTGTTCAATATGCCCGCCTTAAGCCAATTGGATGGATAGTTTAGGTTTTAGTGTTCTTTAGTCTCTTAAACATCACAATTCACAACATAGTTTTGAATGTTGCATTCCATCCAGCAGCCGAAATCTTCACACCTCTCTGCAAACAACTGATGTCAAACGCTCAAACTTAATTACTATGTTTTATTTTCTTCTGATTCAAGATCATAGAAGAACAAAGGAAAAGAATAACAACGTTTTATGTCATTGTTATCTTTATCTTTGTTTTTCAGGGGTTGTTAAGTTCTGTAATATGATTTAATACTTTTTTTATAAGTTATTTAATCATTTTCAATATGTTTTGTTTTCAACAAAAAAAACATCAACACTATCGACATTCCTCTGTTCTGAAACTGATGTACCAGCCTTTCACTAGCAGTAGCTAACTAAACTTTTTATTATACAGTCTAACCTTGATATAACGAACCTCGATACAACGAATTCCTGGATATAACAAATTTTTTTAAATCCCCTAGAACTCTCCATAAGACACAATGTTTATTTTACCTCTACATAACGAACAAACCGTAACAACGACCTTGATTTAACAAATTTTTCGTGATTTCGGCTAAAATAAGACACCTCAATATAGCGAATTTATCATTGTCAGAACCTCTACATTGCGAATTTAACCTCTGCATAGCGAATTGTCTACGTCTTTCCCTCGATATATCAAATCCCCCACCCCATTATTGTTTTTGAAAAATCTGTTTCTTTATCAAATGAAATGGAAAGGTGACGTCATCGCTTGCGCTAACATTCGTCTGCTCCGTTTTTCACATCTCTGTCTGCTGTCGCTGCGCGCGCTATGTTGCAACTGAGAACTAATTTAATTCACTGAGGACTGATGACGACGTAATGTTTAGTAAGCTGTGATTGGGCGATAAGTAACTATGGTGAATTGTACAATTTTTGGATAAAGAGAAACCTAAGAAATAATATAAAAACAAAACCAAAGAGAAAGAATAGCAACATCGTTATTTTAACATTCCTTTTTTGAGTGTTTTTATTATCTTTAAGTTGGCTATGATTATACACTTTTATAATGACTTATTTAATAATTTACTGTATTGTTTTCAATGCGATTTGTTTCAACTAGCAACACCAATGCTATAGTTAATGATTATTATTGACATTCCTCTGTTGTGATAAGTCAGTACTGTACTGTAAGTAGCCTACCGGCCTATCACAAGCAGTAGCTTACAAAACTTTCTACTACTGTTTTGTTTTGTTCTTTACATGGTTTATGACTACGCAATACAGTGTTTTGCTAGGTTTTAGGAGGGTTAGAACAAGCTGTGATTTTAAACTTACAGTTTTTTAACCTGTACCAAGGTCAATGCCATTTTCATGATTGCGCAATATTCAAGATCCCTCCCCTTTTTTATTCCGATAGTTTAGGTTCTACTGTACAATGTAAACAGTGTACTGTAAAGTATTGTAGCCTATGCTACTTTAATTGTGTTTTAATAATGTCTAATCCCGACCTATATTGACCGACGCTGGTTCCGAACCTCGACTTAGCGAAATTCCTGCAAACATAACCTCTATATAACGAACCTCGTTTTAACGAAATCCTTGATATAACGAATATTCAGTTCGGTCCCTTCAGATTCGTTATACTGAGGTTGGACTGTACTCTTTTGTTATTTACTTTACATGATTTATTGCTGTAAAATGTAGTAGAATTATTTGTTACGTTTGAGTAAGCTTTGAATTAAAACTATACAGTTTTATAACATCCAAGGCAGTTATTGTTGTAAAAATGCAAATTATAACTTCTTAAACTTAATATTGATTTATCAAGTCAAGAACTCAAACTATCCGAATCCAAATCCAAAACTCTCATAGTTTTGATCTGGTCCTAACAGAGCCTTAACTATCCAACTGGAATCTGATCCAAACTGAAATTTCACCATCCCCACACCTCTATTATAAATTATAAACATTGAAATAGATTACTACTTTGTCAGCCCTGTGGGTGTATTTAGGCTACTAATCTGTGTATGTTTTTACAGTCAACCTCGGGAAGACAGTTCGAGCAGTACTACTGCCTCATCCTCATCCTCAGCTACAGAAACAAGTGCCTCTACCAATATGTAAGTAAATGTTTCTGTGACAGGTAGCCGAATGAAACAAAGAGAATTCGCTACGAACAGTAATTTATTAAAATTATAACAAGAACAAATTGTAGCTTCCGACTTGCTGTATTATTAGTTTTTTACAAACACAAATAACTTATGATTACAAATACTAACTGGCAAGGAACAGAGAATACAATTTTGAAATGAGTTGTTTAGATCTACACTACAATGTTAACACGTTCGCTGCTACGGACGTTCCGGAACGTCAGCCGGGCCACGGCGCCAGGAGCTAAGAACGTTCCAGAACGTCACCGTTCATTGTTGTTTAACGTTGCTATGGATAAGCCAGCACGTCACAAGCGTTCTATATTTCTTTGCAGCTCGTGGGGACGTACTTTTCTGACAATAAAAAATATAGTTTCCCAAATCACCACCAGGGTTGTTTGGAACAGGGCTTTGTTTTACCTCTTTCCTGCTAGATAGCGACACTACTTTACCGACTGTAACCTGGGTAGTGCTGCTATCCATCAGAATCACTTAGTACTATATCAAATGCCAGTATTATTGCAGAACATTGCCATCCAGTATAACCACTGTTGTTTTTACTGTAATTCAGTGTATCGGTGGCAATGTCACGCAGCGGCCGAGCGTTAGTTCAGCAACTGGCGCCGTCCCGGCATCTAGCGCTCAGCAGCGAACGTGTTAAGATACAGATTTTCATGACAAGATGCATTTTGGAAAAATGGGGGAAAGGCAATAATTTAGATGACCGACCGAGTCGAATTTAGACTAACTCAACTGAGTGCTCCCCGTCCGTAGCGCAAAGTTGGCCGTGGAGGGGAACCAGCCAATCACATTGCGGCTATGCCGCGTGATGTCAGTGCAAACACTGGATAGTGCTGCTGCCTAACGATCAATCGAGGCGTTAGGCAAACTGCAGTTGTGCAGTGATTTCATCGAGCGACTTGCTTTGCTGAGCTGGCTCAGCAAATTCCAGCCACGCGCATTACACTGCTGAGAACATTGGCCTGGCCTAGCGCTGAGCCACGGCTGACGGAATATTCCATGATTGATGAGGCAACTGGCTGTTTTTTTATCAAACTTAACAGCAATAAATAAACCTTCAGGTTTTTTTGTGTAAATGATGGTTCACATAACTGGGTTTTTTTTTTGGCATACGTTTTTGAACATGATATCTTCTTTTAGTTACCATCTTCAGTGAAACTCAAGGAATCATTATCCCAACTGATAACAGATTAGAACCAGACTAGACGGTATACGCTAGGGTCGCTATGAGCGCTGACCGTGAAAAAATTTGGCAGGTATCGTTACAAATTTGTCTGTCCGCTTCCCCTACAACTATTCAAAAACTAAAATTCCCCGTGATTCCTACCTTAGTCTTAAAATAAGTAGTCCAGAAGTTTACGAATAAAATTAGTCTCCGAATAGTTCGCGAGCTCTGAAACCCAATTTTTTATTCGATGACTAACTTTATTGACTGACTAGCTGTGTGCCCGTTCTACGCACGGGGATCTTATCATAGTCAGTGGTATCAGGACCTTCTTATATAAATCACAGCAGTTGGTTTGCATACTTTCAGATATGCTGACAAAACTATTCCTTCGCAAATACAGTATATGACAGTTTCAAGCCAAAACTAATGCTTCGCAATTAAATGTCACCCGGATCTTGTTGGTCCATATGATATGTTATATCCAATGATTAAACTAAATAAACGGTAGGGTATCAGCATTCTGACACTTCTCCCATAAGTTTGTCAACAACCTTTATCATGTGTAAGCGGTGAGAGTAAATATACGGAAATGGGATTTGTACAATTTTGTTCAGAACAAGGACTATAACATAATGGTTAAAAGTATTTAAGGTACTACCTCAACCTCTTAATTTAACACTTTATTCGGGTTGACATTTTCATTATCAAGGCGCTCTTGTCCTTTCCGTGAAACATTGAGAAACAAGGACATTAATGCGTTACCATCATACGTACACACAAAAATACCGAACTTAATTAGGGAATCTGCTACGCTTTAAGCACAAAAAGGTACATATAAAATTAGTACTTGAAATCTTTGTTAATGCCATAAAATTTGATCATAACAATTTATATTTGCTTGGACCGGAGATGACTCGAAATTCTGTCGAAATGCTATCTGAATCGGTTTGCTATATGAAATGAAGTACAGTAGGCCTACTATAGACGATTTAGATTGGTAATTTGTAATAAAAATTACCAAAATAGGCCACGAACTATTGATACATAAACAACGTTCAAAGTGTTTGAACAATTCATGATGGTTTGCTGAATAAATCTATATAAATAAAATTAGAGTTTTGTCTGTACATTGCTTAGAATAATGAACTTTTTGGTTATTTTTACATTTCATAGGTCAGAGAAACCGAATCAAACCTTATCTCAATTTCTGTCTGTCTGTCTGTCTGTCTGTCTGTCTGTCTATCTGTCATTCTCTTGGTAACGCTAAAATACGCACTTTATTACAACTACTCCTCAATAACTATAGCACTGTCCCGCCTGAAACTTATTTTCCAAATACTATACATATATGAGATGGTTTTAGACGTATTTCATCGAATATGAGACAGTTAGATATTTAACAGTAAACCCTTGAAAATCAAGTTTTTGTCGATTTTTGACGTGGAATTTCTGGAAGCCCATGTTAACCTTATGAGAAATGAAATTATTGAATCTTAACAGCTGTTTCAATTAAACAAGTTGGTTCTGTTCTGTGATGTTCAATAGCATTAAAGTTACAAGGATTACCAACAGGGTGCAGCACTAGCACTATTATTTCTTTTACATTTATGACAACAGCTAATTTGCAACCTGGAGGCGAGTGAGCGTAGCGAACGAGCTAACCTGAAGGCAAGTGAGCGTAGCGAACGAGCTAACCTGAAGGAAAGTGAGCGCAGCGAACGAGCTCCAACATACAGGTGAGTGAGCGTAGCGAACGAACTTCAACCAGGACGTGATTGAGCCATGCAAACGAGATCAGATAGTAAAAATAAAAGTAAGCCTACCGTTATAGGATCGACCGGCAGACACAGAGGTAATTTAACCTTTTATTGATTGTCATACCGATCCGGAACAACAAAAAACAACATAAAATGAAGCTATGTATAATAGTTTGGCCAGCATATCTTAAAATATGCAAACCAACTGCTGTTCGTTATATAAGAAGGTTTCAACTGAATATTATAAGATCCCCGTGCGTAGAACGGGTACACAGCTAGTGTTTTACTAAAATGCGTTATAGTTTTCTTAGCATAACATTTTGGAATCCAGACAGAAAAAGCAAAAATTATACAGTTAAGACATCAATTAAATTGAATAGGCCTACGCCTGTAATAAATAAAGTGCAACACCAACGATAACTAATTTGTAAATTACTGTGATGTGTTGGTACGTAAAAATGATTCTTGCTGCTACTAAAGGTTAAAAGGAAAAGAACCAGAACCGTACCAAAAACCAACGTTTATAGTTAAGAACTGTAGTACAACCGACCAATTATAGGCGTTAATCAAGGTTATTGATCTCTTGGTTTTGGATTTTCTCGTAAAAAGTTATCGGCAATCAAAGTTATTTCCCATTAATTGCTTTATTTGTACACAACTCTTAATGTAAACTTATCGGTGTCAGTTTGAAAAAAAAACCTTATACAACATAACTTTCTGTTATTTAATAGATTACGTATTCTCTAAACAATGGTTGCTGGTATATATATTAACATTATAAGGAAATGTGACAAAAATCACACAACGTTGGGTTTTTGGACGTTTATAATTTTATTTCTTAAGTAGGCCTACCTAGGTAGGCCGTGTATTCTATGGAAAAGTACCGGTATCAAGGATCGTTGTCGAAAGGGTTGTTATAAATAATTGGGTAAGCATACGTACCACACGTACCCAAGAGAAGGGCTATGGCCCTATTGGCTGTATGGTCCAGCGATTGCATCACACGGTGAGTAGGAACTATTGACTTTATATAGTCAATGGTAGGAACAGAAAGTGACACATTGGAAAATCGAGTTCAGCATCATCCGTAAACCTCTGTTACAATCACCCACTGCAGTTGTAATTTTTTGCTTTACACTTTACACAACCGCCATTGAACCGTCAATGAGTGGAACGTTGTTTCTAAGCTATTGGCGACGGTCATTAGTAAATTTAAGTTTCCCAGCCGTATACAACACTGATTCAATCTTGATTCAATGTCTTCTTTCTGGTTATCAAAACTCCAAAACAATTTTATACACATATTTCTGGTTCCTGACCTGGATGATGCCTAGTTATTTAATTTACGGTTACACTATATTATTCCACTTGCGATTAATTAAATCCTTTATGTAATAAAAACGTTTTTAATCTCACTTGGATGGGATTTGCCTTCAAAACGTGATCGGAAATGGTTGTGGTGTTTGTAAACAATATTTGTAAACATTTCAGTGACAGCTAAAAAAAATAATCTTGATCCGAACAGCTGTTCGTTGTTTCATAGATGAGAATGTGATACAAATTGGAAGAAAACTTGACAAAAATCGCACAAAACTGCATTTTTGAACGGCCGTAATTTTAATTACAAAGTAGTGAGACCATATTTTAATGGCTAAAAACACTCTCGCCAATCCAGGGAATACATTAAAATGACTTGGGTCTTGATAGGATCTCTCGTTTTCCTGGAGAAGATTGCGTAAAATGCCATCTTGAGTGTGTCAGACAGACAGACAGACAGACAGACAGACAGACAGACAGACAGACAGACAGACAGACAGACAGACAGACAGACAGACAGAAATTTAGATAAGACTTGTTTCGGCTTCTTTAATGTATAAAACGTAAAAATAACCTAAAAATGTATGATTCTGAGCAATGTACAGACAAAACTCTAATTTTATTTATATAGAAGATTAAGTAACTCCAGGATTACGTATTCCCGAGCTCGGAAATCCGCCCTTAGAGTAGGCTACCTAATAAAAGTTTTTAAGTGAACAACTAAACTTATATGCCTCACTACTGTAAATCTTAAAACAAAACCATAAATAAAAAGTTCTGGTGCTTGTATGCTTGCAAAAGCAAAAAAAGTTTGAAAAGAGTATTTTAAACGTATTGTGCTGAATTTTACTTTGCCTAATGTAAGGTTTATTATATTTACCACAGTTATTTAAGGTAAAGGTTCTAACTAAGATAAGACATACAATTCCAAGATGCTAACACACCAGTATGTATGTGTGTGTGTTTTTTTTTTTTTTCAAGACAAGTCAAGGATGGATGTTGAGTAAATGACATGACAGCTTTGTTACTGATTTTAGTCAATAACAAAACTGTCCTCTCCTCATTCACTGCTGGTTGTTAGGCCAGAAACATTTATTTTAAATAAAGCTTATTCAACTCAACTAATTTATTTAGGGCATAAACCAGTTTACAAAATGATTACATAATAAACTACAAAAATTTGTGTAGTTAACAAGATGACAAGAACGTTACTAGCTACAAGCAAAATATAAAGCATACAGCAGTTTAATTATTGACAATCAATTACAGGATTTAACTATAAGTACAAGGGCAACAAAATAGAGAACAACAAAACCGCCCTGAAAAATAACAATAAAACAAAACACATTTCCCATTATTAAGACAAGACAAAGTAAAAAGCATTGGTAACAGTAAAAGCAGCAGTGACATCTAAAATCTGAAAGTTATAAAAAAAGAGGAAAAAATAAATGGATACCTAACAATCAAAGATAGCCTTGTTGAGTTTCAATCTGTCAAATAGCTTTTGACTTTACGTAGGATTGTGCCTGCATTCTTCTAAATACTAGGCGAGAACTATATGCACTCGATTACATTGCAGTTCTGTTGGCAGGGATGGTGCTAGTGGAGCAAGTGCTGATGTAGCGTCACCTCCCTCTACCTCAACCTCCGCCACAGCACCTGACGGTCCCTTAGCCCCTGAGCTGGAAGAAGCACGCAGAAGAAGACTTGCCAAATTTACTCAGCAAGAAGCTGATTAATTTCCAAAATGACTGATTATTATGTTTGCTGTGAATAATTGTCGATTTAGTTTTTATTTATGATGAATTTTGTACACAAAGTGAATATGTTCATCAGCACCGACATAGGTATTGTAAATAAATTGGTTATTTATTTACTTATTATCACATTGAAGATATTTTTATTTTAACCTTAATAATAAGAATAAGAATCCATTGTGCTAAAGTACCATTTATTGTCATTTGTCAATTTACATTGCTATAGACAGCGTCAAAGATCAACAGAAATACAGTAATATGCAGTATAAAAGGAAAGAGTACAATGTACTTGTCAGGCTAATAGGTATTACAGAAAATACCCCCGCTGCAGAAAACCTGCCGACTAAGCGAATTTCCATTCGTCTGAATTAATATTTAATTAAATCTATTAAAAAAAACATTAGGTTTAATGAGTACCTAGGTTTGCTAATAAAAGGAAACTAATAAAGTGTATTTTTTGTTTGGAAAACATTAATAGCTTAGTATAAAATAAATAAATTTGCCAAGTTTGATCAAAATATATCCATAAACAAGCAAACTACACCATTTTACAACATTCTCCATAAGAATAACATGGGAATATTAAATTTACAATTTTTTAAACTTTCTCCGTTACCAATAACCGTAAAAACACTTTGATATACTAAATTATTTGTTTGTTTAAGCTCTTTAAAAAGGTCTAGAGAGAAATTTGGAAATTTTGTGTTTTGAGGATCAAAAATGAGAAAAACAATTTTTTACCCAATAAACCCCCGGAAAACCCCGTTCCCATGGTCTGATCATGCTGCCAAAATGAAAAATTAGTTTGGTCCCGGGTCTAGGTCTTTCCGTGCCACCTCCCTAATAGCTACTTCCCTATAGTAAAATTAGCTAAGAACATAAAAAATAACAATTAGCAACAAATCAATATAAACTATGAAAATTAACAATAAATAAATTACATACCATTAGTTGATAAAGCAAGAATAAAATAACCAGTGGGTTTGTGGGTGCATAGGAAACAATATTTATGAGGCTAAATTTTCCAAAACTTGAGGAGTTATTATAAATGATATTACAATTTATAAAGAAGGAGAATACACACTGGAGGCTAGCATTTATATGCCAAACTAAACTGGAAATAAGTTTGAGGTTAGCGAGTGGAAACTCCCTAAAATCACTCCAATAAAATTTTAGAGACTCATTAATCTGGCAGATAGGACCGTGATACTCCCGGATTAGTGAAATATCATCAATAAAAACACTTCAAATGCACAAAACCCATCTGCGAAGATCGCCCGATCGGAATCCGCTATTGCCACGATCGCGCATGACGACGATGATGTTTCCATGACCGCAGGAGACGTTGTTAATCTTCACAGTCATGGGAGATGTTCGGAAATTTGCTGCAATCACGGAAGACAACGATACTGTCTATACGACCACGGAAGAGGATCATGATTTTTCCGCAATTGTGTAAGATGACGATGATATTTCTGTGACCGCAGGAGTAGATGATGATGTCTACACGGCTGCGGGAGATAAGCAGAATTTTGCTGCGATCATGGAAGACAACGATAACGCCTACACGACCTTAAAACATAAACTGTGATGATGTAATGAACACAAACATTAGAGTGCTCAGTGAGTTTTCTGGTGATGAGTAGTTATAGTGCTCACCTATAGTAATCGATCGGTCGCCAGTTAAGCCTGGTTTACACGGTCGAGTACGGCGGGCATGTCAGATTGCGAGTTGCCACTCGCACGGAAGCTAACTCTTGCTTGATGTAGACAGGCAGGTGAGTCGAGTAACGGGCAAGTCGGTAAAAAGAGGTCAGTTGAGATCGAGTCGAGTGGCTTAGTAGAAAATTAAGTTGCTCGGCCCAGTAATTACCCCCAACACCACAATTTGCCTGCGAAAAAACTTTTTTGTTTTGAGGTCGCCAGAGGCCAAAAACACCATCCGTTGAAATTCATATATATATATATATAATACTAGCAGAGTACCCGTCCTTCGTACGGGGTTGGCATATAAGTTTAAATTGCTTATTGCAGTTATACTCAAGCTTTGCGTTTGCAATGGGGGAGGACAAAGTTTGATAAAATTTGCTTCTTTCTATTGACGGTATACTATGGTATTACACATCTACCATAGCCATAATGTTCTACCTCTTCTCCTAAACAATAAAGACAAATAAAGTATTACAAATTTAAAAAATCACAAATTATTCATGACATTAAAAACATAAACATAACTGTAAACAATCCTACTTTGACAGTTCTCATTGCGTATCACAGTTGTTTGTTGCTGCTTAGTTCAAATTAGCTGTTTACATAAATGAAAAAAAAATATAGTGCTGCACCCTGTTGGTAAATCTTATAACTTTTTAATGCTTTTGTATATCATAGAACCAACTTTTTTAGTTGAAACAGCTGACTAAATTCTTTAATTCCCTTTAAATATGAATACTCATAAGGTTAACATGGGGAACTACAGAGCCACTGGGGCGGAGCTCGAAGGGATTTTTGAGATAAGAATATGCCTATATGTTAATCGGGAATGTGAGCTATCATCATGCCAAATTTCAGCCCAATCCGTCCAGTGGTTTATGCGTGATTGGCCTTCAAACACACAAACTTTCACATTTATAATATTCGTAAGATATATATATGTATGTCCATTAGCGCGATAACTCGAGCAAAAGTGATCCGATTTTGATGAAATTTGGTACAAACGTGTAAACCTACGTTTATTCGAACGAGTTTGCGAACCAGCATGACCGGATTATAGGAACAGGGGTTTATGGGGTAAAAATTGGGTTTTCCCATTTTTTACCCTAAAAACACAAAATTTCACAATTTCCTTTCAAACCATATTGTAGTGCATTTTTTAATTAAGAAATAATTTTGTATATTCTAGCTTTGTTTTATGCCTAACGGTTACGGAGATAATACAAAAAAATTTAAATTTAAAATTCCCATGTTATTCTTATGGAGAATAAATAAACTGTTGTAGTCTGCTTGTTTATGGATATATTTTAATAAATTTTTTCATTTTATTTATTTCATACTAAGCTGTCAATATTTCAATAAAAAACTCACCTCAATACATTCCTGTAGCAGCAAACCTAAGTACTCATCCATATATAAAGCCCAAAGTAACCCATACCCCCATAAACCATATACTTCAAATGTTCGTCATGATGAGAAACCTTGCGCAAAACTATCCATTATTTCATAAATGGCCCTTTAAGGTCGTAATTCATTTCTAAAGGGAACTTTCCATATAACCTAATGTTAAAAATACCTCAGCTGTACCGTACTTATTTAATTTCTTTGTATTACTTTTGTTTATTTCTGCTTTTAACCAATCAATAATTTTATTAATACTTATGAAGTCAAACGGGGTGAAGCCCGTGGGTAACAGCTAGTTAAAATTAAATAGGAAATAAATCTGACAATTTTAAGGGAATATTTTTTAGTAGAAATCCAGCCAGGTAAATGGAAATTCGCTTAGTCTGCAGGTTTGCTGGGGCGGAGGTATTTTATTCTGTGGTCGCTGAGTGAGTCAGTATTCAGTTCAGTTCAGACTTCAGAGCTGGTCTACTCACATCACAATGGTTCAGTTGAACTGTTCAACTTGATCAGTTGACCCCGTGATCTGTGTTGCATTTTGCATTGTCTTACTTTGCGTGAATCTATTATAAAATTCAGTTTTGAAAGTCTTTGCACAACTAAAGATCTGGGGTTCTACTGGACCGATTTTATTAATCAATGGTTAGTTAGAAAGCCTTAACATGTTTTCGACAAAAAATACACAGAGAACGGTGTTTTCACATTTTTTATTTGGAGTCAACTTATGGCTGCCTTTATTGAGTATTTTGAAGAAATGCATTATAGTAAACTGTAGCAAATTGTATTCTCTGTCAGAATATCACCTTCCACTTTGGTCTATTTCCTCACCATTTAAAAGTGATTTGCCAATAAGCTAAGCAACCTCTGAATTTAAGTAGTGATTCAGTTTTAATTCCAATAATCAAATTCAGTGATTCAAGTTCTAAATACTGCATTAAACTCTTGACGTGCCATTAAACTCAAACAACATTTAACACGTAAGCTATGGTAACCGGAATGCCCTACACTACACCATAGAGAAGTAATAAAAGTTACTTCTCTATACCCACACTGTCCCTGTGAGAAATAGGGATGCATGTGTCTAGTCGAGTATTCGGTTTTTAATTCGGTATTCAGAGTTGAACGAATCAACAACTGGGCCTAGTAACAGGGGAACAGCTTGCCTGCCATACTCGACCCATGTCAGGAGGATTATTCAAAACTGGGCTCAGCTGTCTCCTTGATAATTATTTTAATAATAGGACATGGCCAAAGAAACAGCTGACCTTAGGAAAAAAACTACTCAAGTCATCTTTTAAACTCCATACTACGTACAAGAATCCTTCATTCATATTTGAGTTAAAATAATAAACCAATAAGTTGAATGCCCATCTCAATTGAAAATAACATCTACTTGTATCAATGGTGTAACATACAACACATAGACTTGATGTGTGATGAATGAGTTTACAGGACACTAATGTCTGGTGGTCAGTTGTAGTTCTAGTTCATCACTGTATTGCAGTTGGTCTACTAAGTGGAGTTTACTAACTACCATCGTTAGTTACTACCTTCCATACAAACAATTGCTGCTCACCATGATGGTGTTACCTGGAGATAACATATTTCTTTATGCTTTTAATTTTGAAAACCACAAGGTTTTTAACTGCATTCTACAATTATTATTGATGAACCAGAATTTGAAGTTTATAACTTTTAAGAAATCTTTTTAAGGTACAATTGGATCAGATTCATTAGTCTTGAACAGTTAATAAATAGAAGAACCAGGGGACCGAGCATTGCTTGAGGTGTTTGATTTGTTCAAGAGGGGAACAAATTTATTATTTTTAACCTATAAGCCTACAAATATTTTTAGTTTTGCTACGATTAATTAAGTTGCAAATTCAAGCTGTTTTCGGTAGACATCCACTCATCCTTAATTTAGCTAAACAACTTTATCATGTGGATGAGCAATCTATACAATTTCTACAATAAACTTCACTACAAAAACTCATGATACATAACATCTGTTGACC